ATATCAGCATAGTTATTTTATCGCATATATAATAGACAATCACCGATGTTGTACATCCGTTATGTACCGTATTGGAATATTTTAGAGTACGGCGTTAAAGGGAAAAAAACATCCTTGGTTTTGAGACTGATTCGACTAAAAATATACGTCTCCATGATGAAAGGATCAGTACCATTTGTAGTAACTTGGCAACGTAGAAACTGCATACATGTTTTTATTGGCATCCTCGCTGTTGCTTAGATACGTAATCGTCAACATGTAGCTTTATGTTTGGTTGTCGTGGTTATCGTAAACACCCAAAATGCTTTGAATACTAGGAAGTTGACGGCACAGTGACGTGGTCGTACCATAACTATAAACAGACAATCAGTGGGTCAAGCCCACTCCCACACAGCGACATGAATAAAGTGCCGTTATCTACATTCTCACAACGACTCCGACATCATATTATCTGAGTCTCCTCTACGTCACATACCGTCGTCGTGTAGACGAGGACTGCCTGACATGACCTGAACGAGATTCTTATCAGTGATCAACAACTGTCGTGACGGTGTCAGTCTACCACACCCGCCTGAGCTATCTGAGTACCTGATATAGGACTATATCTGCAAATAGTATATAGAGTCACACAAGGACACGGTTTGTTTAGTAACCACGCAGCCCCACGAGATCATGAGGCACAATGAATCATATTATATACAGCGTACCGTACGCAAACAACTGATCATGCACTCAGGATCGAGATATTCCTTATAAATTCTAAATCAGCAAATCATGTTTTACTTTTCTGATGGAATACATTCATTATTGTTTACTTATCGCAAACAGATTAAAAAAAGGCACCGTCAAGGATCTGTTTCCCAATAATTCTAAAAAATTGTATCATGTGTTTCTTTTCTGATGAAGATCTGGGTTAGACTTGATCAGTAACCCATGCTTGTTGGAAGATGCGGCTAACGGGATCGGGTGGTCAGGCTCGCTGACTTGGTTGACAGGTCATGGTATCCCAATTGCGTAGATCGATGTTCATGATGTTGATCACTGGATTGTCTGGTCCAGACTCGATTATTTACCGACTGCTGCCATATAGCTGGAATATTACTGAGTGCGGCGTAAAACTAAACTCACCCACTTACTGTAAGAGGCGACTATAACGGGATCGGGTTGTCGGGCTCGCTGACTAAGTTGTGCATGACATCGTATCCCAATTATTGCGTAGATTAATGCTCGTGTTGTTGATCACAGGATTGCCTGGTCCAAACTCCACTCTTAACAGCCCGCCACCATAATTATATCTGCAATATTGCTGAGTACAGCGTAAAACTAAACTCACTCACTAACTGCAAGAGGCGACTAACTGGTGGTCAGGGTCGCTGACTTGGTTGATGTCTGTAAATAATCGAGTCTGGACCAGACAATCCAGTGATCAACAGCATGAGCATCGATCTACGCAATTGGGACACGATATGACGTGTGTCAACCAGGTCGTACTTTGGAGCATGGATTAGATCAGCTTGCTTGAAAGCTTCTATCATCATCATCATCATCATCATCATCATCATCATCGTTGTCATTATTATTGTTGCTATTGTTATATTATCGTTATTAATGTTATCAATCGTTTTATCATTATATCATGTACTTTTACATCTTTAAAATATGTTACGTAATACCATTTCCATACACCGGATACCAGATTAGCACAAGGCAGGTATTGATGGGCTTGTGATTCCGACATTTTTCAAACCTACTGTAAACTGTACATTGACAAATGGAGAACATCGATCTGAACTTAGCAACGGCATAAACACGAATGGCCTGATCTCTGTGTGAAGTATAAGCCGTGCCTGTCACTATAGGCAGCATAGCAACTCTGGACATTGGCCAAAAACTACCTGCATGTTTATCGACAATGGCTCTGCTTTTGAGCTCACTTCGATATGGAGTATAATAGTGTGCATGTATAGACGAGAGTAAATGTTGTTATGAGCGATAACGTCCAATGTGTAGAATCGTGTATGTACCTTTGTTTCGCAATGTGTGATATACTCCCCGGGTAGAGACGTGACTGTCGTCATACTGTCACGTGACACTTTCATCAATGGCATGCATGACGATTTTGTACCCATACAGGCGTGAGCAACAATCTCGAGGAGTTCAAGCGTAGACAGTGCCCAGTCACCCCGACCAACCCACACCGCTGACTGGTTCTAACACCATCACACCATGTTTGTTGTTCCGTCGTAATCAGCAGTGTGTTGATGACTAGGCATTTATATAAAAAAACATGATATAGGACGCCTTGGCAACTACAAATTAGTGTTTAATTCATATACATGTATAAATTAAACATATTTGTATGTATAACCAGTGATAAGGAATCGTATATATACTACTCAAAACAACACTCGGATTTTTCATATATTACATCCGCGGATCTTCATATGACCGCAATATAAACCCAATTTCACCTCACCTCACATCAGCGGAACCAGAGGGCGGGTGCAGGGGTGTGCACCCCCACCCCCACTCTTTTTTTTTAAATGACCACTGAAAACGGTTGAAAATGAAGAGTGACACACACACACACACACACACTTTCTCCAAAAGCTGTATCCGCCCATGTATTGTTATCGTCAATCGGTGTGGGAAATAGTTTCCAAATTATTCACTGCCCCGAAATTTGAATGTAGACACGGGTTTCATCATTAAGCTGCTATTATAGTGGACATTTGTATCAGGCATGATTTAAAAGTGCATTATAACTTAACAAGTCGGAGAGAGTGATATACATGTATTTACAAAATGAGATTTACTGGCCCGACTGGGTTTTTACTAGCCACGGGCTAGAGGGCCAGTGGCTATTTCCAACACTGTCGTTAACCCGACATGGGTGATAGTATGAAAGAAACTTGTTTTGTGCAGTATATGCAGCTATGTCGATATATTGTCGATACGACGTTTATCAATGACACTTAAGCTTCCCACCAGTTACGTTAGTCTGTCTACAGGATAAATGATAAAAGGAGACTAATTCAAGTCGTAAAGAATCGGGCAAGTCTGCATTACCTCGGCTCAAAAAATAAGAATGGTTCTGGGCTTCATTTGCATTTTAATCTGTTTTAATTTTGAAGATATATTTATCTGAAAAATGTAACGTTTTTTTGTGGACTGAATGTTTGTCTATACACGTCTATACATACGTCGTTTATAAAGTCTATATACATGTACGTCAATAAACAGCTTAAACAGATTAATATCAGTTAAGAGTAATAGTATCTGTAGATTTCACAGCCCAAACTTGGACGTGCAGCTATTAAATTTGAGGGTAATATTATTCGGAACTTACGATTGAACAAGCAGAATCAAGTATATCCCAAAGTTTCCTTGTACGAGTCAGTCTAAAACGGGTGATTCGCAAATTGTTTGCAATTTTAACAATTTAGACAAAAATCAAATTAGTGATCTTGATATATTCTTGATTGAGACGAATATGTTAATGATTCACGTTCAGCAACATGCACATTTATATGACATTTTTTGGCATGTTTTAATCGTACCAGCATTTAAATTTAAGACTATTTAAAACATAGAACTGTTTATAAGACAAAAAGATCAGACTTGCTTCTGTATTATGAGCAAGATTAATAGGATACTGAAAAAGATGTATTCCGAAAACAAAAACTCACGTCGCTTGTAACAAACAGCGTCGCGTTCACAACAAGCCTTTGCTATAAAGAAACAAAGAAAATAAAACGATGTACATAGGTTACACTCGATTCAAACTCCATAACAAATACGATTTAACTCCATCTCCCCAGAATGGTGAAAACGTGAATCCTGCAGCACGCTTAAATTCATTCCCTGTTATTGTTCCTTGCTTGGTTAACGCAGTACTCAGCAATATTCCAGCTGTCTGTAAATCTGGACCAGACAATCCAGTGATCGGTCTACGCAATTGGGATGATTTAATTACCAATTTCTGATTAATATATTACTTATGATAATAAGCTACCTGTGAAGACATGTTGCGTTATGCGAAAAGCAACTATAAGTATTAATACAATAATGTGACGCGCAAAGTTAGTTTTGCATTATCAATAATGTTTGCATAATAGATGTTCTTTGGTGGTATTGAATACTATTTCTACAACGCTGTGGATAAATATTAGTAAAAGTACATTATGACTTAAATTAAGACGATAAATCTTGCATACACATTAATTAAATCTGTCAGGTTTTTTTTTAAATATACAAACATAATAACGAAACGAATCATCTGTATAGCAAACAAACAGCCAGTATGGCGAACAAGCATTAACAGTACTGATACAAACAATGGTTATAAATGAAGTGATACGAATGATGTACGATGCGTCCTAACTTAAACACATGCAAATATTACTTAAATATTGTAAACTAAAAACTAGAACCTAAACTTAAAATCGTTTAAAATATATCTGTCCTAATCACATATCGACGGATTGTCTGCTTTACAGTACCAGATCACTGATCATATATCGATAGGTTGCAACAGTTAATAGAATACTTACAGTGAAGTCGGAGACTTCCAAGAGTAAAACAGATTTGAATAGCACAGTTGACTGCATTGTTTCATTGTTCAAATTGTTCAAAATATAAGAGCTTGTCCATCCGACCTCAAGAACGGGCTACCGCCAGAGGTCATGGTTCGCGCGATACTCACCCAATGAATGAATGAATGGTTTACGCACAGTTGTAAGTTCATGTTTTGCTCGCCTTCGCAGAATCATGGCAGAAAATATCCGGAGTAAAAATTGAAACAACCTAAGTAGTAAATATCCCCATAGGTAAACATAAAACTTCAGACAAACTTTATTCATTTACCTATGTTCTGTAGAAAAAACACGATAATGTGATGGTTTCTGGGTCACCATGCCACAACGTATACAATCGCGTGATCCTCATTAATATTCATGTCGACTGACGAGTCTGTTTACTGGCTGTTCAGGGATTGGTAACATGGGATACGCCCGCCAGTCACACCACTGAAGTCCAGCGAAGGTTCACTTTATTTCAGGCTGTGACTTTGGACCAGGAGGACTTGGGTACCTATTACAAGAAACAACAAAATACTAGCATAGGAAAAGCAACAGGACCCATTGCAATCTCTCACATCCCATTCAACTCAAGAAGAGGGTGGGTGCTCATTTGACTGAAGAGCCACGGCAGTCCTCAGACGGTTTCAAGTCACCCCATAGCCTGACTGCGTTCATCAACTCGGAACACGCCGGCCGGTTTGTCTCGTATGAAATTGTGATTTCACTGTTTGTTTGGATCAAGACTCTTCTAGTGATTTCTAATCAAGACAGGATATAAAGTAAAGGATATGAAGATCTTCTCCAGGAGGATAGATAAGTTGGCCCTTGTTTCGTCAATTTTGACTGTGTTCCTGATACAAGGTGTGACCGGTAAGTTAAGAAAACGAAGCAACAGATTATGACACGTTTCATAACATTGTTGAATCGCGATATTTTCAATAACGTACATTCAGGTTCATATGATGTCCGTCACATAGTAAACGATACATTACATTCATTATGGTACTCAATAAGTATCATTCAATGTCTCCGACATAACCTGTCAATCGATCGATTTCTCAGGCGGATAGAGATATTCTCACCAGGTGACACTTGCCTTTTTGCAAAAATTGAACATTTCATTATCATAGTTTATTTTATTGTCTATATTTGTAGAAACAAGATTAATATTTGTTGAGGTTAACAATTTTGTTCCGTCATACAGGCGAAGATCCTCCGACCAACAGCTCGTGCCCAAGCACCCAGTTCCAATGTGCAAATGCAAAATGCATCCCAATGGGCTGGAGATGTGATGGGGACGTTGACTGTACCGATAATTCGGACGAGACAGATTGTCGTAAGTACCAATATTCCCGTACATATATTTGAATAAGGGTCGTAGAGGACAGGTATATTTTCGTGTGATATTTTCAGGATATTATCGTACTCGTGTCGTTAAACGTCTAGCCACTATTATCAGATTTTTGCAGATATGAACTAACTCGGTTAGATATGATGGTTTATCTTATCACTGAGTAGAACATTCTGTTTGAGTAGGCGTGGCATTTTGTAAGGCGAACAAACGTGTATATTCGATAACATCGTTCCATTCTCGTTACTCGGATCATGCTGTAGAGTGTGTAACCCCAAGAGGTCATGCTCGCATTTACTGTACAGCAATTGGCTGAAATAACTCAGCTGAGGTCGGCTGGTTCGTATTGACCAATCACATCTCTCCAACCGTCTCGCGCCTTGCGCATGACTTTACGAGGTCAAATTATTGTCATGCATAACATTTTTGTTGGCTCTTACAGTTTCCCCCCTCCTTGAAAAACAACACGTTCTTTTGAAAATTAAACGTTATTTTTGAATGAATGAACACCGATTTCGTGCAATTTATCAACAAAACGTTCTTGTTGTACATTTATGATTATTAGTATGTGGTTACGATCAAAGGTAAATACCTGTGTTGACAAAATAGGGTGGCTCACTCCATGCTTGTGTTACGAAATGTGTGTAGGTGTGGCGGTAGTCAATGATGGGTCATTCAACCATGACTAAGTACATTGACAATACTTATCTGAAGAAATAAGATGTGTGTCTCTAAAGCTGTATGTGTTCTCACAAATCAAAATCCCCCAAACATTACGTAAGAATTGTATTCCTGATGATACCCGACAAAAGTCACAACTAAAAATCAATTTGTTAATGTTTGCTGGATCATGTAAGTATATTTAATGCTAGGATTTGATATAATCCGGTGTTTAAAAGTCGCATTTGTTCACGAATTCTCGCCAATGATGGAAATAAATTGAATCTATGAAAATGAAACCGGAATAATGCGAGTATTATGTGTTGACTCGGTAAATATTGAAATAAAATTGGAATATAATGACGTGTCTTCTCTTCTAGCAAGCATAACATGTGCAGAAGATGAGTTTCACTGTCTAGACAAGAAATGTATCCCGATGAGATGGACCTGTGACAAGGATGATGATTGCAAGGACGGTTCCGACGAATCACACGAACTTTGTGGTAAGTGTGTTAAATCAATCATTATAATGATCTTTATAACAATGAAAACCGATTATTTTTTTTTATAGAGTCACATTTTCATTTCCATGCTAGCGTGCTAACTTAAGCTAAGTTCAGTCAAATATTTTTTTTATATTAATAGTGACTGAGTAAGTGAGTGAGTTTAGTTTTACGCTGCACTCAGCAATATTCCAGCTATATGGCGGCGGTCTGTAAATAATCGAGTCTGGACCAGACAATCCAGTGATCAACAGCATGAGCATCAATCTGCGCAATTGGGAACTGATGACATGTGTCAACCAAGTCCACAAGCCTGACCACCCGATCCCGCCTCTTTTTTTATTAATATATTGAATGATATGATACATATATAGTGAAGACTACTGTTAGGAATTGTGCAGTCTCAGGTTTGTAATAATGATTTATTGTTATCCTTTAGATCGTAGAACATGCAGCCCAGATCAGTTTGTCTGCAATTCTGGTGTATGCATCCCTGGGGACTGGCAGTGTGATGGATCCTCAGATTGCAGTGAAGTAGATGGGGAAGATGAACACTGCAGTAAGTAATAAGTATTGATTCAACTGAAGCAACAACCAAACTTTTGAAGGTGTTAATTGATATTAGTGATTTGTTACAAATTATTAATACACCATAAGATTCACACAACTTTGTGGTGTTTTTGTGTTAGCATAATTCTGAGAATATATTATAACTTGTAAGTAAAATTTGGCCCATTTATTTCAGATACCACTTGTGAGGTAGATGAATTCAGCTGTACAAATGGACAGTGTATAGCAGATCGATGGAAGTGTGATGGAGACAAAGACTGTAAAGATGGCTCTGATGAAGCCGATTGTGGTATGTTGCTCAACATCCATGGAAGTGATTCCGCAACTGAATACAATGTATTTTTACAGTGGAGATAGGTTTATGAAAGTATAGACAAAGCGTTCATTGTCTTGGTAAATAAAATACAAGCTGATTATCTCTTTCTTTTAAAAAGTGATCTGTCCATGATTGTGAGTACACAATGCCATTTAGAAAGTGGTCAAATGTAACACATGTTATATTTGAGATTACTCTTTCTTAGTAAAGTACAGATTCTAGTACTTTTGTTGGGTCGAGTCCCATTTCATCTTTGTGTGCTGGCGATTAGGTCCCAGATGGGATTCACCCAACAAAGTACTAGAATTTTTACTTTACTCAGAAAGTGTAATCCCAAATATAACATATGTTGCTTTCCATGATTGTTTTCAGGTTATAGAATGGACATGTTTTATGTTTTATCTTTGCAAAATATTGAATTGAATGTCATTTATTTCCAGTGACTCCCCAGTCATGTAAACCAGATGAATTTCAGTGTCATGATGGCCCATGCATTAAGCAATCCTGGTACTGTGATCAGGACATTGACTGCAATGACAAGAGTGATGAAATGAATTGTGTCAACGTTACCTCTGAGTGCTCCGGCTCGCAGTTTAGATGCGTATCAACCGGTGAATGTATCCACAGCTCCTGGTTCTGTGACAATGATGTTGACTGCGAGGATAAATCTGATGAGAACTGTAAGTTTATTTCTCAATCATGGTTAACATTTATTCTTCAACATTCGCATTTGTCAAGACAAAACATTACAAGCTGATGGATTGTGTAAGATTTTCGGGGATGTAATTTGTAGATTTGAAAATATTTTTGTTTCTCACATGTTGTATAAGTTTCTTAATTGTAATTTACTGTTCCAGGCAACGCCACATGTCGCAGTGATCAAATCATGTGCTTAGAAGAACGTTACTGTTTGTCAAAATCTGTGAGGTGTAATGGTGACGAGGATTGTCTAGATGGCTCCGATGAACGTGACTGCCCGCGTAAGTGGAAACAGAATACATGTAATATTGCCATAGCACACATGGTGATTACAACTGCTTTTTTTAGTAATTTTAATATCAACATGGTCACCCGAGGCTTCATTTAATCCAATATCAGCAAATTCTCCTGCAAATGACAGTGAAAAGTAGTGTTTTCAATTATAAAGTTCCCACTACCTCAGAAATAAAAACATGTAAGTAATTCAGTTTTGATATATATCACAATTTTTTCTTCCTTTTTGAAGCCCCAAAGTACTTAGTTTGGAGTCCTAGATAAATCCGTTTTGGGGAGACTGGATTACACCCAAACCTGACACTGTTATGCAACATTTATTTTTTATATTTATTTTTTTGTTTTTATTTTGTTATTATTAGTTTCCCAGTAGCTTACTTCTTACTTTTTCTTTCAGCCACACATCCATGCAAGGAGACCGACTTTCATTGTGGTGATGGAGAGTGCATTGACAAATCACTTGTGTGTGATGGAACTGCAAACTGCAAAAACATGGAAGATGAAAACCCTGATCAGGGCTGTGCACGTAAGTTTCTTCCCAATATTCTGATAGTGTTGGACAACGACTTTATTGATTAGTTTCTGACTTAAAGATTTTTGACGAATAAGGTTACAAATTGATTCAGAAGAGTTTTGACAACTTGTACGTAAGATTATTGGGTTGTGTGATTGATTTTTTTTTATCAGTCTTGATCGCTCAGTTAGTCATTCATATTAATTTCAGTTACCTTACAGAGGTATAATTTATGTGAATCCAGTAAAATGTAATGCCTCATTTCTCATGCATACTCGCATTACTGGTTATGTGTCAGGCTTTTAAAAGTTGAGACCAAAACACTTGTATTTATTTTGGTATTATTTCTTCTACTGTTACTGCAGCTCATGGTATGTTAAAACTTGTGTACTGTGTTTGTTGTCCACCTGTAGATACATAGATAGTGACTCCTGTGACTCCTTGTTTTGTATTTTTAATCTGTTTAGCAATGTTCATCACTTTAAAATTAAGAATAATTCAGATCTTAAGCAAATGTTTGTATTTGCACATCTAAGACTTGAGCTTTTTTTTTGCCTTTTTTTTTATAACTCACATGAAAATGAATACGTCTATTCATTTATGTCGTTCTAATTGTTGAATAGCACATTGTTCTGAGCACTTAAGCCTTATCTCGAGCTTAGTATTATTCTGTTGTTATTTGTAGTTTGTCTTGTGTTGTTTCTGTGCCCTGTTCGATAGGAAATCAACTGTTAAGGATCTATGAGTATCACCAGAGTGATTGTATCTCTTCTCCACAGAATCATTATAGACTGTTCCTGACCAGTCTGTTACTGGTCAAAAGCCCATTCTTAACGTTCTGTTATGTGTATTAAGATTCAATAATAATTGCTCATTCATTACCAAATTCTACTGGACATGAAAATAGTAAATTGTTTTCTTTTCTTTTTTGATTTGTTTATTATAAACATTAAATGCAGCACAACAAAATCATAGATTTAAGTGATATGCACTGTAAATAGCAGGTTTTGGTTATAGTGCCTTTGATTAGTTCAAAATTATTGTTATTTATCACTTGACTATTTATATTCAAAATAATTGTGGTCTGTGATTCAATTTTGTTTTCAATGATAGCTGATATGGTCAGTGGATTTCGTCAGCTTTTCACTGATAGCTCAGAACTAACTGCCTCCTAGCCCTGTTGATGTTCCATGCGCTAGAAAAGATCTGTTGATGTTCCATGCACTAGAAAAGATCTGTTGATGTTCCATGCACTAGCACTTAAGCATGTCTTTGTAACTCTTGCAGATAATCCATGCCAAGACAACAATGGTGGATGTGACCATGTGTGTGTCAACTTGTTCGGAAATAAACACAAGTGTGACTGCAACCCAGGTTTCACACTGATGAATGGCTCCCAGACTGTGTGTACTGACATTGATGAGTGCCAGGACAATCTGATTCATGGCACCTGCTCTCAGATCTGTAAGAACACCAAGGGAAGCTACAAGTGTGAATGTGTTCAGAATTATTCACTCGTCAACAAGAGATACTGCAAAGCCGACGGTAAGTCATTTGTGCAAGTCATTTTCTAAACATTTGAAAAAACACCTATGAGAAGTACCTAGGTTATCTAACTTTTCAGGTTTTTAGGGAATATCCCTTGAGCTGATTTAATTTTAGGGGTTTTTTTTGTGTACAATGTTGAGCTGTCCGACTAAACTGTTTTCATCTAATCTTTATTCAGGAGGCCACCCACAGCTGCTTTTAGCAAGTAGAAAGGATCTTCGAAGAATTACACTTGAAACATTTGATTACAACCTGCTCCTCGATGATGGCCATATATCTGATGCTATTGCTATGGATTTTGATTTTGTTGGAAAGAAGTTTTACTGGACAGATGTCGCAAAAGAGGCTATTTTCAGGTGAGTTTGTGATGTAGATTCTTTGGAGTGATAATTATAACATCTCTTTTTGATGCTTAAAATATAAATGGACTTCAGTGAGAATTGTTTCTTACGACAGGCCTTTCACTTGTGTAATAAAGTTGAGACAATTTTATTTCTGGATAATGTCTAATGCCACTATCAAATACTTCTGCGCAATATAACTGATTTACCGGGTCAGACATAAAAACGATACGTATTGCGATACACTGATCGAAAACTGGTAATTTGATTTGCATTCAGAAAAATTCTGAACACTCGGATATTTCCTTTTTTCATTTGTGCCAAATATCATTTACTTTTTGATTTTGTTATGATTAAAAGTTGTTATTAAAGCTTAATCAAGCATAGTGATCTTTTTGTTTTTGCTTTATAAATCAAGCATTAACTCAATTATAAGTAGTTTTTTGTTTAAAAATACTTCATGCAATATATTGCAATACATATCGCAATATATGCTTTCGCATCGCTATATATCGCAATATGAAAATTCTCTGCAATGCCCACCCCTACTATCAAAGAGACCTACTTTTATTTGGTGATGGTCATTCAGTATTGAAAATGTAAGGTATACTGTGTATAAATGGCAGTTGAGTTCAAAATGTACAAAACAATCATTAAACCAACATTCAGAGTAAAACACCAACATGGAATTGTTTTCTCCAGAGCTGACTTCGACAACACATCATCGATTGAAGAGGTAGCATCCACAGATGTCAGCACTCCTGATGGTCTTGCAGTAGACTGGATCAACAAGCACCTCTACTGGACTGACACTGGCTTTGACAGGATTGAAGTTTCCTCGTTGGATGGCAAAATGAGGAAGACTCTTATTAACACAGGATTAGATGAGCCAAGAGCCATAGTACTGGATCCCAACCATGGGTAAGTTGTGAGAAGATTCAACCTTAAAGCAGGCAACATATGTTTTGCTTAATGTAATTTTTTAAGAAATAAATTGGCTCTTCGGTTAGAAATTACTTTGACCGAGATCATGTTTGCCAGTGGACTATTTTGTTCTTTAGTCAAAGTCACCTTTTTGCACAGAAATCATGTCATGTCTTACACATGAAGTTTTTGGGTGAAATGTTCAGTTTGTTGTTTTCTCTGCAGCCTTATGTATTGGACTGACTGGGGTAAACAGCCTAAGATTGAACGATGTGGAATGGATGGTAATGACAGGAAAGTGATTGTCAACACAACCATCACCTGGCCTAATGGACTCACAATCGGTAGGTAGAAAACCTTGTTTGTTGTGATTTGTTTAATTTATTGAAACGTAAGAAAGTTGTCATCCTAATGCTGGAAGTCACATGATACTTGGATGAAAATTGAGTAATTTTATAGAAATCGATGCTTTTTCGGGTTGTTTTTTTTCTTTCTTAAAGGGTAAATTGTGTAGACGTGTCATTATTAATGTCTTTCTTTGTCATTGATGGTTTGTTATTTATCAGTTTACTCAGTTTTACACCCATTGGGACCTTTTGAAACATGCTCAATTGTTACAGGTTTTCAACCAATTTCTTGTCATTTCAGATTATGTTGCTAACAGACTGTACTGGATTGATGCCAAGCGCCACACCATCGAGAGCTCAAACATGCATGGATTAGAGCGAGTGTCTGTACTGAAGAGCCACCTGCATCTCAACCATCCCTTTGCCATCACTGTCTTTGAGGTTAGTTTCACAGAATTGTATCAATAGTGAGGTTTTGTAGATTAAAACATGTAAGCAAATTTTGTCCGTATGCACATTTAAATCTTTCAATAATTAATTAAAATGGACTCCGTCCGTCCATGCACATTTGTCTTTTCCGGAGCAGAACTCTAAAACCGTTCAATATTTCTTCACCAAACTTAGCACATGGATTGGTCTGGTGGTGTATTGGTGCCTTTTGGTAGTTTTGGAATTCTGAATAAAATATTTTTTGCATTTCCATGGCAACTAGTTTGACTTAGACTGAAATTGGTGATAGTGCTCCTTCCACTTTTCTCTATACACACCTAACTATTTGACATAATCATAACTTGTAGACATAATCATGAAGAGTATTTTGCCATTGTGGGGGATGTTGATGACTTTGTCTTCTTGTTTACTTACATTATTTGTTTTCTCTTTAAGGATTACCTTTACTGGACAGACTGGCCATCTGAGTCTGTCAGGAAGTACAGCAAGTTTGGAAGACGTGGTGATGAAGTAGTCAAAGTGGAAACAATTGCCCTCAATCTGCATTCACCCATGGATGTACATGTATTCCATCCTTACAGACAACAAGTACAGAGAAGTAAGTACATTGAAAACAAAAATTTGTTTTAAATTTTAGATTTGATGCTTTCAGTGAAATAAACTTCACAGAGCAAAATAATCTTCCTTACAAAGTTTCAAGCTTGTTGTTAATGTGTAATCAGTTCAAGAGGTCAATGTGAAATGTCAAGTTTGATTTCTTGGAAGCTGCCTATTTCAGTATTTGACAAATGTTTGTCTAACAAATATATCAATCTTTTTTATGATAGGGTTGTGTGGTGATAACAAAGGCGGCTGTTCCCACTTCTGTCTCCCGAAAGCTTATGATGTCACCAACACTGAATTCTTTGTCTGTGACTGCCCCAATGGATTCGTCTTGTCATCAGATAAGAAGACCTGTGTTGAAGGAGGTACGTTTACATCAACACGTGTGTGCAGTAGTTAGCTGATGATTCACTTTGTGTTTGTGTGACAAAGCAGAAGTTAAAAGTACTGTCTTACCAAATTCTTTGGTAGTTCACACTAGCCTATATTGTTTAAAGTAAAATTAGGACTAGAATATTTTCCTGCCTTTTAAGAGATGATCTTTTTTGGACATTATTCCAGCCAGTAAAAGGTTCATGTTAATTTCTACCACTGCTAGAAACCACATCACTGATCCAAATGTGTATTATTCACTTTTCAATATTTCGCTTCTCAGGTAATTACTCGGTTAATGCTTCTGAGATCTAATATAGTCTATCTGCTACTGTAATGGACGTATATTTCATCATATCTGTAGATATTAGATATTAACCTGTAATGCATGTCATAACTGTAACCTTGTAGACATCCTTCCAAGCCAGAGTTGTCACCTACAGCATTCACAGAAATAAATTCACCATTGAGTAATAGTGACTTACGTGGGACCTTAACCTCTATCAGAATATTGTGTTAGTTTCATTAGACTTGCCAAGTCGTTGACAAGCTTCCCACTGAACCCTTGAAAACCTGAAAGACCAATCTACTTTTCAATCCTAGACGGCATGTGGCACCCATGTTTTGTTTGGATGTCTTGTTGATAGATACTATGAATATGTCCCTAATCACAAGATTTGCCCTTGATGGTTGACCCCACATCTGTATGCTGCAACTGCATGAACCTGGTTGTTATCCACAGACATTACAACCGGTACTACACCCAGCAAAGCCAGTCCTTCTCCAGTGCCAGTCAAACCAGATTCTCCAAATAGAAGTCACAATCGCTCATCTAGTCATGGTGAGGATAGAGTGCCATATTTCTTCATGTCAGGTGTAGGGATTTTGGTGACAACATTCTCGATAAATTTCATGCTGATTTGGGCTTAATGCATTGTATATATCATCTTTGTTGCATAAGTCATGACTTAACTGTTTTTATGTATCATTAGTGACCGTTAATTTGTAGGGTGGCTTACCTGACTATAGAAATCGATACTTATGATGCATATCTATATCCAATCCTCAGTGTTTGAAATGAATGCATATGTAATATGTAGATGCATGATACCAAATATAAGCATGGTTTACTATTCCGTCAAATGTTTGACAATTGTTAGCATGTAATCGACACTGTATACATACTTAACTGTGTATTGGTGTGTGTGCACTAACTCTTGTATAACAGCATACTGCTAGTAGTAGCAAGAAAATGACTAATTGTGAACATGATGGAGTTTCCTTGAGTTAAAACATTCCTTTCATTGCAGTTCCTACAGTTGTCACCACCAGTAAGCCCACAGTACCTGAGGTGTCCACAGGAAGTGAAGTAACGGAAGGTTCTGGCTACTCCATCGTCACGCATCCAGACCAGTTGAATACAACGGAACAGCACACACCAGAGCATATGGCGGAAGAAAATATTGGACACATTGCTGGCATCGTCATTAGCGTCCTGTGTGTCCTCTTCATCATTCTTGGAATTGTAAGTATAAGATGTTTAAAACCTGTATGGATGTTGCTGAAAAATTGCTGTTTTTGTTTACTGACATTTTTTATACATAAATACTACATGTTGCGGCACCAAGTGAGGCTTGCAAATGAAATTTACACACACACACACTGGAAAAGCAAGATGGTTATTTGGTGTTACAAGTCAGGAGTCGTTGTGATTTCCTTAAGTTCGAAAAGTCAGCCATTTTGTGGGATTCCAAGATTCTTATACTGTAAAATCAAACCTCATGGACCCATCCTATTTTTGGAAAGAATTTTACGGGAGAGAGAATTGGCTCAATTGAGGGTAAAATATATACATGTATGTGGAAGTGTACTTTTTAGAATATTTAGCTGAAAAGATTGACTGGCTGTGCATTTATTGGCCTTGCTTTGTCTGTTTGGTGGGCATAGCTAGTAGGGCTGCAACGAATACACTATTTGGCGAATATGATATGTACCACGAATATTGGGTAACAAATACGAATAATTATTCATGAATACAATATTGTAGTTAAGTGATTGATGCACAATATGGAACGCCCATGTTGATAGTGTTAATTTGTCACAGCAATAACCAGTGATCTCCTGACACTCAAATTTGTTATGTAATAGTCAACAGTACCATGTGCGACCTTGGCAAACTAACGTAACGTGCGATACTACAAGGATAGTACATATTCCATTCTTGCATATCTCACTTTGAAAAAGGACATAATGGTTCAAGTAAAACACACTCCCTTAAAATATTTGTAAATATTCGTTAATATTCGGTTAAATTCGATTCTGGTGACCACGAATAACGAATTGAATTCATGAAGGGCTACAGTTTGATTCACCGAATAAGCGAGTGAATCATAACAGCCTTAATGGTTAGTGCAGTGCCATAACCTGTGTATTCTCTTGACCAGCATCTGCAAGTCATGAATGGAAATCATTGATTATAATCCTTATTCAGTACCTTTTCCTCCTCATGGATTTACTTAGGATATTATTGAGATATTTTTCAAAGCGGTGTTAAAGATGAAGTTTACTCACATTGTCCATTTGTCTCACGTGACTTGGTTTGCTGTGCAGGTTGGTTATGTGCTGTACAGAAGATACTCCCGAGGAAATGGAAAGAGCATGAACTTCGATAATCCCGTCTATAGGAAGACAACCACAGCAGATGACGTCACCATTGAAAACAAGTTGCCACCGGTAGGTTCAATGGAAGATCTTTCTGTACTGACATATAGCATGTTAATATAAATTGGAATCATATTTTATTTTTATTTTTTTTATGCACAAAGTATGGAACATGTTGCCCAAGTCTTATCTAAATAAAAAGATAGCTTTTGTTTGTTTGATATTTTAAGTTGAATTCTCAATCAAGCTGCTAATGAAGTATTTAAGATGAAATGTGAGGTTTGGCTTCTTAATGTGACGAAAGAATTCTGAGGAATCTCTATTGTGCAGTATTTGTAAACAGATCCCTGCCTTTTATCTTTGCAGAGCATGCAGCCCTTGACACAAAACAGTGGCGATGTTATATGTTGAACATAGGACCATCTGGCTTGGCTACAATCATCATCTGACAAGTGGCTTTTGGTAACAGCAAGAATGAGCTGTTATGTAGCAGTGAATAACAGTGACAACATGAGTTACTGCAGAATAACAGTAAACAGCCTTTATTGCCATCAGGCTCTGCTAATGGAACCATCATGAACGTGATGCTTGTGTGGAACTTCATCTCTCATTGTTGCCCCACTGAGTGTTGTCGCTGTTGTCATCGCCACGACTACCACCACCATCATTGCCAAGTGACTGCCGTGGTAATGTGCCAATCATGTGTCAATCATGTGTCTACTCACTGCATTGCTGCCAACTTGATGTCTGCTCATACCACGCCAGCATGGCAAAAAGTGCATCATTGTGATCAGTTTCCCTTGCTATGGTTGTTAAGACTTGGATGAATTCATAGAAACGGAGAATGTTTATTTCATTATTAAATTATTTTGTTGATTTGTCTGTGTGTGTACATTAGCAGCATGCAATGCCTGAAAGTGTGAGAGTTAGGCTGAGGCCCTCATTATTTATGCTTTATCACGAAAAAAACTCATCATTCGCCTCAGTTGTTGACTTCGAATATGACCGAGTTGATCATGTGTTCCCCATAACACAAAAATTCCACTGACAATGCCTGCTCTCTGCACTGGGATGTTGCAAACTGAACAAAAATGTGCTGGACAGATGGATTGTATTCGTGGATGGTGGGCTGGAATGAAGACACATCACCAAGGGTCTGGGCTAGACAGGACATGTTGGTGCTCACCAATGCCCTACAAGCACACTGTGCTGCGAGCTTCCCCCATCACCGAGGACGTCTCATGGAGATCTTATGGAGTACTCCCCATCAGTGCACCATCACAGTGCTGGTACCTTCAGCAGCAATCATTCCCCTTCAACTGCTGAAAACATCCTACCTAAATCTCCATGAAGTTCGAGCCACTGACACAGGAACAGGGCCGGACAACCAGGCCAAAAGAGAACAAAGTGTGGTGTTGAGGATGTGTGAGGCAGAGAGCAAGAGACGATAACTATTTATTCCATGGAGGAAGGCCAGTTGGCTAGACCCATGTGCCTTCACCTCCTGTAATAAACAATGTCCTTCAGTCAAGTGTGTACATATTAATGTTCCTGTAATGTATGTGATGATATGTCCTGTGTGTGTGTGGATGTGTATGTACATAGTGTCATGTGTATAGAGTGGTGTGTTTACATGCTAGCGTTGCTACTGCATCAGGCTGTGTTGGAGCTCACTTGAGCTCGAGTTATCAATCTCATTAGGACCTTAAGGCCATGGCTGCTAGATTCACTGGACGGTGGACTCCATAGACAGCTTCCCTTTGTGCTTGCTATGAGCGTTTCAGGCAGTAGTGCGAATTAGGATCAGCCATTCCGTAGTTAGAAGTACCCTTGCTGCATGCAGCTGTCAGGACACACAGGGTAAGCAGATTATCAGCTTCCTGCCACCTCTGCAATCAAATATTTCAATTCTCTGGGTGTGCCAGACAGGTGTTCACTCTCAGGACATCTATCATATGAAACCAATAAGTATGCATCATCTCAACCAATAAATCTAAATCATACCACGATTAACACCTATGCCGCCTATGTTTTTACCATCTACCATTCGTTTTCACTGCCTTTTTGATGTTTTATTGAAATCCACTTTGAGTTTGGTCAATATTGTGCATAGATGTGGCTAGTGCAAAAGTTTGGTTAAAAAGTGCTCATGTGTTTGGTTGTGATAATGTGGTTTATACAATGCACGTACAACTGAGTTTCAAGTTTTGAGGGCACCTTTTCTCACAATGCAAAACCTGCTGAGCTCTTTCTCAGTAGGCTAAGTCACATCGTGTTAATATATTTAATGTTTGTTTATTTTCTGTATAAAATTTGTATATTAACATCCTGTACAGCTGCTTGTATATTGTTTAAGAACATAATGTAATTGTGAATCTCAGAGCAGACACAGATTCAGTGTACGACAGAATGAATGAAAGCGAATAGAGAGCCAGCGGGAGTGAACGATGTTTGACTGTGCAAATAAGTATGGTTGTTTGTGTGGCTGTATAAACGTTTGGTGAATTTCCATTGTAAATGTGTAGATAATGTGCTCTGTAAATCAAGAATGTATCATTTTTTGGTCAAAAATGCAATGTAATAAATTTCTATTTAAAGATACTCCGCATTTGTGTTTTCGTTCCCATGGAATTCACATTAACTACCACATTGAAAATATGTGAAGATGACATTTTCACAAGGGGAGAATTTGACTATTTTATGTTTTGGCTGCCTTTTGATTTCCGTTGATGAAGCAAATATTTTCTCAATGCCTTTTTCAGGATATTTAAGGTCGCGCATTTTCGTTAACGGTGACCTACATCCAGTCTTCACAATATCTCCCTAACCTTGATTGTTAATGTTCTGTCATATGGTAAAACGCGTTTTAGATGTATTGTTTTATCTTTACAATCTATTTCTGTATATTTAAGTAAGGCATGGTTATGCCTGTATTGAAATGGGACATGTTACATATCCCCAAAAAGCTTACGGAAAACTACACCAACTGTAATTTGCGTACCGTGTCCTCACACACCTCATGTGACGTCATTCATGAGCCGTTTCGAGGCACCCCAAAGTCACGTTGTGTGAATGATATAGAACGCGCAAGCTCACCGCCTGTACCTTCGTATGGTTTTCACATGTGTAAATATTTAGTGGCTCGTAGTATTTAGGTCACAAAATCGTAGTTTCTGTTGAGCTTTCCAACCCGCCTCTTGCCAGTCCAGTTCAAACCTGACTATATCATGTAATCGCATCGATCGCAGCAGTACCGAAAATGATATTGAAAGAGACGATTTAGTTTATCATTTAGGCGCCACGATGTAACGGCCTCTCTGGGTGTTATTACATCTGAAGAATCATATATTGAGTAATAGGTTCCAGATGGGAATGTTTCTTGTTAAAATTGGGGTTACGGGCATTTGGATATGTTATTTACAACGCTGGTGCACGTCCTTGAGACGAAACTTGATCCCACCCATAGCTCAACGTTCAAGTCTTTTACTGAGTATACGGTCTCGTTTATTCAATAAAAATTCGTGTCCACAATTTTGAATATGATTGCAGTGGATTTACTGGTTATTATAAGAAATAATATCATTGTTAAAAGTATTTTGACAGGCACTGACTTCACAGGTACAGCTGAATGTACATTGTCAGAAACAACTATCAAAGTAATTTAATTGTTTGAACGTAGCCATGCGTAACGTCATAAAGTCGAAGCGAACTATTCAATCCTTTGTTGGATGATGAAATACTTGTTTAGGGGGGGAAATACCTCAAATTATGTAAGCGAGACGAAAACGGCTGACCTAAATTTGTAATGTCTAGTATACATGTACATGTACATGAATTCTCATGCTGAACACACACAGATAGATGCAATGGACGTCATTGTACACGTTTGGCTCACAAAACTACTACAGATCGTTATATCTACACAATGGTGTCTCCTTCAGGAATGAACACCATATGGTAATGGACGGCGACACGTAGAATGTCGGTTCGATACAATCGATACATTGAAGCATCTGGTACGCCCTCGCAAAACCCGAATTGTGATTCAAGGGGAATAACTCTTGCCTTGTTTTTCTTCGTCAATGGGAATCTATGATCCTTCAAAGTAAGGCAGTTGTTTCTTCGCGGTCGTTTACAGTAGGTTAGATATATTCGAGGAGGCTGAGACCTGGTCACTCTTTTTAGATTATTTCACTGCTTCTTAAATTTAAATTAAACTTATAATTGCTTTACACAGGTTCAGATTCTCTTTGCAGCAAAATCACAGTCGCTCCCAATACAGGAGTGGCTTTATGTAGGATTAAGCTGTCACAGTAGTTCAGCTGTATCACCGCGATCTAAAGAATCGTCTGAAAAACCAGTGGTTGATAGCATGAATAAAGATCCACAATTCAAAGCGATAACGCATTATTACCCCGGATAACCCAAGCTGCCAGTGAGGTTAACAGCCATATGACTTATCCCACCGGGTACCCATTCACTGCTGGGTGAACAGAAGCAATTCATGAACAAACTCACTTGCCTAAGGTGAGACCAAAGGTGCCAAATGTGCTTAGTTGTGGGGCAGGACTGAAGTCCTAGAATCTCGCAGGAGTTAAGCTGCTAAACAGTCATCGATCCAAGGACTGTCCTCGGCCAACATTGCTTAACTAAAACTGATTTGTGACATGGGCTGTATGCACAAGACCACACACCAGGTCGTTATTGTCAGTAAATATCACCAGGTTATTCCCTGTATATCTCCATATTAAAGATACCTATTTTAACTAAGTGTCCAGTGGCGTGTTGCTATCATTGGTCACTGCTCTGACCGTGATGCTAACCCAGCTCTGTCATGTATGTCCATTCGGAACCACTCGGATTAATCCGTAACCTACATGAATACATAAGTAGGTCGTCCCTGTGTCATGATTTTGTTCACTTCGTGAGTTCGGCAGCTGAAAGACTAAAGCTAAGTCTGAATATATACGATTTTGAATGCAAATATTGCATTTTAACTGAAAAAGAGACCCAGTGATATAGGTGTCCAGAGCTTGAATCGGAGGAAAATATAAAACTGCTTTCGCATTGCGGAAAGGAAATATGGTCCAGAGACTGTGATTCAGACAAGTTGATAATGTGCCGCCGGTTGCCGTCACTTACGCTTACTCATCGTGTTTAGAGGTACAAAAGCAGTCAGGCGTGATGACCCCCCAAAAGCGTCAACTACTTTCACCTACAGTTTTCTCAAAAGGACCTTTATGCGCCAGTGATTTGTGGCATTTCAAGATGGCCCGCATCACTACACGCATGTACAAAAGGTGGCATGTTCTGGCTGTGCAAAATGTTTTTTATTGTATCAAACTATACAAATATATTGATGCTTATCCAGTACTAGTATGCGTATGCTCAAATGGTGCTATCTGTTCCCAACCGGTGTACACTTGCATAAGCATTCCACACATTCTCAAGTCGGGGCGGTGGGGGTAGCCTAGATGTTCAAGCGTTCGCTCGTCACGCCGAAGACCCGGGTTCGAATCCCCACATGGGTACAATGTGTGAAGCCCATGTCTGGTGTCCCCCGCCGTGATGTTGCTGGAATATTGCTAAAAGCGGCGTAAAACTTACTCACTATTATCAACTCCATGAGAAATATACAACCAAAGCTGTCTAAGTCACTTGCCGTGACATATATATTGTCAGTCAGTCAGTCAGTCGTCACGTAGACCCGGGTTCGATTCCCCAAATGGGTACAATGAAGCCCATTTCTGGTGACCCCCGCCGTGATATTGCTGGAAGGTTGCTAAAAGCAGCGCAAAACTTACTCACTATTATCAACTCCATGAGAAATATACAACCCAAGCTGTCTAAGTCACTTGCCGTGACATATATATTGGGTATTGTGTTGAGATGCAAGTCCTGTGTATAAAAGAAAGTATTATATGTACAACTATTTGTTATGTGAATGTTATTATATGTCTTATATTCAGTCAACCAGTCCTGTCACAAAAAAATGTATGTAAGCATTGTGATCTTCATATGCCGTTGTCTTCAGGCCTGAAAAGCAATAATGTTTTGTTCTCTTCTGTGGTTTGTTTAACTCCGCGGTCTGTTAAGAATCGAGTCTGGACCAAACAAGCCATTGATCAACAGCATGAGCACCACTCTAAGCAGGGGTGGAAATAACCCATTGCCCGACGCCCCAGTCCAGTGTTTTTTTCTGTCGGGCAAGCAAATTTGTATATCACACTGTACCGGTGTCCAGTTGACTTTCCAATGTTAATTATGTTGTATATTTAAAAAAATCAACAAGAAAATCGGCCAGTATAGTGGAAAAATTATCAGGGCAAGTGATTTTACATGTGCCGCTGTACCGGAGTACACTAGCAATTTTAAAGTTATTTCCACCCCTGCTAAGCCACTGAGATACGATGAAACGTGCCAACATAGTCAGCGAACCTGACCACTCGATCCCGATAATCGGCTCTTACGACATGTTTTGACACTGTGTTCTGGGTTCTCGGCGTATCTGTGATTCCACAATCTTGTCATCTTCTATCGTGGGCTCTTTTGAGAGCAACGGGTGAATGTACTGTACATTAGAGGTTACTGTTCTCGTACATAACAGTCCATTCATTATTTCAATATAGTTTGGTTTGTATTTTGCTAAAGAAAATCCAGACAATTTATGAAAGCGAATATTTACCATGCTAGCGTATACCTGTTTCATCTTGTTGAAATGCTCATGATGCTGATCACTGGATTGTCTGGTCCAGACTCGATTATTTTCAGACTGCCGTCATATAGCTGGAATATTGTTGAGTGCGGCGTTAAACAACAAACCAACCAAAATCAAGTTATATTTCAAGATCAAGCTAAATTATTCGAAAAGAGAAAACTAGTGTTCTTTGTAACAAAAACGTTCCCGGTGTATCATATTACATGGATTTATCACAATCAAAAGTATATTTCTTGTCGAGGTTGCATTTTCTGAAAATTAAGTACATGTATATTACATATGGAGGCTTCTTTCTGGAACCACAGGGGCGTGTCACGCTTAGAAACAGCGTTAGAAAGACATAGAGGTACATAGACCCTACCCTAATACTTTTATATAGTACTAGGGTAGGGTCTATGTACCTATATGTCTTTCTAACGCTGTTTCTAAGCGTGACACGCCCTGTGGCTGGAACAAATAATGCTGTGAAACGAGAAGTCCCCCCTTTAGCCCTTTTAATGCAGTTTCATGTAAAATGTTCACGTTCTTTCGCTGTCTTGAGATATTTTCTGTATCAAGAACATATGACCTTCTGTTATACTGTACATCAGGGTACTTTGGGGTATGCAATTTTAACACCGTCTTTTTAATATTAAACTCCGGGTCACTAAGTACAGCTGGGTCTCCATTAATCGCCTTGTTTTGAATATTGTTAAAAAGAATAGTGAGTGAGGTTTTACGACTCTTTTGACAATATTCCAGCAACATCACATCACATGCAAGATGGTTCAAGACAGAAATTGACAACTTTGTGTTCAGTATCAAAATATGGTTGACCTGACATCGGATAGGTTTTCTGATTTCCATAAATAGCTGAGATAATTGATTTGTTATTTATACATACAAATGTACACAACAAACATATGTTGTCAATTTATCAAAGGCAACGGAGTGCAAGTCAGTGCATGGCGATAACTGCCCGTGCCTGATCTAAGAGAAACAACTCTTTGTGAAAATTTCGCCTTAGACTGGTACCTTGTCTTTCGCCTTCCACGATTGCACAACGGTGAAGTGTGTCAAGAAGCGGAAACGCTTTAGGACAGGAAACCAGTTTACATTTAGCCGCCGCTAGGTGGTGTTTATATTACGCGCACTTGTCGCAACAGGAATGAACCCAGTCGAACAGACTCATTGTTAAACGCTGGCTGTTCTATTGAAAGCGTCGGTGTCAACAGATTATTCAAAATGGCTGACGTAGAAACCGAAACGAAAGCTCTGAAGGAGATGGATGAAGAAATATCGATGTCTCGTGGCATGAGAGCCGAAGTAAAAGTCAATTTTGAGAAATGTCGAGAGATGTTTGTCTTTGACCAAATGGGAAACAAAATCCGCTTCGGGGATGTTTACAAGAAACAAAAAACAATTGTTGTGTTTACAAGAGTAAGTAGCATTCGCACATGGCAATATTTACGTTTGATGACGCGTTGCTATGGAGACGTTTCATGTCTCATCCGCTTTTACTTTTACCTCAGTCAATTTCTAGGAACGTGTTGATCTTATCGGAATACAAAGTCGGGAAATACAAGGAGACTTTTATCATGATTATTAAAAAAAGAAAATTGAAAAAGTAAAGTAAAGTGTATTATTCTAAAATTTTTTTATGAAGCTGCAACTGAAAGTGAAACGATGAAAAGGATCTTTATTGAAGTGTTCTTTTGTACTTTAGAAATAAGAAATTTCAAGCAAGCTAACCCAATACTAATAAGAGAAAATCATAACATATATACAGTGTATAAAATAAGCCTAAAACCCAGCCAGACATCTGGGCTGGTAACTTCGAAAACTTACCAGCCCAGAAGATATTTGACCAGACCTTCTTAAATACTAAATAGACAGTGCCAGTGGACACGTTATTTGAATATTTTTTTCACCCGTCTAAAATTAGACCGCCCGGCAGAAATCTAGCCCGTCTCGGACTGTCTGACTTATTTCATACACTGATATATATATTTCTTATATAAATGGGGTGATTTTATTTCATATGATAAATTTAACCTTGCTTATTTTTATCCTTGCAGCATCTTCTTGACTTTGTCTGCCAAGAGTATGCAGATGGTAGGTATAGACGAATATGTCATCGTCAATGAAATGAATATTGCCTATATTTAACAATCTGTCTTTTTCGAAGCATTTATAATTTAAATTTTTAATCTTTGATAGGAACAAGTTATGAAAATTAATGCATGCAAAAATCCAGGGTTTGTGAGTGAGTAAAAGATCTAAAAATATCCTTTTCTGAGGCAGTTTGTAAATCCTTATCAAAGAGGTTGAAATGTTAATCTCTCTATCAGTATATGAAAATTTGAACAGGAACCTCCTGATGAAGTTCATTATATCTGTCGAAGTCAAAAGTAATAAACCAAATTGTTTCTCCAATTAAAACATGTTACACTTTGATTATCTAATTTGACATCTATACAGTACATATGTTGAAAAACACGATTATTTTCATTCGTCTTTGAGCGTAAGAGATTTGGTGAGGTGGTGAGGTGAAATTAGATTTAACGTTGTGCTTGAGAATATTTCGCTCATATGACGACGTGCATGCGCGTGTGTGTGTATGTGCGGCTGCTTGTACTAGCCCAGACTTAAGCTGGTTTTATAGTGCTAGCCCACTGAGATACCATGCCGCAGTGAAGCATGGATACCCCACTCAGACACATTATACTGACTCTGATCCGACCAGTCCTTGTTGTACCCATTAATGCCGAGCGCCAGGCAGGGACCAACCAGTACCATATTTTAACGTCTTTTGGTATGACGCGGTCGGGGATCGAACCCGCGACCTTCCGCCCTCCGTGCAGACGCTCTAACCACTACACCACGGAGGCGGTCGAGATTTGGTTAATAGATGTAAATTTAATATAAATAACGATATTCTGAGAACTATTATTATTTAACTGCAGCATTTATCAATTAATATTTTGGGTACAATGTACGTATATGGGTCTATATATGGACACTCAATGAGGATTTTAAAATTGAAAATTGATTAATGATACTGCTGCTTGGTGCCACTGTGAAAAAGATATGCTGTTAAAAATAACTATAAAAGATTGGTCTTCGTCGTCTTTACCACGCTTTAATGTAAAACATTGTGTGTTTAATCTGTTTCCGTTGTTTATTCTTCAGATCTTGCAATTGTTCCCCTAGAATATTTACAAGTAAGTTTTCTGATTGATCATGATTGGGATGTACATAGGCCATGACATTTTAATTGTTAGATTTATGTAATTATAAGCATTCCCATCTCAAATTAGTATTGTTCCCATCTACTTCCAGAGATAAGTAGATTTGTTCATATCTCCCCTTATGTAATAGATGCACCATCAGCATGTTCATAGTGCCCCCAACTACTCATGCTTTGGGTTAACCACATTTGTTAAGAGAGGTCTTGAAAATGTTTCTCAATGAAACACCAGTACAAAATAAGATGCCTCCTTTTTATAATTTTAGAAATACTTAGAAAATCTGACAATTTAACTGTTTTGGCAATCTCCAATAAGCAATTTACTATTTAAAATAAATATTTATTTTTGAATAATTTGTCACCAAGTTACTGAATTGCTGTACAAATGGTCTAGCTTTAACTTTTACTACTGGTATGTTGGACCAAGTAATTGAAAACTATTTGTATATGTTATCATTATCACTATGGTTTCATAACAAGAAATTCATAAAGTTCCTGATGATCCTTTGTGTTTGTGTCTTTGATTGTATCCTCATTGATCTCCATGGCAGGAAGCTGATGTTCGGCTTGTCATCATCCTCCATCACCTCACACTCTGATTAAGGTAGGTATACCGGTAGTCCGTTTCGCTCAAAAGTGGACCGATGAATTGCAATCTAACTCAAAAACTAATAAACATAAAATACTCAATGAAACGCTGATCATAATCAAAACATCATACCCACTCTGTGAGGTTTTTGCAGAATTTTTGTCCTAAAAATAACAAAGTTGTTGAACAAACTATCATTAAAATATTGAAACAGTTCACTGTTTGTTACGAGGGAGGAGTGCAGAGAAAGGGACAGCCAGGTGTTTGAGAAGCACATTCACAGACAAAGTTATTTATTCATTGACCTGTGCTGTGCCGTCTCCATCCGTTCTCGAACACCTGGCTGTCCCTTTCTCTGCACTCCTCCCTCGTAACAAATAGTGAACTGTGTCAATATCTTAATGATAGTTTGTTAAACAACTTTTTTATTTTTAGGACAAAAATTCTGCAAAAACCTTACAGAGTGGGTATGATGTTTTGATTATGATCAGCGTTTCATTGAGTATTTTATGTTTATTAGTTTTCGAGTTAGATTGCAATTCATCGGTCCGCTTTTTGAGCCAAACGGACTATAGACACTCTTAGGGTACCGGTGGCTACCATGGTAACTGAGGCCAGAACAATCAACAGAATTGTTTCATAATATGTAAGGTTTTGATATGCTTTTGTCATGTTACATATGTATATTAGCTACAAGCATTGACAATATTTTGTATGCAACAAAATGTCACAAAAGTAATTTTGCTCTTTATGTCATATGTTATATTAAAGGGACCATTAAGTGGTCAGACTGAATAATGGAACTGGTTTAAAAAAACTGTAACATAATCAGTTCACAGTTGAAGATATAGAATTTAAATAGAACGGTTTTAGAAATAATAATTTCTCACTGGACTAGAACTAGGGGAGTTAATACACATATTGAATTTTTTAAAAATTATTTACTCATTATCTTGTAACTACCAAATGTGAATGATAACTTGTGAATAAAAATGACTTGATTGCTTGATGTTTTTATCAGGAAATATTTTGTTTTGTTTTCATGGTTACAGGGGTTTAAGAAGGTGACAGGCTTTAACTACACAGTATATTGTGACCCGGATTATGAGTTGTTCAAGGCCATGGGTTGTGTGGAATCTCTGGCTTTTGGCAAGGTTGAAGGTAATTCCTCTCTTTCTTCTCACATACATATGGTTGTACATCATTATTTCTGCTAGTAGCTATGTCAGAAGTTATATCTGAGATGCCATTTTTTACCAATTTGGAAAAATCATGACAGTGAGTGAGTTTAGTTTGATTCCGCTTTTAGCAATATTCCAGCAATATCATGGCGGGAACACCAGAAATGGACTTCACACATTGTCACGTGGGGAATCGAACCCAGGTCTACAGTGTGATGAGCAGACGCCTTAACCACTCGGCTACTCCACCACCCCTATCATGACAGTGTTTTACTTCTGTCAGTATGATAAAGCAGTCTGTATCCAAAACTTCAACCAGCCCGAACATCGCTCTTAGAATAATACTTTGTGTTGTCATGTGTTAGCTGATCTTTATGGACGGATCTTAGTATAACAGAATTTTAATGGATGCAGGCTTTGGACTTGTGGATAAAATCACAGACAGCAAAGTGAAAATTGCATAACAAACTTTGTTATTATTTTGTCAAGTTGTTTATATAATGACTTCATTTTTTCATATATAAATAACTTGTGAACTATACACATGGAAGAAAGTATCACAACACCCATATTTTTATGGGTATATGGTAGGAGTGGGCGATAATACCAGTTCACCGGTATATTGCAATTCGAACTTCACAATACGATATATTGCGGTACACTTTTCGAGAACCGGTTTACCCAATACGATCGGCAATTTCCGTGACCATGATCAGTAATTTTCGTATTTTCTTTATATTATTATACATTAATAGTTTTGAGAATGTTAATTGGTCATATAACTGTATTTGCATGACTTTTAAACCATGTAAAAAATAGATTGGTACCGAAGGCTTTTTCTCGAGTTCCAAGCTTCAGAGCGAAATCTTCTGTTTGGAAACATTTTCAATTGGTCTCTTGTACAATCACATCTGAGTCCTGAAAGTGGCCGCTGGAATTGTTTCAAAAGAAAGGAACAGTAATTTCATTACCCTTAACCATGTGTTACACTTTCACAATATATTGCAATACATATTGCAATACGTCAACACATATCGCAATATATCGCAATATGAAAATTTTGGCAATACCCAACCCTAGTATATAGGAGTTAAGAAAGGTTGTTGCAAAAATGAATTATATTTCAACTCTCTGACTCTAATCATAATCAAAGACAAAAAATTTAGGGCTGTGCTAGACACATCCTCAATAATCTCCAGCGTATATATGTTCCGATAAATCTCCACTATACCCTGGATGAATCCACGGCTCGGCCCGATGATTTCATTACCTCCCTTGGCTGGCTTTTTATCCAATGAGGTGTCTACGCTGGGAAGTTGAGCGTACCAATCATGACTCACTTTCACTTCTTAAATTATCTAACCGATTAAACGTGGCAACACACATTGATGCAGAGGTACTCAAAGAGGTAGAAGGAGTTCTTGCATATATTTTTTTAAAGTTTGAGACCTGTCAATTTGTCTGTATGATTTCACCCCAAATCTGAGTCACACTGCGAACAAACCTTCACAGCTGCGACTGCTATCTTTGTTGACACTGGCAAGCTCTGTTGTAACGGCGGCTTAGCTGATTGCCTACTGTGAGTTTGAGGAGCCAGCAAAGGGAGGTAATAAAATTATCGGGCCGAGCCATAGATGCATCCAGGGTATAGTGGAGATTTATCGGAACATATATCCTGGATATTATCGAGGATGTTTTTAGACATGGCATTGTGATTTTAACATCTTAAAGTGAATTAAATGTCTAAAATATTTAAAGGCACAATGTCAAACACTTTTGACAATATTTTGGCCTATATTATATATATTGGGGCATATACACTCACTTTAGCTTCCTATTAATGCAATAATATCTTTATTATCCCTTATGACTTGCCTGAAATCGATAATTGAAACTTCGAGGCATACAGCCTCCAAACAGAGAACACATGCCATATATGGAATGTAAACAATTGCTCCGTACATCGAAAACTGTCGCATTCGGTGTTGTAGGTCTTTGCCGAAATGGTTTCAGTCGCCTCGTGTTTAATTACTCAAGCTAGGGATCTGCCTCTTGTCTAATTACTCCAGCTAGGGATCCGCCTTGTGTCTAATTACTCCAGCAAGGGATCCGCCTCGTGTGCAATTTCTCCAGCAAGGGATCTGCCTCGTGTCTAATTGCTCCAGCTAGGGATCCGCCTCGTGTCTAATTACTCCAGCTAGGGATCCGCCTCGTGTCTAATTACTCCAGCAAGGGATCCACCTTGTGTCTAATTACTCCTGCTAGGGATCCGCCTCGTGTCTAATTACTCCAGCTAGGGATCTGCCTTGTGTCTAATTACTCCAGCAAGGGATCCACCTTGTGTCTAATTACTCCTGCTAGGGATCCGCCTCGTGTCTAATTACTCCAGCTAGGGATCTGCCTTGTGTCTAATTACTCCAGCAAGGGATCCACCTTGTGTCTAATTACTCCTGCTAGGGATCCGCCTCGTGTCTAATTACTCTAGCTAGGGATCCGCCTCGTGTCTAATTACTCCAGCTAGGGATCCGCCTCATGTCTAATTACTCCAGCTAGGGATCTGACTCAGGTCTAATTACTCCAGCAAGGGATCTACCTCGTGTCTAATTGCTTCAGCTAGGGATCCGCCTTGTGTCTAATTACTCCAGCAAGGGATCCGCCTCGTGTGCAATTTCTCCAGCAAGGGATCTGCCTCGTGTCTAATTGCTCCAGCTAGGGATCCGCCTCGTGTCTAATTACTCCAGCTAGGGATCTGCCTTGTGTCTAATTACTCCAGCTAGGGATCCACCTTGTGTCTAATTACTCCAGCTAGGGATCCGCCTTGTGTCTAATTACTCTAGCTAGGGATCCGCCTCGTGTCTAATTACTCCAGCTAGGGATCCGCCTCATGTCTAATTACTCCAGCTAGGGATCTGACTCAGGTCTAATTACTCCAGCAAGGGATCTACCTCGTGTCTAATTGCTTCAGCTAGGGATCCGCCTTGTGTCTAATTGCTCCAGCTAGGGATCCACCTTGTGTCTAATTACTCCTGCTAGGGATCCACCTCGTGTCTAATTACTCTAGCTAGGGATCCGCCTCGTGTCTAATTACTCTAGCTAGGGATCTTGTGTCTAATTACTCTAGCTAGGGATTACTCCTGCTAGGGATCCAGCTAGGGATCCGCCTTGTCTAATTACTCCAGCAAGGGATCCGCCTCGTGTGCAATTACTCCAGCAAGGGATCTACCTCGTGTCTAATTGCTCCAGCTAGGGATCCGCCTTGTGTCTAATTACTCCAGCTAGGGATCCGCCTCGTGTCTAATTACTCCAGCTAGGGATCCACCTCGTGTCTAATTACTCCAGCTAGGGATCCGCCTCGTGTCTAATTACTCCAGCTAGGGATCCACCTTGTGTCTAATTACTCCAGCTAGGGATCCTGCCTTGTGTCTAATTACTCCATCTAGGGATCCACCTTGAGTCTAATTACTCCAGCTAGGGATCTGCCTTGTGTCTAATTGCTCCAGCTAGGGATCTGCCTCGTGTCTAATTACTCCAGCTAGGGATCTTCCTTGTGTCAAATTACTCCAGCTAGGGATCTGCCTCATGTCTAATTACTCCAGCTAAGGATCTTCCTTGTGTCTAATTACTCTTGCTAGGGATTCGCCTTGTGCCAAATTACTCTAACTATGGATCCGCCTCATGTCTAATTACTCCAGCTTGGGCCCTGCCTCATGTCTAATTACTCCAGCTAGGGATCTGACTCAGGTCTAATTACTCCATCTAGGGATCTGACTCAGGTCTAATTACTCCAGCTAGTGATCCGCCTTGTGTCTAATTACACAAAGAGGTATTCAAAAGTAATCTCTGACTTGCTTCTCTTGTTCAGACAGTAAACACATCAAGTCTGGCATCATCATGGGTGTGCTGCGCAGCACATGGAGGGCAATGCAGCAGGAATCACGCTTGAGGAACGGCGACGTCAAACAACAAGGCGGTTCCTTCATCTTGGGCCCAGGTAAACCCATCCTTACCTCTCTGGTACATCATAACATACATTGGCTACAACAGGACAATGTGAACAAGTTGTCATGCATCTTCAGAAACATATTGGGGTGGTGGCGTAGCCTAGTGGTTAAAGTGTTGGCTCGTCATGCCGAAGACCCGGGTTCGATTCCCCACATGGGTATGATGTGTGAAGCCCTTTTTCTGGTATCTCCTGTCGTGATAATGCTGGAATATTGCTAGAAGCAGTGTAAGACTGATCTCACTCACTCAGAAACATATTAACAGTAAGATGAGACTTTTGTGATAATTGAGTCTTGTAAAGGACTGCATGGTATTACCGATATACCGGTATACTGCAATAAGCTTTTCAAACAATACACATTGTAATATTTTTTCTGAGAACCAGTATATTGGGTAAAGAACATCAATGAAGTTTTTTGTGATTATCTCTATGGTTTAAATTAAAATCTACACAGACTTTCATTCACAACAGATGTTTTCCTCCGTTTTTCAATGACAAAACGGCATACTGTAATGCTATAAATTGTCTTAAGAAAAGAGACTAGAATCCCTGACTATACAACCTGAGTTTGAGATCACTGTTATCAGAACCATAGCATATATGTTTAGGTACTTATGATGTAGAAAACAGGATCAACATGTACTATTAGTGTCACTTACTGTCAAACACTTAAGTTTCGAATATATTGCAATATGGGTACCTGAATCACAATATTTTCCAATACAATTTATTTGCCAATACACTGCCCTAGTCTTGTAACCCGACAAACATTTGTAATATTGATCGCTAGCTGTTTTGTCACAGCACAATTATTTAAACTCACCCCAGACAATCAATATTCTATGTACATCTATCATTGTACCGCACGCACACACATTACCTGGGAATAAATAAGGAAAAACACGTCACAGTGATAAGACTTGAATATTTACAATATGCCATCAAACAAGACACAATTTAAAAAATGTATGGAGACTTGTTCATCCTGGGCTGAGGTAATATGGATGGAAACATTTTATAATAAATCTGGTAAACTGGATCCATGTCACTGTCAGAGGGCCATAACTTACCCTACAGAGTTGTCTTTTCTTGCTTGCTGCGACGCAGTGGTCAAGGTTATATGGAAGCAAGTCTCCAATCTTGATTTCAATTCATTCATCATTTATTGATTAGCATGCTAATGTGGTTTTATGTTAATGTCTAATTCTGTTGTTACAGGAGATGTTCTTCACCACGCCCATATTGATCAGAATGCCACTGATCATGCCAAAATCAATGACTTACTCACAATTGCGGGAGTGCAGAATGTCAGCTTCCCCAAAGACCGTCGTGTCCTTGAACTGTGACCTCTTTAACACAGCACCAGAGTACATCTGATACCGTCCTACATATTCATTCCAAGGATAACTTGCTCAAAAGGTTTAGTCACCAAAAATGGACTAAATGCCACTTGTTAGTGTAACACAGCTTGGAATTATTTGAGGCTCATATTGTCATGACTATATGTGCAATTGTTTCGCCACACCATATTGTTTATGTTGGGCCACACATCATCTCAATTATCCATTGTATACAGATCTTTCGCACTATGACAGAATCCCCACGTCAGCGTCATTTTGGGAGTGACGTCACCAGTTTCATTTCCGTCACTCATGAGCCAGAAGTAGATCGCCAAGCAAAACATTGAAATTAGTTCAGCTTCCATTTAGGAGTGGACCCTTGATGTATTTAATCATATGAAGTGCCTGTTTCAGAAATATTCTTTAACCTGAATACTTACATGGCTTGAGGAATCTGCACTAAAAAAAAAGCACTAGAATTCGTATTTTATTGAGAAAGTGACTCCCAAATATAACACTTGTTACAACTGCACAAGTCGAGTTGAGTTTTGTTTATATTACCATTTGTTTCAATCATGTAATTTGATTCAATGTCTATTTTTAGCTTTGTCTGATTGAAACTGGACTCAAAGCGAGGCTAAGGTGGCAAGTGATTCTAGAGTGTTTGATGCCATAAGTGATGATAAATAACCCTGGATAATAGAAGATGGTAAAATAATTCTCAACCACATCGCTGGCTTAAGTCGGTCAAAATGTCTCGAAAGGAAGTGGAATAAGCATCAGGTCGAAATGGAAAGATTCAGCAAGGTGGTTTAGATTCGGAGTCAGTATTTGTCGGCAAATATACAGGGTTGATGATGAGGGAGTCCTCATCATTTGGTGCATTGGTGGACATCCTCAACATATGACATAAAACATGAATCGTGCATAATAAAAGATACTTTCATGTCCACATCTTCATGATGTTTACATTGGTGTTTGTACATAGCAGTTTAAAGTGCATGTATTTGCGTTTTCGCTTCTGTGATATATAATATGTTTTGATTGTGTGAGATAGATTTTCAGTACAAAATACAATTCCCTTTTCCTGACGAAGAACAATACAATTAAAGATGACAGAAATATAATCATGATAAATATGCATTATAATTTTAATAAACTATTTTACTCAATCCTAATGTTTCATGAAAGCATTAAGCAATTAAAATTTGGCTAAAATATATACAATTTTCAATTTTTACCAGACTCAATATCAGTTGAGAATCACTTTTAATTTATTTGATTTAAATCTATTTCTATTTAGATAATCGATATGGTAATTTTGTAAAAATATTCTAAAATATACAGGACATAATATTTTGAAATCAGTCAAAAAACAAAATGTGAAGTAATAGATTCAAAATATATATTTTTCTTGTTTGGAAATTTTATCAATTTCTGTTAAAAATACAATTATTTGTCAGAAAAATATGTATATTCTCTACAGAATTGTCAATTATCATGATCATTTGAAAATACATATTCTGCATGTCCTTAATCATGAAATATCATCAGAAGTATAGCAAAACTTAGATTTATGCAATGAAAATTTCAATACAACCTACGCAGTAAGTTGATTAAGTTCGTGAAAAAGCCCAAGATTTGGATTTGGGACCAGCAGAAGACTATTGCCTCCATGTTAGTGGGCCTCACAGACCATGATATTGAATTATGCAATGGCGCTCAATCCCCGAAAGATTTTGCAATTAAACATTGTTCTGGGCGCCATTTGGAATATTTATATTTTGTAGATAAATGCAAATAAACAGTTCAGTTAGCTTTCTTTCATGGACTTCATGTTTATCCTGGAACTCCTGAGATTAAGGTTTGAAAAGACGGGGGAGATATGTCATAAATACAGCTGAGAAATACAGCTACTGTTTTGAAACCTGTTAAGATTTTGTAATAAAATATTTTATTTATTGTTAGTTCTTTTATTTAAGAACACATCGTATGATGTGACGCCGATCAGCTGATCTCATCATCATTGTCATGAAAAACATGCACAGTCAGCAATAATGATTGTTGCAGTGTCGTTTGAATGTGCAGGTCTTTAAACTGTTACCCTTTGCAGAGTTGCGTCCCTTGGTACTCTGGGCGCAGGTTCGATTTCACTTCGCCATCCCTCGCCTACCCAGAGTTCCGGCATGCGAATGGCATATAACCTCAAATACGTCTTCTTTATCTACAATCTGTCATAGAATGGATTACATCCAAAGAGTAAATGCCTTATAACATTAATACCTGTTTACGTCTTTTAGGGCAGCATTTTTATTTTTTGTGTTTCTCATCGCCGACCGACCCTTCTAATTTTATTGCCGAGCACCCCCCAAAAAACACCGCCGACTCTAACCTAAAACGTATTGCCTCGTCATATAAAATGTTTTATCTTTTAATCAGACGCTGCCGCAAGTCAAAAGAACGCGAGAAATTGTAATAAGAATAACAATAAAAGAGAATCAAGAACATTATTCAGATAATTTTGTCTTTATTAAGTTGTTTTGTTTGGGTTTTTTGTTTTGTTTGGGGGTTTTGGTTTTTTTTGGGGGGGGTTGGTGGTGTTTGTGTTTCACGACCTACCGACCCATGTTCAGAATTTGGTGGCTACGTGAAACACATACAAATTGATGGCCTTAATTAGTTTATAATGGTTGTACAGACCCGTGAAGATACCCGTTAGAATTTGAGTGAGTGAGTGAGTTTAGTTTTACGTCGCACTCAGCAATTTTCCAGCTATATGGCGGCGGTCTGTAAATAATCGAGTCTAGACCACACAATCCAGTGATCAACAGCATGAGCATCGATCTGCGCAATTGGGAACCGATGACATGTGTCAACCAGGTCAGCGAGCCTGACCACCCGATCCCGTTAGTCGCCTCTTACGACAAGCATAGTCGCCTTTTGTGGCAAGCATGGGTTGCTGAAGACCTATTCTACCCCGGATCTTCACGGGTCAGTTAGAATTTGTCTTCGGTAACCCATGCTTATCGTATGAGGCGACTGTTACAATCAGGTAGTCGCGATCGGGATCGATGACCTGATTGATGCACGTTAATTGTATTTTACTTTCCTAAATGTGTTAAATGTTTTATACATTAGGCAGGGCATGTCCCCGTTGGGATTCCGAGTTCGAATATATAAACCTCTTGGTCATTTCTTACTGGATCTGGTGATCAGGCTCGTCGACACGGTCGATTGCATGCACACGTACCCCATACTCATCATATCAATCACAGGTTTGTTTGGTCCAGACTCGACCTTACATAGACCGACATCATACAGGTAGAATGTGGAGTGTGGCGTTAAACAACAAAGAAAAATACACTATACATAGTGATGTCATAATTGTATCTGTTTCCACAGTCATAAATGCCAATAATGGGGATATAAAAATGGTGGGGTGTCATCGCAATAGTCTAAAATTAACAACGGGGCAAAGCTTAACCGTGTTTTCCTTTAAACAGGCAATAATGAGAGTACTAAAAGACACGCACGCGCGCACACACACACACACCATGGGCGGATCCGGGAATTTTGAATGGGGGTGGGGCTTCGCCAACGCAAAAAAAATCTTCAATGTGGTCTTAAGTCATTTTCAAAAGGGGGGATTCGAACCCCCTGAACCCCACCTCTGGATCCGCCAATGTGCGCACGCGCGCGCACACACACACACATACACCACTCCGAATAGCATTCCCGCATACTTTCATCTCATTCACAACTCACTTTAAATTAAAGACTTTAACTCGTGGCTTCCTTTATACGATATATTTTTTACAAATTAATACATATGAACTTTATTCTGGAACAATAGGTAAGTCTACACAGGTCTTTACGCTCACTGGCAGCGGCGTTAGTTCTGTCAATGACAGTTTGAAGCGCTGTTAAAATCTCGATATTGCCATTTTCAAACCAATCAGTATAATATCCAACAGGCTGGATATGAGGGAATTTAAGTTGAAAGAGATCTTTTTTTAATATAAAAAATGCGTATTTAAACATATAGGATTCATTTATGAGGTAAAAGTGCAGTGTTGTCAGTATATATGTAACCGCACGCGCAGAAAACTGGATCAAAACAATAACAAATGTTTGTTTGTTTTATTACGCCGCACAATATTCCAGCAACTGTAAATAATAAAGTATGGACCAGACAATCCAGTGGTCAACAGCATGAGTATCGATCTACGAAGCTGGGTTGCTGAAAACCAATTCTAACTCGGATCTTAACGGGTATTTACCTGAATGTGTATGCGCAATTGTGAACACTTAGTGAACTGTAGTTTGATGTTCATTCAAAAGAAATGTGGGGCGGTGGGGTAGCCTAGTGGTTAAAGCGTTCGCTCGTCACGCCGAAAACCCCGGGTTCGATCCCCATATGGCTACAATGCGTGGAACCCATTTCTGGTATTCCCCGCCACGATATTGCTGGAATATTGCTAAAAGTGGCGTAAAACTATACTCACCTGTTCAACTGAAACGTCGTACCCCACTGAGTTGGTACTGTTACCAGCATTGAATACACAGGGGTAAAACCACAAGCAGTCGCTGTTCATCTGATGCGCAATTTATTACTTCGTACAGAGTGAGTGAGTTTAGTTTTACGCCAATAATAGCAATATCATGGTGGAGGATACCAGAAATGGGCTTCACGCACTGAACCCACGTGGGAATTCGAACCCGGGTCATCAGCGTAACGAACAAACGCTTTAGCCACTAGGCTACCCCACCGCCCCCTTATTATATATAGGAATAATTATAATTAGTTGTAACACCTCTCATTGTCTATCCGCGGTCCCTCAGATTACCTAATAAAGACCATACACAATGAGAACGGGTCATCTACCTGTGTATTTAATCGTATGATAGTGTCTGTGTATTTCGTAATCAGTGGGTCCCATTTACCGTGTCTCTGTTGTAATTATTCAGTCAATGATTGGGTTATAAATCCAAGTCTGATGTAATCATTGTATCAACTATTATAATGACATCCAGCTAGAAACGAATGACCATTAGCGCTACTTTGATTGGACTTGCTTTTATGTTCAACAAACACTGAAACGACGCTTTACCAACCTTGAAATAAGTACATGTAGACACGTTTTCAAACGTACACTTAAACGATACTAAATTTATGAAATGAGTCAATTTTCGATCTGCATAAACTGACTGAATGACTGTATTTTTAGAATAATGTAGAACTATTCTGTTCACACACAAGGCCAACTGTACTATATCATTCTCTCAATCAATCAATCAATCAATCAATCAGAAGTTAAAAGTGTTAAAAAGAACAATGAGAACAGTGAACAATGAAACGAAAATACCTTAAGTTATCTGATCAGAACTTTGCCAACAGTTATAATTAAATTTATTCAAGAGAAAATTCAACTTATTTCTCTTTAACAATGTTGCACATTTATTTCACACATAATTCGCCTAACGATATCCGGCACCAACTATAAGATTTTCAGGAGGCATTGTTATTTTAACAAAATAATAACAGGATCAGTACAACAAACCTCCATCTATCTCTTGGAGAAAACGTTCTCAACGACGACGTTTTAAACACATAAGTGAGTGAGTATGGTTTGGCCGCTTTTAGCAATATTCCAGGGGCGCATCAGAAATGGGCTTCACACATTGTACCCATGTGGGGAATCGAACCCGGGTCTTCGGCGAGACGAGACGCTTTAACCACAAGGCTACCCCACCGCCCCATGTAATTAATTACTACTAGTCTAAGGCAACATGGTTCCCCGCCGTGATGTTGCTGGCATATTGCTAAAGGCTGCGTAAGACCATATCCGTGCTCACTCCTACATGTGAAGCATTTTCGCTCCTTCGCGTCATTCATCAGAGCATAGCGAAAACTTCGCGAAAGAGCGAAACTCCATGCAACGATGATTGTGTTTTTAAATATGTATACATGTAGTTACTTTGTCCTGCTCTATTGCCTACACTCCAAACAGTTATGGCCAACTATGTTGTGAGTGAGTGAGTGAGTGAGTATGGATATTTAGCAGTATTCAAGCAGTATAACGACACACGCTCTATTTATAAAACTGATATAGAAAAGGACCAAAATATTTTTGCAATTTGACAAACTGTAATATTATGAAAGATCTTGGAGATGCTGAATGGTAGGGCTGTGTATTAGAAATAAATTGTATTGCAATATATTGCGATTCATGTACCCGCATATATATGCAGTATATTTTGATACAATACACCGTATATAGTATTACAATATTTTTGTGAATGACAGTAGGCCTATGTGTAGATTTTGATTTAAACCATAAAGATAATCACAAAAACTTCATATATGTATTTTACCTTACTATACCGGTTCTCAGAAAAGATATATTGCAATACGTATCGTTTGAAAAGCGTATTGCGATATACCGGTAATACCGTGTACAGTTATATTGAATGGTAACTTCAACGATATCCTGTCCCGTGAAGATCCGGGGTAGAATAGGTCTTCCGCAACCCATGCTTGCCACACAAGGCGACTATGCTTGTCGTAAGAGGCGACTAACGGGATCGGGTGGTCAGGCTCGCTGACTTGGTTGGCACATGTCATCGGTTCCCAGTTGCGCAGATCGATGTTCATGCTGTTGATCACTGGATTGTCTGGTCTAGACTCGATTATTTACAGACCGCCGTCATATAGCTTGAATATTGCTGAGTGCGGCGTAAAACTAAACTCACTCACTCACTCAAAGATATCATGTCTACTTGGTATGATCAATTACTTCCAATAAATTAACATTTTTGTTATCCAAACATCCATCGTCGCCATGCTCATTTAGTTGGACACAATAACTAACCCTTATGATGTACCTATGTTTTCACACTTCGAAATTAGTAAATCTTGTTGCTGATGTATAATTAATTTAGCTGGAACATGCCTGTAACCCGTGGAGTCTGTTGCTTGAGTGGTTCACTCCCTGACTTTATGTACCTATGTTTCCACATTTCGAAATTGGTAAATCTCTGTTGCTATTAATGTATAACTAGCTCGAGCATGCCTGTAACCCATGAGGTTTGCTGCTGGAGTCGTGCACTCCCTGACTTTGTATACTAATAACTATATTTTCTTACTTTGAAAATTTGTAACTCTTTGTTGCCAAAATGTAACCAGCCCTAACATGGAGTTGTGTACTCCCTGTCTTTGTATACCTATCCGAAATGAATAAAAATATCTTTTTAAAACCCCAAAAATATAACCCTTATGCACTTTAATTGTCGCACCCTACACTGAGACTTATCTGTTCACTATTATTTCCAATATCGTCTTATAATTAGTGCGGAATGTGCTTGTGTTCGAGAAGAATGACAGCGTTCCCTTTTTTCACGATACCATTAAGTTCACTACGTACATTTCATAATATATTAATTACTCTGAGTACAAGGTTTTTCATTCATGTGTCATGGATCGACAGAACGCTCGGTGCGCCTAATTTGTATTTATTCCTTGTTCAACGCGTCACAGTTAACTACGGGAAAACCGATGTCCATACGGAGTGCATGACATGCGAATTCCAGTATGTGCCGCTACTTGCCATCGATCCATCGGTGTCTGTATCAGAATGCTAAATGGGGCAGTAACCCCGCTTTTCGGATGTGTTTCTAGCCAAGATGTGCCAAACAAACTTTTGATTGGTCAGGGGTGAAATCGTCATGACTACAGTTGTTGTACTGCACGTGATTGGCCGAATGTAGATCACGTGCCTATTCCCGTCTATTCGTTCTGTTCAAACATGGCCGTCAGCTAAACAGACGATAGTGAATTTGACATTTTGAAATAGCTGTTCAATATTTGGGTTTATTCCCGGACTTCTGGATCTGCCATCACTTCATGCATTTGGTTAATTACTATAGAAAGCATATCGGAGACACTTGGGGATCTACAGATCCCAGATTGGCCAGGGTTCTTCCCATGCATGTGATTACAGATCAAGACTCAGTTGTAAACAAATCCACAGGTCTTACTTCGCGTGATAGAATTTGACACTCGAGGTTAGGCTACTTTCAAATTATGGCAGATGAACATGATATCATAGGAAGCGCATCGGAGTTTATAAAAGGTAAGATTTTATTCTTTACTATATTTAGTGGTAAAAAGACCTCGTTTGTAACCTGTGTATGTCATTATGGCAAATCAAACGTGTTCAATCGTGTTGGGGCTTTTCCTGCCGTTTACTATCTTTCACTTTCTATATTTTGTAACAAATACGACCTGATATGATAAATTTTAGTAATATTGTTTGATGTATAAAAGTCACAGTTGCGATTCAGCTGTTAAGCGAAACCGCCTTTACCATTTTCAAGAAACTGTTCTCCACACTGACATGTGATAATGTGGGGTTGTGAAATCGAGAAAGGGGTCAATAAACCTATAGCCTATGTATACACGAACGCCCTCCCAGGAATACTTTGTCAGAAGCGTTAATTGTAATTATTGATAGTGCTAATAAGCAGGGTTTCAGATCAGTTCATTTTCTTGGTACATTGATTGACTCATCTACGATGTCCTAAACGTATTTGGTCAATTTTGACGATGGTACAGAGAAGAATGTCTTATGAAAAATGTCTAAATTTTTATTGTACTGTCGAGTGTCACTCTGGTATCATGATATTTACCAGTGCATATTATCGGGGTATCATGACACACCAAGTCCTGTCGTACTTTTATAACAGTCTCACTTTCACGAATAAAAAGTTGTGACTATGTGTTTTGAAGTTAATTTCATATTCAATGATTCTACTAGTACTAGTACTGTATTAAACATCTTCTACATACAGATATGGTACACATGTAGCAGTTGTACTTGCAGGCAAAGACCTGTATATTCTCAGGTTTCTCATGTGATTCTGCTGGAACATGCTGAAATGGCTGTTTTTCCACTATCAGATATGGTGTAAGTATGGCATTATAATTATTAATAGAGCAATTATGTAAATTTTCAGATCGCCTCTATTTTGCAACCTTGCGAGTGAAGCCAAAATCTACAGCCCATACTCATTACTTCTGCATAGATGAAGAACTTGTGTATGAAAAGTGAGTATATTTTTAAGTTGAACATTTTGTGTCTATGATGCAATATAATGTAACATGTGAGTAGCTTTACCGGTAAACCCAGTAACAGAGAACCGTGTAGTTCTGGGTTAGGATTGGTCTTCAGCAACCCATGCTTGTCGTAAGAGGTGACTAACCGGATCGGGTGGCCAGACTCGCTAACTTGGTTGACTCATATAATCTAGATTGATGCTCATGCTATTGATCACTGGATTGTGTGGTCCAGACACGATTATTTACAGACCGACGCCATATAGCTGGAATATTGCTGAGTGCGGCATAAAACTAAACTCACTCACATTCGAACTGTTTAAGATGTAAGGTTTAGAATGCTGCAGATTCCTAATACAGGAAGAGTAGCATAACATCATCATAAAGGTTTAAATCATAATGATAGAAGTATGAAGTTGTATACCACTGATGGTCTGACTGTGTTGATTTATATGATTGTTCTTTTTCCAGTTTCTATGCTGACTTTGGACCCTTGAATTTAGCTCTTCTCTACAGATACTGTTGTAAAGTGAACAAGAAGTTAAAGGTGAGAAATCTGATGCAGTGTTTGCTATGAAATAGATACAATACTATTGAATGCTGAAAGAAACCAGTCAGTGTCCAATATAGTCTGTGCTAATACGTTTATATCTAACAGCCCAAACTTGGCTCTGTAATATAATATTCTTCAGTAATTTTTCATGTTATCAAACTGTATTTTATGAGCTGAAATTACCAGGTGTAACAGAAGTTTACTTGACTTTGGAGAAGTGACAAAATACAATGTGACTAATTAATACCTTCTGAGTAGTAGTGTGGGGCGGTGGGGTAGCCTAGTGGTTAAGGCGTTCTCTTGTCATGCTGAGGACCCGAGTTTGATTCCCCAGATGGGCACAATGTGTGAAGGTCATTTGTGGTGTCCCCCCTGCTGTGATATTGCTGGAATATTGCTAAAAGTGGCGTAAAACTAAACTCACTGTGTAGTACTAGTAGTAGTGCTGGTTATTGCTCACAATATGCAGACAGATAATCGGGAACACGGTTATCGATTGTAGATGTAAATCCAGGGGTGGAAATAACTAACTGCTAGTGTACTCTGGTACAGTGGCACAAGTAAAATCACTTGCCCTGATAATTTTTCCACTATACTGGCCGATTTTCTTGTTGATTTTTTAAATAAACAACATAATTAACATTGGAAAGTCAACTGGACACCAGTACAGTGTGATATACAAATTTGCTTGCCTGACAGAAAAAAACACTGGACTCTGGCGTAGGGCAATGGGTTATTTCCACCCCTGAAACCCCACCCCAAAACACATGTGGGCAATAATGGGAGTCAATCACAGTGCAAATGGAACAGGCACCAATAAATGCCATGATCAAGGACGATCAAGGATTCTTCCTGTTCAGACACGCACTCAAGTCTGTTGTTAACATTGCAGTTTTATGAGTCAGGAAACTGCATGTGTTGCTTATGTCTTGATTTAACAAACATAACAATAAGAAACATACTTTCTGAGTTCTTTTGATGTTTCATTTTATGCATACCGATTACTGGTAGTCGCTGTCACAAGTGAGACAGACTGACTAATTATTCAATCAATCTCTCCAGCACTATTGAGTAGATAGTACATGTAATATTATTATGAACCCTGGAATTACTTTGACTCAAAGGACAGTGGGCTGGTGTATTGTCAGGTGGTTAGAGTCTAAGACCCCCAATCCAGTGACTCCACAATAACATTGCAACAGATTATGAAGAAAGGCAAGATCCTTCGAGCTCATCCTAGAAAGATGTGATTCAGAATGGCGGTTATAGAACTGTCAAACCAGTTTATGTACCATGTTTGCTTTAATATCGGGACAAACAGAGGCTATCATCAAACATTTGCTTGGTAGTTTTATGGGACCGTCCTCTTTCTTTTAGTTTTATCACTGTTTATGAGTCAGTGTGAGTTATTGTTGATACTCATACTATTGAGATATGTCACTGTGGCTTATGAAGTGGCTTATTGTTAAATGTTTTGTGACATTCTGCAGCATTTTACCTCAACATACAAACATGGGGGTCCTGGGAACCCCTAATTATTAGTTTTAAGGGTCCTTGTGGGCAAAACGATGATCTTGCAAAGTAACAGTGTAGGGAACTGTACCTTTTGATAATTTCTTGAGAACCTGGAATGAATCATTGATCATGTGGACTGATTTATGAAATGATGCATATAACTGCTCAGAAAGAAACAACTTAGCAATGTCATAGATGTGTTGTGTGTACAATGAATAATATTGTGCGTCCATTCTCTACTTTTGTGAGTACTGGACGCACGTTTGTGTGTCATGTAAAACCCTGATTCTGTAATTTGGTTGAAGATAAATTGTATTAACATTTTAATGATTTTTGTAATTTTGTAACTTTTACTACATATTCATCAAGACCCGGTTCTCCAAATCATTTCTGGTGACCCCACCGTGAATTGCTCAAATTTGAAAACTACCTGTTACACAGGAACATTTTAGATGACAGTCAGTCAGTGTCATAGCTAAAGAACTCATCAAGAATGGTAACAGGTTTATCAGGGTTTGGCTTTGCCTAAAAACACCTCAAATGAGAGGGTTATGTTGACCTCCAGTGATAATTAGCATGTCTGGAGGCAGAAAGTTGTTTAGTGATCTTCTTTCTTGTGAGACATTTCTACAGCCAGTGGAAGCACTGGGATGATTCTTGCATGTATAAAATTAGGATTTTACTTGAAGCAAAATTTGCTCTTTTCATACAAACAAAAAGAAAATAGATGCAAGTAATTTACTTTGCGACAAAAGTAGGGCTGTTTGAGTTGGTTGTAGACTACAAACAGTCACCTAACTGACATCTATTATAGTAACAAATACTCTCATATTTCGTGTTGTGATGGGTTTTATTCAGATACAGTAAAATACCTTTATAACAAACTCCAAGGGACCACTGACATTAGTTCATTATGTCAGTAGTTCGCTATACACTTTTTCATATGATAATATAAGGTTTATTCAGTACTTTTAAAACAGTTCGCTATAGCCGTCGGGGCTGTGGGGTAGTCTAGTGGTTAAAGCGTTGGCTCGTCATGCCGAAGACCCGGGTTCGAATCCCCACATGGGTACAATGAGTGAAGCCCATTTCTGGTGCCCCCTGCCGTGATATTGCTGGAATATTGCTAAAAGCGGGGTAAAACCAAACTCAGTCAGTCAGTCGCTATAGCCGTCAGTTCGTTATATCCGTGTTCGTTATAAAGGTATTCTACTGTAATATTAAAGTCCTATGACAGACTAAATGTTTCTGAGCGTCAGTGACCATGCAGGGCTCGATTTAGTGCTTTGATAGTTTGCACTGGTGCAACCTAATATTACAAAGTGCAACCTTGTTATTAGTCTAAATTGCACCAGGTGCAAGTCAATTTTGAGTGGGTAAACCTCTGAATAAAACATCTAAATAATTCATAGCATATTTCTTTCATTACATATTCCAATAAAAGCAGTGCAACTGGAATCGGGCTGGTGCAAGTAGGTTTTTATCTTAGGTTGCACCCAGTGCAAGTAAGGTAACATCTCTTAAATCAAGCCCTGCCATGTGCAGCGTTATGACGTCAGTAAACATCCTGGACATCAATCAAGGCATGCTACAGGTCACTGTCCTGGAGTACCGATGTTCTTGCCCTGGACCCTTGAAATGTTGTATTCAGAGTGACAGTAAATTGTACAGTGTGTTTAAGTAAAGAATGAAACTAAAAGTAAAGGACCCTTGTCATGTTCATGATCACGATAAGCCTGATTTTAGAATTAAATTATGATTTTAGAAGTACCATGATCCATGCTTTATTATCATAACAACCATTTGGATAACAAAATGCGATATTAGATGACATCTACAAATATTATGAAGTCACTAAAGCAACTCTACAGTAGAGACTAAGAGATTTTCTACAGAAGAGACTGAGAGATCTTTCTTTGTATAATGAATTTTTTTTATTCAGCTCTTTAAAATAGTTTACTGTAAGCATGTTGTGGTTGAATGTGTGCACGCATGCCTGTAAGTCAGGAGTTGTCTGTGTGTTGTCAACATGGTGAATACAGTGTTATGGTAATATGGTTGTCCCTTTACATTTCTGAATATTTATTGTTGAAAAACACATGTAAAATGCAAATGATCTGGGTTGAACTGAAATAGCTGTAAAGAAATTTTTTCTTTGAAAAAATGCATGGATTAACATTAACAATTCATTGTTATGATAGACTTTCACATGTCTCTAAGGTAATAATTAATAGTTAAAGTGATAATTTCTAAAACAATATATAACAGACTGGTATCCTTGACTTGCCCGTTTAAAGGATAGAATTACTATACATGCATGGGCTCAGCATGCAGTGCAGCCTTGGAGGGAGGCCATTATGACTATTCTTAATATTTTGTTTGTATTCACCTTTGTGACTTTATGGGCTGGACCTAGGCTTAAGAATTACTTGACAACGAGCACCACAGTTTATTACATTAAATTATACACCAGCTTGTTTAAAATCATGGTCATATACTTGATGCACATGACTAGTCTTTGCAGTTACTGTTACAAGTTCTACTATTATAATATGCCACACGTATAAAACATTAATTGCATGTACATGGTGTAAGATATACTGGCATGTTGCCCAGTTCCACAGTTGGCAAGATTCTGGTGTTGACCCATGTCACCAACATGACTCATAGCCGGGGGTATATATATCCCAGTGTTTGAAATTAAATTGGCCTGTGGGGTCCTCGGTGTAGCTGTCAGTTTCAGCAAGATTTCAGATTTGTTAATTTTCTAGGACATACACTGGTTGTCAACCAAAATGTGTGAGATTTGTTCATTTATTTATTGATATAGCGGAATGTCCTATAAAAAAATGCTGGATTTTGAAAAAAAAATAATCAGGGTTAGGGTTTAAAAGTTTTGAAAGTGAATGACCTTGAAAAAGCCTTGAATGTTGTCTTTGCATATCTGTATGAAGTTTTGTACAAACAGGTTTAATGTTGAAGTACAAGAATTGTATATTTTTTAACGGAAGGTTTTACTTCTAGAGTAGTCCCAGACTTTGACAAGCAACTAAAAAGCAAGATCTAATACCTAGGCTTGAGACCTTTTTATCAATGTAATTTTAAGAAAGCTTTTTATTTATTGGCTTGTTAATTTGTCAACTTGTAACTATTTCTGTGAAAAAAGGGTGCAAAGTTACTCTCTTTTGTGTGCAGATACTGAAATAAGCCGGTAAAGGTCATTCTGATTGTGTTCATTAAATAGCCAAGAAAGGCAAGTGACCAATGCTTGTTTCGCTGAAACCACTGAAGTAGACTGGTTTGGCTGGAAACGTAGTTCTGTCTGAGTGTAAGATTGTAATGCAAGCACAGATGTATGAATCCATGCATTCAAGAGCAATAACATCACTTATCTATAGCCTAATGTAATGGTTATGAGTTCAGATATTAATGAGATTAATAATATGTTTTTCTGAATATGAATAAAAGTTTAGTATGTATGATTTGAGAGTTTACCAGAAAATGATCACCATGCATGATATATATTTGTAGCTTTTATGAAGTATGTCATGTGATTAAAATATGTTAAATAGTTGAAAAGAAATACACAGTATATATACAATAATTTAGATCTCCTGATATTCTGAAATGGTAAAATGGCACAGGGTGCCTTTGTAGTTGTCAGTGGTCTGACTGTGTACAGGTCACGTCTGTTATGGTTATCTGCAGAATTCAGCATAGAACAAAAAAGTCGAGACAGAAAACCCATTTTTCTTCAGTTACTTGAATTATCATTAATCATAGAGAAGTTGAGTTTTGTTAGAGACAAGAACAGTATGTTACCTGTTTACTTCTTCAGTGCTCTAAATTGAGAGTGGTGCTGAAATTTTTAGTGTCTTTACCTAAGGTACTTGAATCATAGAACCCTCTTCAACCTTTAACATTGAGGTTATGCTATGCGTACAAGTATTTTGTCAAAACATGGTTTCACACCATTAGTCATTTCCAACTTGTCTTTCACTATTTTGGACAAGTGGCTAATGTAAAATAAAGTTCTAGCTTTGGGAAGGGAACAAGTGGATTTTCAGTGGTCTCGGGCTCTTCAACTAAGTGGCCTTGTCTAACCCAGCATAACTGTGATATATGTAATATACTGCGTAGCTGTTACAACCTTCTTCACCTGGCCAATCAGCTAACAGGACAGTCTGAACTGGACCTCAACACCCTGTTGACACTGGACTTTATGGCAGTATATTGACACAGCTCTCTAATGGCTTGCTGCCCCTGTTGCTCAGAACCATCATAGAAAACTAGGCTTTGGTTTGACCAGTATGTTAGTCTGTGTTTGAATAGGAGAAGCTCAGATTGTTGGTTTCCTGCTCGTGACATTATGAACATGATGAAAACAGTTTGAAATTACTGAGAACAAAGTTTTTAAGTTATAGGCATGGTTTTCAATTTAAAGGTTCTCTGCAACGACACCTTAACTGTTCCAAGTTGGAACATACAGATCAATACAGTTTATAAATTAACTGGAACTGAACTTTTGTTAGCCATGTTAGTTGTTTACTAAACAAGCGTGATGTCGGACTTACTTAGGTTCCTTCTAAAACTGTCCTTTCTTTTGAAACAGAGAAATATCAGAAAAGGAATTTTGACTTGAATCATTCAGCTGTGACCAAAAAAAGGAGAAAAGAAATATATAAGAATAATTTTATTATCATTAATCAAGATAAACCTGTTCCACACCCAGGATATTGAGTACCTGAAAATATCCATGTGGCAAGAGAATGAAGATGCTCAGCAAGCAATAAGAGACACTGCTAGACCTGTTTCCCAATTCATATACTGCAAGAGATTTAACACACCACGTTAATCATTTTGGATGTGGTCACAACAAAATATGAAAGTCTATTAGGGAGGGTCATTATACATCATATTTGATGAGGGCGAAGTAACGGAGTGGACATTTTATAATAAAATATGCACGCCTTTTGAATTTTTTATGTTTTGGGAGGGGTCATGCATTGGGAGGGGAGGGATCAATATGACAAACATTCAGGGAGGGACATTAATATTTTCAATGCATTAGTGCATAAAAAAACCCTGGGTCCCGATACAAAGCATTCATAGTGCTACGACATGTGTAAGCCTGAGGTAAACTGTAGAGTTACGACAGGTCGTAACGTTACGAATGCTTTGTGGATTGGGACCCTGGACACTGATTCATGAATAGTGATGGTTTAATAGTGTTGTAGTTACCATGGTGATAAGCAGGTTTATGTTGTATAACTGTTACAATGCTGTTCTTTGTTTTCAGTCGTTCTCCCTCGCCAAGAAGAAGATTGTACACTACACAAGCTTTGATGCCAGGAAAAGAGCCAATGCAGCATTTCTCATTGCATCCTATGCTGTAAGTAATGCATCATCATATGTAAGAACAGGGATAACAAAGAGGATTGTTCACCGTGAACAGTTCACATCAGAAATGGTCTTAAGCAACCCATGCTTGTCATAAGAGGTTGTGATGTTTGCCAACATTGTTGATGCATGTCATTCTCTGTTTTGTAGTTGGATGATGTCAATTACTTGATTGTCCGGTTTAGATTGTATTATTTACATTTGATTCCCCACATGGGTACAATGTGTGAAGCCCTTTTCTGGTATCCACTGCCGGGATATTGCTGGAATATTGCTAAAAGCTGTGTGAAACCAAACTCACTCACCATTATATACAGACCCTTATTATATAACTGGAATATTGTTGAGTAGTTTGGTTCATTGACCTGTTTACACAAGAGTAGCAATGTTGTGGTGCATATATGAAAGAAAACGCAAGATTACTGATACTCCATTAATTTCCATTCAGTACTCTAAATGGACTCTTAAAGGTCACATGCAACGTAAAACACAACTTTGCAGATTCTGATACCTTTCGGTATGGACTGACCGAAACAAATCATCAAAAATGCAAATTCAACTTATAAAGTTGAAAAATAACGCGATGAAAAAAAACATGCGAAATCGTAGTTCAAATGATTCACTAACTTTCCCCCAGAGCTTGGGGGAATTGAAGTGGTTTCAACAGCTGGGCTGCGCTCATAGCACATGCGCAGTGAAATAGGTTCGCGGAGCTTGGAAGCGGGTTGTCCGGTAAATATTCGGTGAAGGCTTTGGTGTGAGCTATTTTTCTACTGATTTGTTGATATTTCACAGGCCCGAGCTTTTTATATGTTATTACAGTAGATTACCAATTTAACTGTTTATATAATTTCATTTGTCTATCTCACCACACGTTCTTCTTACCGAGTCACTTTCTCAGTTCGATACTTAAAAGCAATGTCATTATTTAGCGTCGACCGAATTTCTAACTGTGATATAGATATGTCGTTGTCACAGACAAATCTCAATGTCTGTTTTATTGGCACCTATGTTGAAAAAGTTGAATGCAACTAGTAGATAAACGCTGTCTGCTAATGACAATATTCAATACACAATTTCAATCACTGACCACATGCAATTTGAACTTAACACCTATCAGGCTATACACCATAAACAAAGCGCATTGATTTATGGCCTGAGTTCGGTCTCCGTCACATTATGTAATGACACAGACAGGCAGGTGTGATACTTGTACACATGACATGTTATGATGTCTGTTGATTGCAAAATGTTATCCACAAAAAATGAGCATGTATTTACAAAACCCAACATCTCTATATATATATACACACACAATGAGCCGTGAGGGCATCTGCAAATGAACCAGCCGTTACACTTGAGTGCACACCCACCCGCTCTGACTGGGTTTGGTATCCCGGCTGCTTCGTTTCTTGGGAAGTAAACCCAAGTACAAAATATTGCACTTTTGATTTGCGATTGTACGCTTATAATTTTGTTTTTATGTTTTTTCATAACCAGCAATGTATATTATATGTCATGAATAAGTGATAACTGTGTTTTAATTATGTTTGATTATTTGGTTGCATGTGACCTTTAAGGTTTTCCAGTACTTGTATATTAAAAAAAATAAGGAGTACATACTCCTGATGTTGACAAATCATCTGGAGCGCTGACCACAGTTTCATTACAAGTTTAAGGATGTTATGTAGATGTTTTCCATACTTCAGTGCTTCCGATAACCTAAACTGCTAGTGCTAAAATAAAATTTTGAATTGCTTGTGTCCACATACACACAGTAAATTTGGAGAGTATCAACAGTAGCGCTGCGACAAACATACTGCATGGTGTATACAATATATACTGAGAGAAACAAATAAAGGAACACAGGACAATTCAAGTGTTTCTTTAATATTTTCCAGTTTTCATCACCAGCTTTGAATAGCTTTGTGGGAGGAAAGCTGAGAATACATAAGGGAACACGAAGTGGTGTCCCCTTAGTTGTTTTCCTCCGTATATATCATAAATATAGGGTAAAGATTATGAATATTTATTCCCGAGTGCAATAACATGTCAGCAGTTGATGTGTTATATATTATATCCAATAACATCAACATAAGTTCATCGCCACAATGCCGCCGGTAGCTTAATGTTTTGGTTAACGGTACCAGAAGGGGCCTTGGCAAACTGACACCAGTTGCACTACTGAACGGCCTGTATATATTTTATTTTGCATATCTAAGTTAATTAAAAATCACCCTTTGAAATTTGAAAAAAAGTGATACATGAAGGGGAATGCAGGCATTTTCCTTGACTTTCAAGAGCGGGTGTCCAGGGGACCCCCTCACTAAATGTTATGGGTCCTAGTATGATTTGAGCAGAGGCCCAGATAAGCTGCGTATCCGGGTAAAATACGCATAGAAAATTTCCAATTACGTATTGAAAAATAATTGTTGCGTACCAATTACGCATTTAAAATGTTAGATACGCAAAAAGTTTAAAACAAATGCGTACGGAATATATTTATAAAAATCGCTTGCGTAATGACAAAGACATCGATTGCTATCAAGTTGTACTGTTAGTATAGGACAAGTGTTGTACTGTCAGTATAGGATGAGTGATTTTTTATGAAATCATTTCCATTATATTTAACTTGGTTGACATAAGGCAGAACATACCTGCTTAGTAAACTTACTCAATGACATAATACTTAGGTGAGTAAAATGACTGAAATACGCACATATTTGAAAGCAGTGGGTAACGGAAAATGAAATACCCACTCAACATTCATAAGACCCACTCCAAAAAATTACAGTGGGTACAGTACCCACATGAGCTATATCTTATCTGGAGCTCTGAATTTGTGGGTCCTGTAAAGTATTGAAATGGTGTAGTGCATGTTCAGATAATTACTTCAGAGCCTGGACTGAATCAGTGGTCATGTGGACAGTGGTCATGACTGATGGATGAAATTACAGACCCAGATAACTACTGATGCACGCTGGGTATTTTCGTGCAGGTCTTTTGGGGTTTCTGCGTCCAGCTTCATAGTGATATTATTGTATGTGTGATTGTGATCCTGATCTGAAGCAGAAACATGTGGTATTGTAAACTAAACATACCCTGATTTTAAGTGTTCATCAACAAATTATGACCGGTCATATTAAACATGATTAATGTTTTATTTGAAATTGTTTTAGTATCAGTATGGATTCCATGTAAGAATACAGCTCTCCGCCAATGCAAGCTTTTTGTATGAGGCATAGGACTGCACGTTATTACCGGTTTACCGCAATACGCTTTTCTAACGATACGCCTTGACATTTTTTTTTGAGAACCAGTATATTGGGTAAGAATATATATGAAGTGTTTGTGATTATCTTTATGGTTTAAGTTAAATTCTACACATACTTTCATTCACAACAAATATTTCCCATTGTTATTCAATGACAAAACGGCATGCTGTAATACTATAAATTATATAAAAAATTAAGATAAAAGGCATGACTTTGCAACATAATTTTGAGATTGCTGTTATCAGAACCATAACACATATGTTTAGGGACTTATAATGTAGAAAATAGGATTGACATGCACAAAAGTTCCCAATACATCACAATACAGATCTATGACTGAATAGCAATATAGTGCGATACAATTCATTTGCCAATGCACAGCCCTAATGAGAAAAAAACCCATGCAACCAAAGAAACGTTTTTTCCAGAATACACTGTTTAATGAAAAAAGATATTGGCAAGGTAGATAGGTAAAGCGTGATTGAGGAAGTACAGGGATACTGTCATTTATGGAGATTTCATTCGAATACTCGTTTCCCAGTGTTACAATCAATATTCCACTTACGTCTGATAAGGTGAACACATTCGGATAGCAGGAAGTGAAATCCAATGTTTTGATCAGATCCATTCAGCCTAGCTGTTTGTTTGACATATGTGTATTTTTGGGGAAAACAGGTTTCCGAATTTCAAGGAGTGGATTTATCTCATCCTGATTTAACTTAAAACTGAAATTTCTGTTAAAAAACCCACAGAATAATTGTAATGATGCAATCATCCCTTGTTATTCTTTTCCCCTCACAATTCTAGCAGTCAGTATTCATCCCTCTTTCAGCTCTGGCTGAAAATACGTAACTTAAAGGTTCATTAATACTTAAGTTTTCTCTTAATATGGAAATATTTATTTTTAATCTTATGGATGACTATGTTTCAGTTAGTTACATTTATTTTATGTTGTTCTCTTTACTATCAAATGAATTGTATTAAGAAACAACAGTTTTGAGCATTCGGACAGTTTCTAGTACTGTATTTCTATGTGAACTGACCACAGCTTGACCTAATGGAATATCAAAGCTCTAAAGTTGATACCAATCAAGGGGCTTGTTTGTGGCTGGTTGTTTAACATTACCCTACTGGGACGTACATTCACTGTCAGACACAGGGCTGAAATCAGTCATTACACCTTGAAAACATCCATCTCATAATCGCTCATTAGTGTTTCTTAACCATGGCTTTATGAATACTTGACTTTCTGTATATGGGCTCAACTGAACTTGTCCTATATTTGAATCCTTTGAATGAAATATTGTCACATTTATGTCCTGAAAATAGCGATGGAAACTGCTTTTTGTTCTCTCATCCTGATTATGATGACATGTAATAAATCTCTTTAAGACGGACAATTTCTCCCGTCCTTAAAACTCAAGTAAGGGGGCAGCCTGTTCAGGACTGAAGCCAATTTCTCAGAAATTTCTGTCGATAGAAATACATGCAGCGGTTTGTAAAATCATGTTTCCTTGATGATGAAATTGGTTATTACAGCTGTTCGTTTTAGGATGAAGTATTAATAGATCATTTGCTCATTTCAATCTTTTTCCATATTTCTTTCTTCTCATAAACATGCTGAAGAACACCCTTAATGTTTCTTTTTTCTTTTCATTATTAATGATGTCTTAGTTGGCATTTAGGAATTGGATGTAATTTTGACAGGATTATCATGGATAAGTATATTATATATATGAATGGTGTATGTGTAAATTTCATTGTTGTACATTAATTTGTAGGGATGCCACGATACATTGATACTTTTTCTAAGATGATGCAATTACCGATACTTTCAAAACTGTATCGATATTTAGTTTTGAAAGTATCGGTTTAAATATGTTTATGTATCGTTTACTTTTTGCAATTGTATCATGTTTTTTGATGTTATGAGAGCTATTAATGATTAATTTTCATGCTCAAAGATGGGAAATTAGAACTTTTTAATCTCTGAGAACCAAAAATGTTGATCTTTTCATGAACAATTATAGAATATGAAATATTAATGTTCAAAATGTAACTAAATTTACGCAATAATGCCTCGAAAATAGGTATAGTGATACATATCAAATCATGACATGGGTATCATGATGCTGGTATCGTGATACGCATCGATTCCTGAAACTTATGTATCGTGACATCCCTATAAATTTGCATGTCATAATTGACGATTGATGTTGAATATTTTTCCGTGTTGAAACACTATGTTATGCAGCCATTCTCATCTTGCAGATCATATACCTGAAGAAGACACCAGAGGAGGCATACCGGCCACTTGTTGCAGGGTCTAACCCACCATTCTTACCGTTCAGGTGAGCTACAGTATTGAAGAAATCTGCATTAAATCTTTCTATGTCATTTCAACAAAGAATATTAATTCAATTCATACTTTCGTTTCAGTTTATTTGCAAGAAGTTGTATATTAGAATCGGATTTGGTTTAACATGATTACTATCATTATAACTGAAAAGAGAAATATTTAATTAGCGTCTCAGGGCTTGGAGCCAAATTAATGTATGTTTTACCTTAGAAAAATAGAAAAATTGTTATATGTGGAATTTTCATGTTTTGGTTCATGCACTTTTATAATTTGACATGTCCGAGAGTGTAATTGAACAAAATGGTTTTTTGGGGGTAAAAGTGGTCAATATAACAGATCATGGTTGAAATTCATGCACCTACACATCACAGTGATAATCAGATTTCTCCAGCTCATGTCTATAATGCACATTCTATTTTTGTAGAATTGCTGTTTTCACAATGATACGTTTGTGTTATTGTTCATGCAACTCATTATATCATGATATTTACTCCAGACATGGAAATACAATACTGTTTTCCGCGCACTGCGTAGAAAAGTACGTTTAGGCCAAGGGCCTTGAGTCAAGGACGAGTCAGTGATATATTCACTACCACTCAGCTATCAGTGCTGTACCTTGAGCTTGTAAACACCACTGGTTGTTGATGCTGAGTGTAACACACACCGTGATATAACCCCCATCACAAACAGCTGCCTTCACAATCTGCCTCACAGCAGTTGGCCCATGTAGTATTTCCCAATAGTAACCAGTTGGCGGGGAGCCAAGTGTTATTGTTGTAAGTGGGTCAAGGTGGGAGTGGCACATTCCTTGTGCACCCAGGTTGGTGATGGGTCCTGTTCGCTGTTGACACACAGGCTCAGCATCTGTGGCCTGATTAGAGATATCTTACATCCTTGTTGGATACAGCCAGGTCAGAATGAATAAATACCTTTCTGCTTGGTTGACAAGAGGGAGGCGTAGTCGTTCGGCTACATTCATATCGCGTTACAGTGCATGTTCATTGTAGTCATATAATCTGCAACCTGAACATGAAAGTCAAATGTGCTTAATTAAGTTAGTATCAAAAATTTAATATTTAGACACTCTAGATTTAAATACAAGAAGAGCAAATACCACAGGACTCATTTTGAACACTATTATGGTGTCAAAATCATTCATTTGGAACATAAAAGGAGAGTTCATGTGAACTTTTCTTGAATAGTTTTTTGTGCTATATATAGCATTCACTCCACATGTGTCAAGTATTTAGAGAATGTCAAGCATGGGTGCACCACCTGTTGTTGAGTGGTGTTCCCGACTTGCCTCACTATAAGGACATGATGCAGCCCTATTCATATCTGGTAAATTTGATCTTAGTGAAGTCATTCAGTCAAGTGGATCTCACTTAGAGTTATTTCATCATATTATTTACACTGAGTACACATAACACATAAGGGCGCAGAAATAGTTCTCCTTATTGTTTTTAAGCATTGTTTTTTAAAACTTCCTTAATTTTTAATCAGAACGTGAGCTTACTTTTACAGCAATTACCATGCTCACTAGAAATATTACAAACAAACAAAAAAGACAAAAAACCTCCGTTTTCAAAGCTTATATACTGGAAATTTGCTTTTGGTGAGTGCTCCAGCTGATGCAGTAACGCATCATGAATTTAATACAGAACACATCCACATGGTATTCAGCATTTCCCAGCCACACACAATGTGAACTCGCTCATCAGCAGATGCAGGCTCCGGAGTTAATTGTGCCACTGCCAAGCATGTGTATGTCATCTGTAGTGGATGGATGCAACAGGTGGCCAGATGTAGTTAGCTACTGGATTATTATCTGTTTTCACATCTGGGTTGGGATAATGTGTATCAGGCCATAGTAACAGTATCGGGCTTAATTGAAGTTATCCCCAGTGTGTCATGAGCTTAAACAATCAAAAAGGTCAAAATAGTTTTGAGCAGTTAACCTTTTTGAGTGGCAGTTTTAGTCGAGTTTGACATGGAGTAGGAAAGTCAAGGGGTTCTTGTCATTACTCAGATGTTAAAATAAAATTGAGGGGACCACAGAGTCAAGTAGTGTAGAAGCCTACGCCGTAGATACAGGGGCTTAGTTTCAAGCACTGGTGTGTAATGTCACTTTTCATGTAGTGTGTAGAAAGTGTGGGTGGTATTGTAGAAGGCAGTCGCCATGATGATCAATATGACAACCATTACTACACCTACATACACCACTGCAGCTACATGTACTACTACATCTACATGTACAACTACATCTACATGTACTGCTACATCTACAGCTACATGTACAACCACATCTACATGTACTGCTACAGCTACATGTACAACTACATCTACAGGTACTACTACATCTACATGTACAACCACATCTACATGTACTGCTACATCAAGTGAAGGTCTACAACTACAGGTACTGTTACAACCACATGTCCAACTACAACTACAGGTACTGCTGCAACTACATCTACTACAGCTACATGTAATGCATCTACATGGACTACTACATCTACATGTACTGCTACAATAACGTATGTCCGCCCAGAGAGCGGAGAGTTCGATCCCCATCCGCGTCATACCAAAAGACGTTAAAATATGGTACTTGGTGGTCCTGGCCTGGCGCTCGGCATTAATGGGTAAAACAAGGACTGGTCAGCTCGGAGTCAGTATAATGTGTCTGAGTGGGGTATTCATGCTTCACTGTGGCATGGTATCTCAGTGAGCTAGCACTATAAAACCAGCTTAAGTCTGGGCTAGTTCAAGCAGCCACACATACACATACATGCACGTCGTCCTTATGAGTGAAATATTAAGTGCGACGTTTAACCCCATTTCACCTCACAATTACATATACTACTACAACTACAACTACATTTACTACTACAGCTACATGTAGTACACATGTACTACTACAACAACTACTTAACATGTTAGCACAAGGGGACAAGTAAGTTACTATGGGGCCTATCCCACAAAGTGATTGTAGCACCATGACAATCACAGATCAATGTTAAAGCATGATTATGCCCTTTCTGTGGAATGGACCATGTGCCCTGCAGTTCAGTGGTTGGCACTGTAAGCAGTTGAAACCAACCTTAATCAGCATTACCAGACAAGTGCCGGACCCCCAATGTGGTTGGTAATAGGTATCAGTGCTTAAGTGCAGTGTTGGACAGTAAAGAGAGTTCAGGGTCCTCAGTGTTTCAATTTAAGGAAAACAGAGGGCTTATCGTAACTCTCATGTTGTCAGGTGAAGATTTTCCCATAGGATTAGCAGGTATAAATGAATGCTAAAGGGAGAACTAGACCTGGGACCCTACTCATTAATAAATAAAACATATCATTTTCGCCTCATAGTTGGGATGTCACGATACAGAAGTTTCATTAATCGATATGTATCATGATACCCATTTCACGATTCGATACGTATCATGATACCTATTTTCGCGGCATTATTGCATTAAGTTAGTTACATTTTGAATATTAATGTTTCATATTTTTTAATTTTCCATGAAAAGATCAACATTTTTTATTCTCAGAGATTAAAAATTCTAATTTCCCATCTTTGTGCATTAAAAATAATCATTTATAACTCTCATAACATCAAAAAGCATGATGCAATTGCAAAATGTAAACGATACATAAACATATTTAACCGATACTTTCAAAACAAAATATCGATACAGTTTTGAATGTATCGATAATTGTATCATCTTAGAAAAAGTATCAATGTATCGATGTATCATGGCATCCCTGCCTCATAGTGTATTCATTCCAGCCCTATTATATAATACTTAGGAGAGATCGCATATTTCACTATGCCTCAGATATTTCCTGACAGGAGCCAAATTTACTTTATTGATATTTTTCAAACCTTAATAATGTCTAAATAACTACTAAAGCATTACCTTAATATTTTTCGAAATGAATACATATTGATTATCAGAGTTATATATACAGCAGGTTTGGGAATGGTTATACTGTCATGAGACATTTCAGTTATTGAACTGGGATTACATATCTAAGTAAGATCAGGTAAAGTTTGTGTCACGCTAGTTTGTAATTGTATATGTTACCTTTGTAATGATAAGCTTCCCACTGTATTGATCCTCATTAGTAGTGAGTTCAGTCCGTATATAACACGCTGATCACAATCAACTGTTGACAGCTGAGTCAAGTGTGACGCTACCACAATATGTCTTACGCAGTTGGTAATCTGAATCTGCTTACAAGCCTTTGACCGATTGATCCATGTCATTCCATAGCACCTGCTGAGCTTCTAGTGGTCCGGAGGTACTTGTCATCTTCATTCTTTTGGTCTGTTACCATAGATATTCTTCAAATGACAGTATTTATGGGTTTTTCAAACAGTTTGTTTTATGTCACTGTGAATTTAGCAAAATGTGTCCAAAAAAAAAACCCAACAAGATTTAGATGTATAGATATGAATATCACTCTTTTAACTAACTAAGGACCCTGGAAATGTTTCTGTATATTTTCAATTAATGAATATCTCAATCTTGTCAAAGAACCAGCATTTTTGGTGCATAGGTTGGGATTACATTTCCAACAATTGAGAATTGTACGTGTTGTTGGCAATTCATTTCCATGTAGTGACTAAATCTAACTAGACATTTAGACCTTGAACCTTAATCAGAACCTTCACCATATTAGTAAATTTGTCATTATTTGTGCTACCTGTTGCAAGATCGGAAAGTTTGAAACACTGGGCATGTTGACTTTGTTGTTCACAATCTCTGTTGTGATGTTTAAAATGATTCATTACTGGTGTGCTTAGATTCAAAGCAGTGACTAATTCATCGTGTGACTGATGCATCATATGGTCTATGTGGTGCATTGTGTGACTGATACATTGTGTGACTGATGCATCATGTGACTGCTGTATCATGTGACTGCTGTATCGTGTGACTGATACATCGTGTGACTGATGCATCATGTGACTGCTACATTGTGTGACTGATGCATCATATGGTCTATGCGGTGCATTGTCTGTCTGATACATCGTGTGACTGATGCATCACGTGACTGCTGTTACTGATGCATCGTGTGACTGATGCATTGTGTGACTGATGCATCGTGTGACTGATGCATTGTGTGACTGATACGTGTGACTGATGCATCGTGACTGATGCTTCATGTGACTGATGCATCGTGTGACTGATGCTTTATGTGACATGCATCGTGTGACTGATGCATCGTGTGACTGATGCATCGTGTGACTGATGCATCATGTGACTGATGCATCATGTGACTGATGCTTCATGTGACTGATGCATCGTGTGACTGATGCTTTATGTCACTGATGCATCGTGTGACTGATGCTTTATGTGACTGATGCATCGTGTGACTGTTGCTTTATGTGACTGATGCATCATGTGTCTCCCAGCAGCCTTTCCATGTGGACATGCTATATAACATTAGTCACATTGGTGATGGATGGACTCGTGACACTGCATTGAAGTTTGTCTTCAAGATTTGCCAGTCTTTTTTGTGAATATTTACAAAACAGCTACTGACCAGTAACTCAGCCAGATTTGTACCAAGTACTGATAACAGTTAATTTGTGTTGCAGGGATGCGTCCTTCGGAGCTTGTACCTACAACCTCACCCTCCTTGACTGTCTCCATGGGCTGAGCAAGGTAAACAGATGCTCAGTTACTGGCTGCACAGATTCAACAATTCATTTGAACAAATGAGACCACTTAAAATGAATATTACAGTATATTTTTTTTTATATACTTGCAAATAGAACTATAAATGTCAACCATTTTATGTTGTTTACTGGGAAAAATGCATTTTTTTAGCTTGTTTATCTTTGTTTTGAAACCTTTAGTGCTGTTATATATGAGTGTCTGGATGAATCATAGTTTCACTGTATTGTCTGCACAGAACAGTATGGGTTTCACTTTAACCATGAATGCACACTGTTATTGGCTTAATATGATTGATGAGTAAAATAACTGCATTATAACTCGGACACAGGCATCCTCGTACTTTTAACTATAATAGTTCAGGGCAAAGCTGTACTTTACTACACTATACATGGGGCTAGAGCGAACTGTATTTTACATATTGTTTCTGTTCAGAGTATTGCTTGTTGTACTTTTAGGTTTGACTCGGACGTGATTAATTGATTTGGAAATGAAGCCACTGATATTAATAATTCATGAAGCAGTAATGTCCCTACAGTATTAGGTCTACCTAGATTTTCTCTATTAGATTCTGGTTAGCTGTGTTGAGTTGTCTCAAAGAATTTCTTACGGAACTGTCACTTAGGGTCAAAATAAACAAGTAGCTTAAGTTGTAATTTTGTTTCATGTTTCAAATGTATATTGTCATGATTAGTGTTCTGTGTTAAAGGTTCACACAGCTTATCAGCTTATTAAGTCAGTCTGAACTGACTACTGCAGTTTCCTTTGTTGAATGCTCATTATGTATTTTCGTTTTTGTTTTCCAGGCTCTAGCTAATGGTTTTTTCAACTTTGACACATTTGATGTGGATGAGTATGAACACTATGAGGTGAGTAATGGTTGAGGCTGTTTCTGTCATTGTCGTTTCTAAGTTTTAAGGGAAAATGGAAACGTTAGTGGACTTTTATCATTTTGCCACCATTGGTACAACGCGACCATTTCGACCGTACAAGAAATGCAGTCTTGTTTATTCCATTTATTTAGATACTTTAGCATGTTCGATTATGTCTCATCCTATCCAGGTTACATGGATTCTTGTAAGTGACGTGTAGATTATTTGGAAATGTTTGTTATTGATTTCAGTTTTTGCCAAGAAAGTCGGAGGTATATTATGTAAAAAATATCCCCCCAATTTGCTGACAAATTCATTTGACAGTTTCTAAAAACTTCTTATTTCCTCCATGTCGATTCTGCTGCCATCAGTGCTGGATGAATGAGCGGAGTAGTGGCCCCTGTTACAATGTTAGTGTTGACCATTTCTTTCAGAAAGTAGAAAATGGTGACTTCAACTGGATCTTGCCAGGGAAGTACCTGGCATTCTGTGGACCTCACCCCAAGTCTAAAATAGAAAATGGTATGCTGTGTATGGAGGAAGCACCATGTGAATGTCTTAACGAACAATACACAGTTTCACTACAATTGACAGCTTGTCTGAAACATCACACACGTCAAAAAAACTTTCGAGAATACCAAAAATGTATGAACAAGATTGAAATGATAGCAATCCCAGTCATTCTTGACTTTCTTCCTGAATGAAGCAACCTTTTTTGATAAAGTTGTGACGAAGTGTTTGTGTTGTTCAGATGGTTGAATGATGTAATGAAATCTGTCCCTTGGTTGTGGTTTATGTTAGCGAGCTATGTCTATGGCTCTGGTACGTCCTCAAATATTCAGCAAATTTTACAACCCACTGTCCCACATGGACATCTTACTGTCTATTCTGTGACTAAGGTTTTTATGTCTAAATGTTTTTAAAGAATGGGGTACCATACAAGATGTTGACTCCGATGAAATAAAATGGCTAAAACATCTGAAAATCTCAAATTCCTGTGCATAGCTTCCTGGTATTGCATCACCACCATTATCCTGTAGTTTGGCAGCCACGACTGAATGAAAGTCTTTAGATTTTCAACAGAAGTCTTCTGTCAACTATCCATAATCCGTCATTTGTATAAAAGTCTGTCACTACCCAGTTAGAAAACCTCACTTCTTTTCAATGATCCATCTTTAACCTATATACAAGTACACACATGGGGAGGTTGGTGGGATTATTCCTGATAATTCTTTGAATTAGTAACAATTAGTGTTATTGATGATTGGTTCATTACAACCGATCAATCATCGAAAATAATTGGTTAGCGTCATTTATGAAATTTGTTAATGCACACAAAAAATAAGGAAAAAAACATGTAGTTATTTTGGGTTTTTTTCCCTCATCTTTAAAGGATGACTAGTATGTTAGGAACATAAATTTCTTGGTGTCTTTAAGATAAATTCAATCATGACTTGGAACAAGCTTGTAGTGCTTATGAAATGTAACAGACAAAACCATCCTTGTGAAAAATATTGTTGATGAAAACAAATGTTCCAGAATTGCTGGTGTTCGATTATGAGAAAACATGATCGATTGCTTGGTCATTTAGTCACTGCGACCAATCTTGGATTATTTCAATTAATTTACTAAAGGCTTGGCGATGCACGCTTTTCTCACTTCGCGTTGTCACCGAGGCGTGGCGGGATAATATGACTTTTGTACTCCCTGCTCGCGGATCGTGACAGGTGTACATGGTATTTTATCAGAGTCACATGAACCTATCAAAACTCGACATTCTTACAAATAACATGAGGCTGGATAATTAATTTTGGCTCACAAGATGCATTTTATTTCATGGTTGGTAGTATGGCAACACTTGTTTGAGGAACTTTTATCCAGGTTATTGCAAAATGTCTTAGAAATCGAAACAGAATAAAAAATCATGATCAGATACATATTGTGTATTGTAAGTTGGGTGGAAATCATGATGCATTAACACTGAATTATGACCTGACCATTTACTCCTGAATGAAATAATAATAATAATGATAATGATAATAATGTCCACTTGTATGCCACTTGTATAGACTAAACTGAAGCCACAGACAGCTTAGATGTCCTGGTGGGACAGGGAGCCATGTGTTTTGTAAAACAAGACTTTGTTGCATGTTTATTAATGAAGGTCTGCAGACCTATGCACCTTGAGATGTTCATGCATGTTTTACTAACTGAGACGTAGACGGGTCCGACATAGCTTGCATTCTCTTGTGATCCCGTCCCTGTTGGGCCGCTGCGTCCAGCTACACACTAATCCTTGTCTTGTCTCACTCTCCATTCCCCCATCCAGCGGGTAGAAAACGGCGACCTTAACTGGATCGTTCCTGGCAAGTTCCTTGCGTTTAGTGGGCCGCATCCAAAGAGTCGTCTAGACTATGGTATGGTTGACAGCGTGTAGATGTATAACACTAGTTTTCGTAGCATATTTATGATTTTTGGAATTTTTTTCCTATTTTTCGTTGAGCATGTTTCATGTTTTCATCATTGAAATGTGCTGTTTGTGATTTGTTGGAATAATGTGCAAGGCATGTGGAACAAGGCAGCACATAAAGAATTATTGTTAAACGACATCACTTGTACAAGAAAGCATGTTGATACATGAACACTAATGGTTTAGATAATCCTAGAAGAGTTATTTCCCTTTAGCATTAGTTCAGTAACTTGGGATAGTATTCTTTTGTGATTTGTGAGGATAGATATGTTTTCAAATTGATTGATTTTGAATTTCATTCAGTAATGTTGCTCACAATAGATCTAAAACAGCATTCACTCACTCACCCATTAATCATATAAAGTGTGAAGTCACAAACTAAATTATTAACATTTACTCAACACTAATGATATGGAACGAGGATCTATTTGATAATGGCCATACCCTCTTAATATCGTTAGATTACAACAGAACTGATGGAAAATGTGCCTTTTCTATTTCTTTTTGTTTCTCAAACAGAAAAGTGGTATAAATTATATGAACAAATAGTGTAAATATGAAGCTTTTTTGCATCAGAGCGTGAATAAAATCATGATTTTTCAAAAATAACCCCTGACCACATCAGCATGAAGGACATTGATAGCCAACATGTCTGTTCTTGTGTCAAATTTCAATGCAACTGTGGGGTTAGTTGAGTAACAGGATTCACAAATGGGAAGGTAACAACAGTGGATCGGGGAATACTTTTCTCGAGACCATCCTCTTCTTTTGCTTCATCCACTTCCTCTGTCCTTGAATGCCTTGCTTAAGCCGCCTCTCAAACTAATGAAGAACTAAAGCAAGTGCGCGCCTCTCATGCATGTCTTTTGTTGGTCATATTCTACATGTTTTGCATGTTAGTTGTCATTTTTCTCATAAGTTGTCATAAATTTTGAAAAAACATTTTCCTTTCTATTATTTTATTTACCTGCCTAATTCTGTTATATTCTGATTTACCAATCAGTGCTACTGTTTTTCTGTGTAAATTGTGAGTTATAGCATGAAGCATCCTTATTATTTGTTAATCCATATCTGAAATTAGCTACAGTTGCAAATTGTTATGGGATTGACTGAGTTGTATGGAATCTGGTCAACATGAAGACCTAACCTGTTCTTTCATATTACCACAGTTAATATGAGATGATAGGTCAACTATAGTAATCAGTCTTTTGTGTAGTAAATCAGGTTTAGGATTCAGAAACAGCAAAAATACCTTAATTAACAATGAAAAGAAGTTTCTGTTAATACATAGAAAATGATCATTAAAAAATATAATTTGTAAAACACCTTAGTTCTTGAGATGAGACACCATATTTTGGTTATTTCCAGGCTATCCTCTGCATGCACCTGAAGCATACTTCCCTTACTTTCGGAAACACAACGTTACAACAATAGTTCGGCTCAACAAGAAGATCTATGATGCCAGGCGCTTCACAGATGCTGGGTTTGACCACTATGATCTCTTCTTCATTGATGGCAGCGTTCCGAGTGACAGCATCGTGAGACAGTTCCTGGAGTTGTCCGAGCACACTGATGGAGCTATTGCAGTACATTGCAAAGGTAGTCAAAGTGTTCTGTATATGATGATATAAAGTGTTTGATGTAGCTTAAGCACTTGTGAGATTTTTGTCATTAATTGTTTATAGTGTATGATATATAGTACAGTCATCCCTTGCAATAACGCTCTTCGCGATACCGTGGATTCGGTTAAACTGCGGGGTAATCCGTGGCTCCCATAAAAAAAGTTGCCCAGCAATCACACATCTTCACGTCATTGAAAATAGCACATCAACAAATCCGCTGTTGAGCTCTGGTTAATCACGTAAACTAGTGAAATTCAGTGCGGATTGCAATCAACAGTGTTTATCGTAGATATCCATGGTTTTTCAGATGCTTAAAACATGCAGGGATTTCTCAATAATAATCAGATTAACAGCAAAACATTGTAATAACTTATAAAAGACAACTTTATCATAAAGACATGCCATCAGCCGAATACTTACAATGTTTGCTGTGAGGCAACACCGCGTTATTGCACTGGTAAACACCGCCATCCGAGAACGTATGATGTCAGAAAACACATTTTATTTGATTAAATTCAATCCCATTTTCATTCGTTAAAACTGTTTACAGTAACAACGGAGAAACCGTGAGTGAAATGGCATTACCTCGTTTCATACAACTTCTGCTTACCACATTCGTGAGTGTCCGTTTTTTCGCGCCTACCGCGATAGCACCAATTTCACATTTTTCTCAGCAGTCACGAACAAATTACAGCCTCATCATCCATGAACCCCAAGACCCGCGTTATTGACTCATTGAAGTTTGACAATTAATTGCCAACATTTTGTTTACACAATCAAAGTGGCACGTACCGCGGAAGTCACCAGTGACTTGTCATACTGTCTCCTACGCAAAATGTATCCAGCCAGGTAACCCAAAGTGCTAGCCTATGTTAATTATTATGTTAAACATGTTTGTAGAAAACATGCATTATACTTACACGATGGCAATATGTGATATCTCTGTAAAAAATAATTGCTTAAGATGTAAATTATTCTGATAATGGAATAGAAATTCTTTGATGTTATGTTAGCGGATCGTTTTTAACTGAATCACCGGTACATTGGACCAAAACATATGTGCACAGTTGATTGCTATTTCAGGCTTAGTTGAACAACAGGTAGCATAACAGGAACAACAATTGAATTATCATGTCTAGTGATGTTTGATTGCAAGGTTCCTGTACATACATCTATTTTCATTTACAAAGTGTTTGGTTTTTTTCACCTCTAACAATACGATATAGCTTCAACAGGGCATAATACACGAAATAGCAGTTTTGTTATGGAAAATAGGATTTGACTTGGTCTTTGTTCTGCGTTATGTAATAGTTGCTATAACGCGTGGGGTCATCCATGGACCCCAAGACCCGCGTTATGGCGAGGGATGACTGTAAACCGCACCACACCACACCATGCCACATGACTCCACAAACCAGTCCACACCACACCACACCACACCATGCCACACGACTCCACAAGCCAGACCACGCCACGCCATGCCACGCCGCGCCAGGCTACACCACACCACTCCACAAGCCAGACCACACCACGCCATGCCACACCAGGCTACACCACACCACGCCACATGACTCCACAAGCCAGACCACACCACGCCACGCCACGCCACGCTACACCACACCGGCCACGCCACACCACACCACGCCACATGACTCCACAAGCCAGACCACACCACGCAACGCCACACCACACCCGGCCACACCACACCACGCCACACCACACCATGCCACACGACTCCACAAGCCAGACCACGCCACGCCACACCAGGCTACACCACACCTGGCCACACCACACCACACCAGACCACACGACTCCACAAGCCATGCCACACCACGCCACGCCACGCCACGCCACGCCACGCCACGCCACACCACCACACCACACCACACCATGCCACACGACTCCACAAGCCAGACCACGCCACGCCACACCAGGCTACACCACACCCGGCCACACCACACCACGCCACACGACTCCACAAGCCAGACCACACCACGCCACGCCACGCCACACCAGGCTACACCACACCCGGCCACACCACACCACGCCACATGACTCCACAAGCCAGACCACACCACGCCACGCTACACCACACCACACCACACCACGCCACAAGCCAGACCACACCATGCCACGCTACACCACACCACACCACGCCACAAGCCAGACCACACCACGCCACGCTACACCACACCACACCACACCACGCCACAAGCCAGACCACACAATGCCACGCCACGCCACGCCACGCCACACCACACCTGGCCACACCACACCACGCCACACCACACCACACCATGCCTTACACCATGTCAACAGCACACACTTCACCAGAAACAACAAAACAACACATGTACTAAACATACTTTGCAACAAATGTTGTCATATGACAACACTGAACAAGTTCATGAGTACACCAAAACCTGCACTTAAAGCAACACAGTTCAATGACTGACTAATCAAAATAAAAGTGTGCAGTTTCTCTTTCCAAAACTGAAATGTTCTACACACCACACCACGCCACGCCACGCCACGCCACACCACACCTGGCCACACCACACCACGCCACACCACACCACACCATGCCTTACACCATGTCAACAGCACACACTTCACCAGAAACAACAAAACAACACATGTACTAAACATACTTTGCAACAAATGTTGTCATATGACAACACTGAACAAGTTCATGAGTACACCAAAACCTGCACTTAAAGCAACACAGTTCAATGACTGACTAATCAAAATAAAAGTGTGCAGTTTCTCTTTCCAAAACTGAAATGTTCTACACACCACACCACACCACACCACACCACACCACACCACACCACGCCACACCACACCACACGACTCCACACCACACGACTCCACACCACACGACTCCACACCACACGACTCCACACCACACGACTCCACACTATTACTAAGTCTGAAAACAGACTGGGATGGTAGTTGTGATGTTGCTGGCAACCCCATCACTGGCATGCTCTGATGTTTCAGCTGGTCTTGGGAGGACGGGCTCGTTGATATGCTGCTATATGATGAAGCACTACAAGTTCACAGCAGCAGAGGCCATTGCTTGGAACAGGATATCTCGGCCTGGGTCCGTCATCGGGCCACAGCAGAACTTCCTAGAAGAGTGAGTCATTAGTCGCGACTACCAGTGAGTTAGTGAGTGGGTTTAGTTTTACGCCTCACTCGGCAATACTCCAGCTATATGGCGGCAGCTCGTATATAATCAAGTTTGGACCAGACAATCCAGTGATCAACAGCATGATCATCGATTGTGCAATTGGGATATGATGGCATGTGTAAACTAAGTCAGCGAATCTGACCACACGACCCCGTTAGTTGCCTCTTGCGACAAGCATGGGTTGCTGAAGATCAATTCTAACACGGATCTTCACGGGTCTTGCAACAACCAGTTGTCTGACTCATGTATTTAAACAGGGTTTTACTTTTCATAGCATGAGAGATTCATTACAGGCAACTGTTGACACAGTAGTCATTGCTAATTACCTATCCGTGTATGAATTCATTTTTAAGATTGTTGAATAAGTTATACTTTAGCAGGGCTCCAGATAAGGGCCGTATTGGCGTATGTACGTATAGAAAATATGCACGATAGTGTAGGAAATTAGTTAGAAAACGTAGCAGATACGCACGACAGCAATGGTGTATGGTCTTAAAATCATTTACAGACGTATTTATCTGAAAAAGTATTGTTTTATTGTTTATTGACCTGTTTACACAAGAGTAGCAATGTTGTGGTGCATATATAAAACAAAACACAAGATTACTGATACGCCATTATTTTCCATTCAGTACTCTAAATGTACTCCAGTACTCCTATATTGAAAAAATAAGGAGTACGTACTCCTGATGTTGAAAAATTATCTGGAGCCCTGCTTTAGTAATAGTCGAAATGTTGACATGTAATGTTTTCAAAGAGAACTAACGGATTGAATTTGGTGTTCATAGGCTGACATGAATGAAGTTCTAATCTGATTTTTGGTCAGTGTTGTGTAAATTTGAATATCATGACTGGTAAACCCTTTGATTTTCGTGTGGTTTATTACCAGGTATTTACCATACAATTATGCCTAACTTCACTTTTTTATACGGATAGGAAACAAGCTTGGTTGTGGATGCAAGGAGATCTATTCCGAGCCAAACAGAAAGAAAGAAGTCGTGAGCGGTATGGGGGCGTGTCAAAGATCCTTACGGGTGTGGATGACATGTGTATACAGGATGCCCTGGACTCAGACAAGTACAGCTATGGCAAATACCATGATGAGGACAACGTAAGATACATAATTATGTTTTATCATTTTGGTACATATAATTCAGGTCGTTGTGACCATGACCCTGGATTCTGTTTCATACTGATTATTTACAGGCCACTTAGATATAGCTTGAAAACTGCTGGCTAATGGGTCAAATAAGCAAACATTACCAATCCAAGTATACAATGCATGTTGTACATGTTAGAACTCAGCAAAGTAAGATTTTGGTGGTTTCAATGCGTGCCATTAGCACTGATGCTTTAGCTGAGTGGTCATGTTGTCAACCACTGGTTTCTTTAGTGGTGATCAAAAACGCTCAAAATGATGTCAACAGTAACACATGAAGATCATGATTTTGACTATGGACACCTGAATAGTTAGTTCATTGAGATGTGAAGTCTAGATTAGCATATAATAAAGTGAAAAATTCCCAAGCATTCACATGATCAGGTATCCTCCTGACGCATCATTCATTGAAGATGATGGATGCATTGACATTTTCATGCAGCTCTTCATGATTGGCGTAAAATCCCCAGGAACAAATAGTGCTAGAAATTTTTGTGTTCAGACATACCCATTTTTATTAATCCAGGGTCTGAAATCTTAAAATATACCTTTCTTTAACAAGTCCTTCAGCATCTCAGATGTATGTTCGTGTATATTATTGACATATCCTCAGGATGTAACAGAAATGTTTTTGTCGCTAGATATACTCGGGGCCTGTGACAAGGAGTAGTGCCATTGAGACACAAGGAGACAAGTTGAACCAGTTGAAGATGCAGAGGAGGCATCCTCGGTCAGCCACCACTGGAGCACTAGGGTGTGTACACCATCAGTCTAGCCCCCGGCACACAAATATTGTATGATTACAAGGCTCAGCTGTCGGGATGAGGCTGATTTTCATAATATTTTAAGAACTGTATGAGATCTGCTCTAATATAGCTGCACAGTAAAGGGTTTTTGAAAGGGGAGATAAACCTGATGGAATTCTCAGCAGGAAAATACCGTCTTGCTGGGTGCTGAGGCAAGGTGATGTGGTGTGTACTGTTAGTTTGAAAATTGGTCTGTTGGGTGTTTAATGGATATCTCCTGTATTTTTTTTTTCGTTTTGAGATGTGGATTGGACCTAGGGGCAGAAAATGGAAGATGCAGTAATCGCATGCCATGACAAATATTCTCTAATTTATGGAAGCAAAGACCTTTTCATTTTTTATTCAGCATTGTTTAATGACTAATGTAAGCATTGTAGACTCTGGAATACATTAGTTCCCCAGTCAATTCCATGCCTGTTCTGGCTTATATGTTTGTGGTTATCTTATGTAGGAATAATATTCTAGATTATGTAGGTACATGGAGTTGCTAATGCTATCAATCACTGGTTTGTCTGATCCAGAATTGACATCCTAATGGTGGCTGTCATGTTACTGACTGCATCATGCAACAGTGTGCACTCACTCACTCACTCATTCACTCACTCAACCACTCACTCAACCACTCACTCACTCAACCACTCACTCACTCAACCCGTGAAGATCCCGGGTTAGAATTGATCTTCAGTAACCCATGCTTGTCGTAAGAGGCGACTAATGTTCCAGACTCCATTATTCACAGACCACTGCCACATAGCTGGAATATTGCTGACTGCGGCGGAAAACTAAACTCACTCACTCACTCGCCACTCACTCACTCATAAACCTTTTGTTATGCAGATCTGATTAATTGTTCAAGTAAGGTATTTCAACTTTTCTCTCCCATTTATCTCCAATTCATCCTACAGCAATATTCAATATTCAATACATTTATGAGTGCTTCATTGAATGACATGACTTGTGTGTTCTGAGTGACCACAATGAACTTGCATGTGAACTGTGTCCTAGATATCTACATTCTAACCATACCAAGGCTTGTAACACTACTGTCAGTTTAGGTGATACTTAGTACTTCCTGTTTAACTGTTTTGCAGTAAATTCCATCGCTACACTGAATGAGACATGTATTTGTTACTCAGAAAGTGAAGGAACTACAGTTTTCATTAAAAAGCTTCATATTAAGCCACACTGAGGTGTAAAGTAAAAAAAATAATAATCAGTTTATCTTAATCATCTGTGGCATCTATGTACAAATGTGAGCTTGCAAGTCTCGGATGGTCAGTTATTCTAATCACTATCCAACCTGGTTGCAAGGAGTAATATTTATTTCAGACACTGTGTGAGTGTTGAAGAGGTGTATGTAACAGCCCATGAAAGTTAATGAGAACGTGATTAATATGCTTTCCCCGTAACAATCCACATGCAAGCCTGAGCACTGCACTTTTACCCATACCACCCCTCTCTCCCTCAGTGTCGATGATGGCAAAGTACACAAGAGGTCGACAACACAGCCTCTACGTATGGCAGGGTCAAAGAGTGCTCAGGGAGTTATGTCCCCTTTGAAATCCTCCAAGGTCTCCTCAGCTGTGCTTGCAAACAACCACGCTAACGCATCCACCAAGCGCAGTACACGATTGACGGGAAGTTCACTAACAAGCGCCAAGAGGTACGTATCTGCCGTTGCTGGTATGCATCCTAAGTTCGCTACCTGTCAGGGATTGGCACACCTACCCATTCCCATGCACACTGCACAGAAATGTCACCCGTCATGCTCCCTCCGTAGAGATCATCATAGAGTTTGTTCCACCAGAATATCATGACCTCCCTCCTTTCAGTGTGATTATTGAATCTGTGTGTGCTCATTTGAACATCCTTCAACCAGGATCTAATCATTTAACTGCAACACTAATGATGCTCAATAATGATTTTATCAAGTAAATATTTCGTTTCTGAATTGGAAAATGTAGTCATTATACCCCATCACTTTGTGATTTTTTGCTCATCATATCAACCACTGGTTTGTCTGGAACAGACTTGATCATTTATATACCTCTATAATGTAACTGTCATTTCAGACCAAAACAGCAAAAAGCGAAACCATTTGATTATCCTTTTTAATTAATAAATTCATGAATGAGGAAGAATGTTGTATTCTATGAGAGAACATGATCCAGTGATTTCTGAGTCAGTGATGTAGCGTTCTCTGGCACAGTAGGTGAAATCTTCATGAACACAATGTTGGAAAGGTCAGGGTATCACTGGATCTGTTGCAAGGATAGGTGACATATTTCTGCAGTGTGCATGGGAGATGGTAGACAGACATGTATGGATGGGCCGTGGGAGAAGTAATCTCATGTCCAGTGATACACGAATAAGGTTGATGTTTTTACTGGAAGAAGTCCATCTTTTCCAAATGAAACATGAATTGACAGTCTTTCATTTTGGAGAAAATTTGTCATTTAGTAGGAATATCAGAAATTCAATTTTGAATATATTTTTTTTTTAACTTTATTTTCACAATACTGCTGCAGGAAGAAGTATTTTTGATGAACATAGCTTGATAACATTTTATGCCTTTAATCAACCAGTCACATCAAGATAACATTGGATGTCACTTTATAGTTTAGTACTAGTTAAGATTCACTGAATGCTGATTTATCTTCTTCATACTGATACAAGTACCTGTTTTCTTGTAGAAAACATCAACAGTATTGTTTGAGGAAAACCATTCAGTCTAGGTAGGCGGGCATCGTGCTGTGGTACAGCTTCCTGTCTCCAGGTCACCTCGACCTGGCTGACACTTACTGCCTGCTTTTATCAGTACCTCCTCATTTGATATTGTTATTTTATCAGCTATTTAGTTCACTAAGTTTTATTGCTCACATTGGTTTTATATCCCCCCTTGTGGTGCATTATTCATGTTATTTTAACTGTCATAATCTTTCATTCAAATTTTTCCAGTTTGTTCTTTCAATGTGCTTGTGGGTTTCATTGCTGCTTAGGCCAAAGAGGCTCATCACATGCTTTCTCAACATGAAATATTAACACATAAAATGGTGTTAAGCATGGACACAGTTCTCAGATAACAGTGGGATACTGTACAGGGAGACCGATGAGTCTATGGTAATTTGATCCATGGATGTTTATGAACAGAATGGAAAATGAGAATTTTGAACTTGTAGACCCATGTTTTGGCACAATGGTTACGTGAAACGATTTACAAGTAAGGAGAATGTGATGAAAAATGACGATTTTTAGCAGCAAAGATACCCACAATGCAATTGTGTGACACCTACAATGCATTTGTGCGTGTTAAGTCATTGTTGGTACTTTATTGTAGTCACCTGGTCAACAGTGATAGCTGTTGGATGCTATTTTTATCCTTGCATGGCTACACGAGATTATGTTCTTTTACCATTTAGTTCATTTCATTCACCCAGTACCATGACTACTACCAGCTTTCTATTAATGATATTTTGTGATCTGTTTTGGTTCAGGTGCACCTAGTTTATGATGTATGTACTGTTAAGTGCACTGGTCTGTGTGCATTTGCCTTTGATGATCTATGCACTAGTGATATTACCTTTTAGTAAGATTTGTTTTTGGTTTGCTGCAGGGATCATTTGATTTTCAAGATAAATTTTTCCTTTTGGTTTTGGTATAGATGGGAACCAAAATAATAAATTATTTTTTATACCAGAAAATTCTAGAGTTTTCATTTATGTATTTTGTTGGTACTTCTGTGTTATTTTTAGTCAGATCAAATAATTATGACTTTGGACCAGTTTTTCTTGACTATCCTCATCTTGTGATGGAACTTTTTATGGTACAGTGACCATCATTCACAAATCATAGATGTCTAAATTTCAAGTAACTAGAAGGAAATTAGCATCTATTGTGTGTACATCTTTTCCTTTATGTCGTTCTGTGGCGCACTGTGGTGTTGTAAGCAGATTATTGTGGCCTGCCTAAGCTCATTCAGCATTGCTACATGTTTGCCATCCACCTGTGTCATGCAGTTTTCACTTCCATAGGTGTAGCTTGGTGTAAGTTTTTACTTACCTAGATATTGCATGATAAATGAGTGTAACCTTCACAGTGTTCAGATCTTGTTTCAATTCAAGTGTCTTACTGTATTTTCCATTGAGTGTATGGATTAATAAACATAATGTCTAATGTGGTGAAGGGAAGGTAATTCTGATGTTCATATACCTACTAATAGCAGTAAACATTGACCATGATACTTTATTTCGAAACTAACCATGGCATGAGTGGCCTAGCTTTGCATGTGAAGTGACGAGTTTCACCTTATATGGGATGCTAGAGTAGAAGTAGATGTTGTTGTGTGGCATGACTCGATCACACTTTGATCGTTAAATGAACGTTTTCAACATGTCTGACCTTGTCCTTTCTTTTTGTCTCATCTAGCAGCTGGACTAGGCGTAGCCTTGATTTAGAATCAGACTACCATGATAATAAGAGTTTGGACAATAAAAGCAACCTGTATTCTAGTTCGAGGGATATTTATAAAACCACAGCTGATATCAACAGTTCCTGGCCCTACAAATATCACTTACGCTCCAACTATACAGTAAGTCAAACTCTTCTATACTCCTGTCAAGTCCACTCATTTTTCACTCTGTCAGACCTCTGATCAAACCCAGCACCACACTATTTTTGAATTCATTAAATGACAGTAAATTAGTTTGTCAATTTAGTCATTTGTTAGTATTCTAAGGTTGCCACGTTACAAATACAGAAATAGTCTAGTCATATTACCCTAACAATGGGTCAGCGCTTCCTGCCCTAACCATATCAATGGCACTTTTGGAGATAATTCAAAATTCTGGGTTCAAAATTAGGAATTTACATTCATCTTTAGCATGTTTCTTAAGACCCAACTTAAGCTTTGATGCCATGTTCTCTAGCGTTGCAAAGGCAAAGTCATATTGTTACCAAATAATCTATATCCTGTCTTGTTAAAATTATTTTTCACCTTTGCTCAGAAAGTATCCAAAATGGCAACTATGAATGTATTCTAGAATATTCATGCTGATATCACAGTATGTTGTTTCTGTACTTGAAGTAGTGGGAGTTTAAGGCATGGTCTGGTATGATTAATGCACTAAACAGAGGTGTCATGTACTCGAATTTGTACTTTACCCAATATAACATTGGTTACCTGGAAGAGGCTTTGGTTGTTATTACTTGCTTCATTCTTACTGGATGGGAAGAGTAAATGTTGAGTGTCACCTTCATTACCGTAACATTCACAGGGCTACGTGTAAACTCCTGCATTGGGTCGCGGTCCAGTGTTTGTTATCTCTGTTATGATACTACCATTTCCGCGTTATCTCAATGTTATGATACTACCATTTCCGCATTATCTCCATGTTATGATACTACCATTTCCGAGTTATCTCAATGTTATGATACTACCATTTCCGCATTATCTCCATGTTATGATACTACCATTTCCGCGTTATCTCCATGTTATGATACTACCATTTCCGAGTTATGTCCATGTTATGATACTACCATTTCCACGTTATCTCCATGTAATGATACTACCATTTCCGCGTTATCTGCATGTTATGATACTACCATTTCCGCGTTATCTCCATGTTATGATACTACCATTTCCGCGTTATCTGCATGTTTCTATGAAAGGACCACATCCAGTGGGAAGAACTTCTGCCCAGATCATTCAAAGTCCTCCATTATGTTAATTGTACTTAACTTATTTGCCACTTCATTTTGGTGATTATATCACTTTTAAATCCACATAAATTACCAAATTAGGACAAGATTTCACTTAAGCATTAGTTCGAAATCAACAACTCCGAATGACTGTTATGAAGATGAGTTTTGACATGGATTGGCATTCAGTACAGAGGCCTTGAACCGGCTGACACTCAATATGGGTTGTAAAATGAGAACATGTTATTGGTTACCTTATACTGAATAAGATGGTTTTAAAGACAAAGGAAGGATTATACCTATGCTGTGAATTGTTAACAGTTCCTAATTTTCTTACAACAAGTTCTCAGCTTGAACATTATTCAAGCTGGCATCAATATAAGGCAATGGCAAAAAGTAGGTCCTTATCATAACAGGATTGAGATGCAATACACTGGACAATCAAGAATCGGGAGGTCTCATAGTTACTATGGTTACATGTTTTCTTGTATACCAGTTCGTCTGTAAGCTATGTATAGTGGGAAAGGATGTATTAATTACTTACTAAACCATTGTTAGTACTGGTCCAGGAGTTTTTCGTTTATTGATCATTCGATATGCAGATGGTGATTTGATTATACAGCAGAGTAGTTCAGCTGCTTTAGTGAATGTTATGTTCAAACTTAGAGCTGTAGTGTTTTCTCTATCTGTTGACTTTTTTGTGATATTGACCCTGTAGAGTAATTATTCTTCATTTTATTTGCATGCCAACAATACTCAAGTTTCCTGGTTCCTTCATAACATGTAAACTTGGGTGCATCCATGGCATAGCTAAAGGGAAATAACTCTGACATGACACATACGGCTGGATAAAGGACAGTTCATTGACATTTGGAACAATAGTTCGGCACAGATCTACCCTCAGAATTGTGTCGTACGAGTGAAGTGTTTATACGTTTACTCAAATCAGTTATAAATGAAGTTGGTACATATGTAATCTTTGCTTGAACAGATATGTTCCTATGTACATGTGTTAAACTAGGGGTGTTAAGTCATTGTGATATAAGACATTTATTCTGTGTTTGAGGCGTTACACAGCTGGTGATATCATCACTTGTTTCAATCCGAATAGAGCAGTGTAACTGGATGGCTCTTTTGGCCTTATGTCATTTGAATCACAGCTGCGAAGTCATATGGTATTTGTCCCTGTAGAAGGAAGATGTGATGCACCATTGGTAACCAAGGCAATTTATTTCTACTATGAAAAAACACTTGGCTCCTAACAGCCAAAATGCATAGATTTATGTACACAACATAAATATCCCCAGCATCTTACACTCAGACTGATTGTACACGGTTAACAAATTAATTAGGTGGTCAGGCTTGGTATTATCGATCTCACTGTATTTTATAAGTTAACAAAGTATACCTATGTCATTAATTGTAATAGAGACTACTTCAATATGGTTTGGTCAAACTGCCATGCTCTATTCTCCTAAATACACTGTCATGCAAAACCGTGTAAATGCTTGGAATAAATTAACAGATTATAAAAAACAACAACTCAATGTGCTTCCAGACAGTCATATAACTGGAATATTGCTGAGTGATGCATTCAACAGCAAACAAGTAATTAAACTGCTATAATGCATAAATTACTTAGTGAAGCCACTATAATGTTTATATTACTGAGTGAAACTGCCATAATGCATATGATGCACAGATTACTAAGTCTTAATAAATATTGAGCAAAGATTACTAAGAAAACAGCATAGTGAAACTGCCATCAGGTAGATTCCTAAAACAGCGATAATGCATAGAGTACTGTTATAAAGTGAAACAGTTGCAATGTACAGATTACTTAATGGAAGAGACTTAAACAATTAATGCACAAATTGCATAGCGAAACCTCCATAATACATACGTCAGTGAGTGAAACTAATTATGCAATGAGTGAAACCACTATTGAGCATAGATTATTCAGTACAACAGACATAATCATAGATTACTCAGTAATACAGCCGTAATGCGTAGATTACTCAGTAATACAGCCGTAATGCATAGATTATTCAGTAATACAGCCGTAGTGCATAGATTACTCAGTAAAACAGTCGTAATGTGTAGATTACTCAGTAATACAGCCATAATGCGTAGATTAATCAGTAATACAGCCGTAAGGCGTAGATTACTCAGTGAAACAAGCATAATGTATATATTACTCAGTGAAAGAGTCATAATGTATATGTTACTCAGTAAAATAGCCGTAATGTGTAGATTATTCAGTGAAACAACCATAATGCATTGATTACTCAGTAAAATAGCCGTAATGTGTACATTACTCAGTAATACAGCCATAATACGTAGATTACTCGGTGATGCAGTCCCAATGCATGGATTACTCAGTTATATGGACATTATGCATAGATTACTATATGAAATCTCCTCAGTTAGTGTGTAAACAAGCAGATGCATGTTGTTGTGATGTGGTGTTCTTGAAGAAACTTGAACGGATGATGTGTCGTAGACTAGCTTGTCATGAAGAAACTTGATCCAACATGCCCGACTGTGTTGTTGTGTCTGGTACCTGTTGACTAGCTGGTTCACTTCTACCTGTTTGTTTACAACATGTACAATAGGCAAGTTCCAGAACTATACGCCATACGTTTACATAAGTGCATGGTTTGTGTTGCATAGCATTTGTTCTCTGGGGGTTAGACCATTATGTTGTCGTTCAATAATTGTCTGTTGAGAAATGGTGGATGTTTTTTAAGGCAAAAGTATATGTGTATACATTTTTTCATTGTCTCATACTTTTTGTTTAGCTGCAATAAAATATTTATTCAAAATTGCAGGAATATACTATGAATGGATAACCTGAAGATGCTGTCAGCAGAATCCGATTGACTTTTATCAGTTATTATTTCAGAGATTACCATGACATATTGTAGCCTGATTGTAGGAGTTACTGCAAGACTTAGAGTAAAAATGGTGGATTGAGTCCTAGAATACAGATAATGGGTTTGAATATGCTGAATTGGCGAGTAGATGATATGAGGTTGATAGAGCAAAAATGCACATTCTCTTACCAACCACTTGAAAATAAATGAGATTCGTTTTTAACTTGTGCTGCTTTCTTTTCTCAGATCGGTTCCTCATACTCGTAGTGTGAAGACCTCCCATCTACGATGATATCAACCACTGTTCGAGCAACGCCCACCAACCGAGAGTCACAACGTTGTTATTGTCCATATTTCCTGGCGTGAGGATTTAAGAATGTGTACAGTTCTATTTTTATAGGGGATTCACTTAGTCACATACTGCCCTGCTTCAGATGTATGTAGATATATTTGGTCATGTGGAGCATGGCAGATAAATAAACCAGTTACATGTACAGAAAAACCAACATTCAGCATGTATGCAAACATATTTTGTTACATATTAATTATTAAACAAATGTATTAAGATCTTAACAAATCATATTTCCATGCCTCAGTTCTTATGGCTCATAAGGAATGTTTTACCTATTCTTTTAATATGTTACATGTAGTATTAAATTACTTGGAACATTTTAAAATGAAATTTCTACACATGAACTATATATGAAACTATTCTGTAGGGAGTGTATTGGTTATATTTTAAACCCAGTGAAGAAGATTGTATTTACACTGGGAGGCGGAGGTAACTGTTGTATCATCTATGCATGTCATAATATTTAGTACAACACCCATCTAGCAACGTTGCTCCTGCAGGCGTATTTACAAGTCTGTTTTATGTTCTCATTTCCCTTTTAATGAATCATAATGACATGTATATTTTTAGTCTTAATACGGAGTGGTCAGAAGTTCACAGTCTGTGTTTAATATCCTGGTTTTTCCAAGTTTTAATCTTATCCTTATGATTAATGATTGCATTAAAAGATATATATATATTGATTGATGAATAGATATTTCCAGCATGAACACATCTTGGTGTTTAGGTGGCGAGATATTAGACTGTTTTGATTATATCAGAGTTGTTCTGTGATAATGGCCTCTTTTAAGGTTTGCATGTTACGTTCTGTTCTTTTATACCATGTTGATGTGTCTAACTCACATGGTTGAAATTTGCTGTTCCCCCGTTGTTGGTTGGTGTATGGTAGTTACAGGTTTATATACCAATCTCTATACAAATATTGAAAGGAGCAGTGCTCAGTATTTATTTATTCTAAAGGTTTTAGGTAGACATTTTTAACATGTGATGCAAATGTTTGCTTCTGTTCTGAAATATAAATGACCTGCTCACTTGGTAGTTTTGTTTGACAAATGGATTCCACTTTTGAAGGTCGGAAATAATGCATGGTAATTAATTAGTACCACCTGTCTATAATATGACTGTAGCAAGCTAGGTTTGTTACTGTATTTTTGTATGTTAACCCATATTTATTAAATGCTTCTTATGAAACATGTCAAACAGTTTCTCATGTTTGCCAGATTTTCTAAATGTGAATTGTGTGCACAGAAGTGGAGGTTCTACCATTTGCTGCCTTGGTTAATTTCTGTCGAGTCGATCATCCAAAGATTGTTTATTATTAAAATCTTCCTTAAGTGTGTCATTTAGAGGGCCAGTTGGAAATGAGTGTGTATGTGTGTGTGTACTAATAATAGTTTATAAAGTTTTCATTTCACTAGAACAATAATTGTTTTCAATGACTGTCAAAATTGAGCAATCAAGTGAATTAAAATTTACTCATGATTAATTAAACTGATGAAAGTCTATGGATAAGTTTTTGGAAAGTTTTATGAAATAAATATAAAGGAATTGGTTTTCAGTTTGTAGAAATTTAATGTGAGATGATGCCACAGCTATTACAAGCATAATGTTGATGTGAGCGAAGCAAGCAATAACACTTGTATGGTTGATGAAGAGAAGTTTATATGAAGAGATGGTTCGCAATAATAACATTTCTCTGTGATCTCTGTAAGGAACAAAAACTATCTGCTGCCTGCGAACATAAAGTTATAAAAACAATTCTTTGTGACAACCAGAAGCCTGAAGCAAGCTTTCATTATGTAAATAAACACATTCAGAGAGTTGTCTCCCTTCAGTTGACCAATCCTCACATTGAAAAACATGATGATGGTCTTTATGATGTGTCAATAACACATAATCTGACTTACTGCAGTTCACTATACGTTCACATTTCTGAAAGGACAAAATTAACTGTTTTCATCATTTTATGTGATAAATTTATGGCCAAAGATAAAACTATTTGTAGACTATTACTATGAAAGTAATTAAGAATTCTGGCTAAGTTCTTCCTTGAAAGCTGCAGTTTGGAGAACAATTGACCATGTTAAACTGTAGCTAGACTGTCTCCTGGTCTCTTGTCTTCTTTTGGGATCAGCCAGCTGCTTCTTTCCCTGCTCCTGTATGTGGGCTTTAGTTTGTCGGCATGTTAGGGTGTAACTGTACATGCTCATAGAAGGATTGTCATGGTTGTATATTTGATACTATTTTATCATACAATGCTATTGACATTTAGAAAATATGAATTAAAATATATTACAATGAAAGTGTGTGTGGTTATTTTTTTGTCATTTTGATAATATGTAGTTTTTTACCAGCAGTTCAGAGCTCTGGCAGGAGATTACCTACTTGTGATTACTTGTCAGATCTTAGGAGGCGCATGTTTGGTCAAGTCACTTGTCATTGCAATTCAATGTGGAACAGGGACCTCTTGTTTTCTCCCAGCTTGTAGTTGTTTAACATAAGGCACTAGAGGACTAGTTGGATATGTCCACCAGTGTCACAAGCTGATGGGTTTAACTCCTGCACCCTGATCATGAGGAGTTCTTGTAAACACCTCTGAGTACTAATGGGCTTCACACATATTTTTATGTTCATGTTTCTCTTCATTTGAAGCTGATAGAAAGGCACATCACTGAAACACTGTAGGGTTCAGGACTGAAAGGAACATTCAAGCCCTTGTTTTAGGGATTATTTTACAGATGTCTGTATTGTTAGAAAAATTGTGCACTTTTGTTGCAAGTGGGATCAAAGTATACAGTTTAATGTATTAATTATTTGAATATTAAATCTTAGCACCTGTATTATTTCTCAGATTCTGAATTCATTGAGAATAACGACTATGTCAAGCATGATTCTGGCCCCTACACCTTCCTGCCCGAAAATGTAACGGTTACACGTGAGGTACTCTCACTGGTTTTTCTGAAAGTTATTTTAAAGCAGTAAAGCGTAGCAGTTCCTGTGGGCTCGAATCTAGATTTGAGATAATGATCATGGCATTGTGGGCACAGTTTCTATGGTCCATTTTGTGTTTCGCCTTTCCTCCCCCATTTAGTTGTCTCTCCCTAATTGTACTGAGATCATTGCATCTCTCACTTTAACTTGAGCAGAACAGGGTTCAGAGGCAGTATAGTAAAAAACTGACAAACGTGGTGACTACTACAAAATTTCAGTTTGTGACTGACTGGGTTTGGTGACTCAGGACAAAATTTCAGTTGTGTCAAGGTGTTGGCTTGGTGTCAGAGGAAAGAGTGAAGTGATTAATTCACATGTTCACAGGCAACTGTATACATTTGTGTGTACACTACAGCTGCTGTGTATTCCTTCATGACTTCAGTTCTTTATTCTAGGTCACTAGAATCAAAAATTCATTTGAATTTGGTGTTATTTATCAAAAGGAAATATACAAAACGGAGTACATCCAAGCAAGGAAAGACAGTGGTCAATACCCTTATGTATTTCATTTGACAATGTGTCACTGGTCATTGTGATAAATTAGCATTGTCTTAATGGTGAAAACATATCAAAGTCTTGATCCTTGAAGATAACTCATTGAAGTTTGTTGACAGCTGTTTTAAGTTCAATGTAGACGAGGCCTCATGAGTGGTAGGTCTTGAAACGTCGATGTTAGCAGACAGATGAGCGAAAATCCAAAGTCGTCCCCCCATACATCTCAACAACCATTTCTTTGGGTGTCTTGTTGTGTACAAATGAAATTTAGTTTACATTAAAATTGATTTGAGCAAGGTAACCCTCTTCTCAATTGCGAAACCTTTTCGTGTTGACAGGCGTGAACAGATTGAGAGGTGTGCGTCACGCCACTTACCTTATTTACACCCCTGAGTTACGTTTCATGCGTTTGCGAGTTTACATGTAAAAACATATCTAGTTACACGTCCAAAATTACGTGAGTACATGTCAAGCATATGAACGAGGTACACATTTCGTCTACATAAATATCGCGAAGTTCAGAATATGAGAGGTTGGGTTTCTCACCTATCTGTAAATGTACATGTCTAATGGTTTCTGCGCCCCGTGTCCTGTGCCCTCGGTCTTATTCTCGGACATCAAGGGAAGTTGCCTGTCACCTCATACCGTTCACGTCTTGGTTCTCAAAACCGCGAATCACATGGCCTCGAAAATGGATAGATAGATAAATTCCTGCATGCATATATCACCCACACCACCAGATGTGGCGTGACCGAGAATTTGGATAGGATGAGATGAAAATACTTACCGATTGGTTGTTATATATTGCTTTTATCACTGACACTACTTGGAACTCCAGAAATGGAGGTCAAACAATGTGCCAATTTAGGGAAGCGAAACCCGCTTTCGAATTCGGCTTGAATGCTGTAACCACTTGGCTATCCCAGCTCTTCTTATCTGATGAAATACGAGGGACGGATGAAACCTGAGAGGCGGTCAGGTTCACTAATGGTTAAAGCGTTCGCTCGTCACGCCGAAGACCCGGGTTCGATTCCCCACACTGGCATGTGTGAAGCTCATTTGTTGTGATATTGCTTGAGTTTTTTTTCTAGAAGCGGTGTAAAACTAAACTAAACTCACTCACTCACTCCGCGTTATCTCCGTGTTATTATGGTAAGACCAGTTCTGTGCTTAAGTGGGAAGAACATCTGTCCCGATAATGAAAAGTCGGTGGTTTGATTAACCGAAGAGAAAGATGGTACTTCTTGTTACCCTGCCTGCCACTCTGTTAGATATCAATATTTACTGTGGAATGGGGGGCGGTGGGGTAGCCTAGTGGTTAAAGCGTTCGCTCGTCACGCCGAAGACCCGGGTTCGAATCCCCACATGGGTACATTGTGTGAAGCTCATTTCTGGTGTCCCCCGCCGTGATATTGCTGGAATATTGCTAAAAGCGGCGTAAAACCAAACTCACTCACTCACTCACTGTGGCATGGTGTCTCAGTGGGCGTGCACTAGTTGTCTTACCTCACCTCCATGTCTGGTGTGCCCCCGCCATGATATTGCTGGAATACAAACGACTCAAAACCATACTCACTGCGGCGAACTACGAGGATGAGATGGCGGAAACGTTCTGAGCCTCACGATGATTGAATTGGTTGCTGTTTATATTTCAGTATGATCTTCTCAGAGTTCCACATTCTTTCGTCAACCTTGTTGGGGACCGTTGTACAAAACAACTGTAGTGGTGTAAAAGGCCCAGAAAGCAGAAATGACAGCCTCATCAACACTTTGGAAAGAAATGGAAATTTGACGGTTCCAAATCTGGTGAATATGGGGTATGTCCAATGGGTTCAAAGACACATTCGTGCACTGAAACCATGGTAACAATAGACTGCGCACAACTGCATTTTCCTTGTAGGAAAATACACTCTTAATGAGGTTTCCTCGGTATTTAGCCGCCATATTCTCATGCAGCTCACAGGGGGCGGTGGGGTAGCCTGGTGGTTAAAGCGTCCGCTCGTCACGCCGAAGACCCGGGTTCAAATCCCCACATGGGCACAATCAAGCCCATTTCTGGTGTCCCCCGCTGTGATATTGCTGGAATATTGCTAAAAGCGGCGTAAAACCATACTCGCTCACTCGTTCACTCATGCAGCTCACAAAACAGACTGGGATAGTACTGGCCATTGTTGGTGGTCTTTCTGGAGGTAGTCTACCAACTGGATTCTTTTGGAATTCGTCAAAACCTAAGTCATCATATACTGAACATCACTGAAAACGCACCAGTCTGAAATTGTCCATATTTTCATCAAGATGGATTTCAGCATGACAATGATCAATGAATATAACTAACATGAAGTAGAAGGGCATGTCCAGTTGAAAAAAATGCTTTAGAAACAAATCCCTGTCCACAGTATGACTCTTTATTCCAAAATGCATCAACATGCAGCCACGCCATGAAAAAAGCGCGAATTTCATTCTGAAATCATACTGACTGACATTTAAGCAGGTGTATGAGAACCGATTCTCATTGCTTCACTAACGATTGTGAAACGAGGACAGATGCCGAGGTTAACACCTCACGAAAGAGCAAGTGCACTAGGCATGATTGGCACCAGCAGCAGGGATATTGCTCGACAACTTGGACTTGGCCACTCCACCATCGTTAGGCTTCGTAGACGACATCAGTAGACAGGCAGCACCCGTGACCTTCAATGACCTTGGCAACAACGTGTTACGACGCTCCATCAGGATCGCCATATTGACCTTGTCCACATCAGTGATTGAACACTGCCGACTGCCAGGACTGCTGCACTAGTTCAAGGTTGACGTGGGGGGTCATCAGCGCTGACTCCATGCGACGCCGTCTACACGCTACAGGGCTTCATGCTCGACGTCCATACGCTGGACCAATTCTGACTGACAGACACCGTAATGAGCGTATACAATGGGATAACAGGCATTTTCAGTAAAGGGTACAACAATGGCATGGTGTGGTAGTCACTGACGAGTCACGTCTTCATCTACGTAATGCTGACGGCCGATTACGTATTTGGCGTAGACGTGGTGAACGTTATGCTGATGAGTGTGTGGTTCAGACAGACCTTTGGGTGGTGGGAGTGTCATGGTCTGGGGTGGAATAAATTACAATCACAGGACTGCCTTCATGTCTGTCAAGGGAGAGTTAATGCCCTTTATTACCGTGAGCAGATTCTTCAGAATCACATCGTATCTGTCTTCAATCACCACCAAGATGTCCATACTTTTCAACAGGACAACGCACAGGCACACACAAGAAGACTTTCCATGCAGTATCTGGCCCAGCAACACATCCAGGTTATTCATTGGCCAGATGTATCCCCGATGGAGCACTTGTGGGACGAAATTGGTCAAAATCTTTCGCAGCGACAACAGATGCGAAACATCCGGGAACTTGAGGCTGCACTACTGCAGAAGTGGAATGCCATCCTCAAGAACTCTATTCGGACGCTTATTGACTCAATGAGGAGACGTTGAACTGCATGTGTCAATGCAAATGGCGGTCACACTCGATATTGACTTTCCGATTTGACCCCACGTGTGTTTGATCCTTTCTGACTGTGGAACATTTCAATGAATGAGCGTCTTTTCTGTGTTGTTGTTTTTGTCAGTCGTCCATCTGTTATTATCCACTCAAAAAATATCAATTCCTTACACGTGCTTTTAATAATCTGAACTTTTATAAGTGGTGCGTTTTCAATGATGTTCAGTATATATAGGAAAGCAAGGTGCTGTCCTTGGTATATTCCATGAGGGTCAACGTGTATCCATCAGAATCATCCCAAACTGGAAAGGCTAAATCAAGACCAACCCAGATGTGATATCAACTTTAAGGAATGAGACACTTTCCTCTGTCACTGCCCAGGTGGATAGAGAAGGCACGGAAGACGAGGTCGCATAAATATGATCCAAGATCAGGAAGACCATCAAGTGCAACCATTGAGGGAAAAAAAACCTGATACAATCATGGATGGTCGATTTCGTCCAGTGCAGTAAAAATATCTCATGGAAGAATTGAGATCCTACTGGGTAATGAGCTGAGCATGACGCTGAACTGAAGGTTTCGTACTCAGAGACGACCCGAGACCACTACTTCTCGTGAGCGATTTGTAACCAAGGATTAGTCTAGGGTCACTCGTTGAGCGATTTGTAACCAAGGATTAGTCTAGGGTCACTCGTTGAGCGATTTGTTACCAAGGATTAGTCTAGGGTCACTCGTTGAGCGATTTGTAACCAAGGATAAGTCTAGGGTCACTCGTTGAGCGATTTGTAACCAAGGATTAGTCTAGGGTCACTCGTTGAGCGATTTGTAACCAAGGATTAATCTAGGGTCACTCATTGAGCGATTTGTAACCAAGGATTAGTCTAGGGTCACTACTATCAACCAGACACTTTACAACAGCCAAAGCTGTCGAAACATTAAACTGACTGACGAAGGAGGTAAAGTATGTTCCATCAAATGACAACATTATCGCTTCGAGTTTGGGGGGTCCTAAAGGAGTGCTGGTGTAACTCCCTGAAGGTATGACCATTAGGGTGATCTTCCTGGGCACATGCGTAGAATATTAAGGCTAAATGTCACAGACAACTCACTAAAGGTGAGTTGTTCAACCAAGACAACGAACCTGCACTCAGGTATGTTGTCATGGATGCCTTACACAGGTGTTGTTTTGAACTGGTTGAACTGATTGATCACGCTCCCCATTTAATAGATTTGGCACAAGCAGATCTCTATCTCCTCCCAAACCTGAACAACGATACTGAAGTCAAGGTCATGCATATGGCGGTGACGCAATGTTCACATATACTCCATCAACGCAGACCAGGGGCGGTGGGGTAGCATAGTGTCTAAAGCGTTGGCTCGTCACGCCAAAGACCCGGGTTCGATTCCCCACATGGGTACAATGTGTGAAGCCCATTTCTGGTGTCCCCCGCCGCGATATGGCTGCAATATTGCTAAAAGCTGCGTAAAACCATACTCACTCACTCACTCAACGCAGACCATCATGTTTTGGCTCAAGAGTTTTTAAGCCAACCCTTTACGTAATAGTGGCCATGAGCCAGATATATGGTTAGGAAAACAAATAGACGCACTCTGACCCCAGTGACTGTGAAAGTCACCGTGACTCGTTGCTTTTCACGATGTCTTGGACTGACACTGAACAAAATCAAGTTAAAATATGTACGTATTGGGTGTAACCTGTACTGTTTATACCATACGATATAAATATACAGCGTGGAGAAACTAGGCAACTCTTGGACGCTACAAAAAGTGTCAATGTATTCTGTCACTCCGCTGACATGTGTGTCCCTGGCCCACAGTGATACTGATGACCTTCATCTACATTGCAGCGTATCAGCGTCTCCTGTACTTGCACGTATTGCATACATATACATATGCTTAAGTCGGCTCACACAGTCACTATCTGTGAGCACGTTAAGGAGCGCGTATCAACGCCGTCAAGTTGAGGTAGGTAGAGATACGTATATTGGCACGTAAGATTTGTTTCCACAACAATGAAATTCCACATATACTATTCTTTTAATTACTTTATAACACGTTCTATATTCTTCCAGGAAACTACGAGTTTTTTATATGAAGGCGGGAATTTATGGTCTTGTTTATTTCAGGAACACGACGTTTCGGAGTATATTCCTTTTTCATTGACCTGGTGAGTCTTGCCTTTATGTGTATCACTACTAAATGCCGTTCAAAGACTCTACAAGTTTTATATAGTTCCATCGTCACCAGATATCCCAGATCTACAAGTTTTATATAGTTCAACCGTCACCAGATATCCCAGATCTATATGTTCAACAAAGTTCCACCGTCACCAGATATCCCCAGATCTATATGTTCTACATAGTTCCACCGTCACCAGATATCCAAGATCTACATGTTCTATATAGTTCCACCGTCACCAGATATCCCAGATCTATATGTTCTACATAGTTCCACCGTCACCAGATATCCCAGATCTATATGTTCTACATAGTTCCACCGTCACCAGAAATCCAAGATCTATATGTTCTGCATAGTTCCACCATCCCCTGATATCCCAGATCTACATGTTCCACATAGTTCCACCGTCACCAGATATCCCAGATCTATATGTTCTTCATAGTCCCATCGTCACCAGATATCCTCAGATCTATATGTTCTTCATAGTCCCACCGTCACCAGACATCCTCAGATCTATATGTTCTACATAGTTCCACCGTCACCAGATATCCCAGATCTATATGTTCTACATAGTTCCACCGTCACCAGATATCCCAGATCGATATGTTCTATATAGTTCAACCGTCACCAGATATCCCAGATCTATATGTTCTACATAGTTCCACCATCCCCTGATATCCCAGATCTATATGTTCTACATAGTTCCACCGTCACCAGATATCCTCAGATCTATATGTTCTATATAGTTCCACCGTCACCAGATACCCCAGATCTATATGTTCTACATAGTTCCACCGTCACCAGATATCCCAGATCTATATGTTCTACATAGTTCCACCATCCCCTGATATCCCAGATCTATATGTTCTACATAGTTCACCGTGGCAAGTATTGTTTAAAGGGGTGGCTCAAAAACTCTTGAGCCAAAATATGATGGACTGCGTTGATGGAGTTCATCTCAAAATAATCCTACTAGAGACTCGTGCACTTTGGCCAAGGGTACTGACGTTCCTGCGTGCCATTGGTAGGAAAGGCTTCCTGCGGTTGCTGTTGAAGCGCAGAAATGACGTCACCACCATATGCATGACCTTGACTTCAGTATCGTTGTTCGGGTTTGGGAAGAGAGAGTGAATATGGAGTGTGATCAACGACTTCAAACTTGTGCAACGCAGTCAGGACAACATACTTGAGTTCATGTTCGTTGTCTTGATTGAGCAACTTACCTGTAGTGAGTTTTCTGTGACATTTAGCCCTAGCTTAGTTCCACCGTCCCGTGTTATCACCAAGTCTATACGATCAATATATACACAAAGAACTTAGTTAAGCACCCCCTGACATATCTCACTATTGAATGAGCCCCGATCTTAACCCTTTGGAGCATATCTGGGACATGATTGGTCGTCGTGTGCAACAAAGGGGTCCTTCTGGCCCAATTGGAAGCTACGTTTCACGAGGAATGGGGTGGACTTCCCTTCGATCAGAGGATCAGGAGGCTGACAGGGGGTATAAGGAGGAGAGGTGCTGGCTGTCATACAGTCACGTGGAGTTTACACTCGGTATTGACCTTGAATCGTGTCAGACACGCAAAATGACATTTTGAATGTTCACATTTAGCAAGAAATTCAACACTAAACATTCCAGGGCCATACTTGTACAGTCATGGTTTTGTATGAAAATCAGTGGGTTTTTTTTTTTAAATGAGCAATTATCAATATAAAATCAACATTGATTCCAATAATTTATTCGTTTTTTAGGAGTCAAGGGATCATTCGGGTCAGAAAAACTCCATCGTGGTTTTCCCATCGTCGTCACCACGAGAAGTTTTATTTCCGTGTTGAAAACCTCCCATTGCAAAGATACAGGGGGGTGCTTAATTAAGTTCTTTGTGTATAGTGCCTCTGTCATCTAATAAACCCCCAGGGTGCCTTTCCACTAACCGATTTTATGAAAGGTACACCAGTGGATACGCCGGGATATTGCTGGAATATTGCTAAAAGCAACGTAAAACTAAACTAACTCACTCACTCTACATAGTTCCACCGTCTTCTGTTACCCCCATGTTCTATACGGTTCCATCACCCCAAGAACCCTAGGTCCCCACATCCCCCACTATTGTGTCACACATCCCATCATTGTGTCAAATCCCTCACCATTGTGTCAAATCCCTCACTATTGTGTCTCATATCTGACTATTGTGTCGCACATTCCACTATTGTCACATATCCCACTATTGTCACATATCCCACTATTGTGTTACATATCCGACTATTGTGTCACATTCCCCACTATTGTGTTATTCAGATAATGACGTCCTGTGCGTGGTACCGAGATGACGATGAAACCAATCTCCGAGCCCCCCCACAAACTGGATCCACCGCAGTATCTGAACATTGAAGAGCTGTACCAGAAGACGGGTGTCCGGTATGAGAAGGTCAGTTTGGACACAACTTTTATGTGTTGTGCTATTGTAACTAATGCATGCATGCCATACCCAAGCCGAACGAGCAATAATGAATTTGATTGTTACGCCGCAGTCAACAATATTCAAGCGATGTCTCAGCGACCTCTAAATAATCGAGTATGGAATAACAAGCCAGTGAGTGATGTTATGAGCATCATCCCACTGTGTTGGGATACGTTGACACACAATCATATCTGACCAACTGGTCCAATTGAGTCGCCCTTTACGACACAGAACAGAGGGCGTCTTCCTAAACAGGTAACGCTTTGATTGTTGAATCTGGTATTAATCTGAATTTTTATCATTTGGGGAAGGATGCGAGTTACAGATAAATTCCTCTGGAGAAAGAGGTTAATGGCGAGCGGGGTTGGTTGTAAATATTACAGCCTTTTGTTCAAATGCATCAGCTTCTTCTCGACTGGCAAGTACTTAGAATTGTATTGCAGCAGCGCTGAAGAGATAGTCTTGGACTTTTACCACTTAGTTGAAATAAAACCCGGGCATTGTGTTACAAACCAAGAAACATAATCGGGCTGAACCGGGCTTCGAATCCACCTTCATAATTTTTTGCAGCTTCATGAAGTCAACCGTTCACCCGTGAAGTGTTTAAGCATTATCATGGCACGGTCCGGTTTAATATTATATGTATCCATACACACATTCTGTTCTAGATTCCAGAATCCGTGTGCGACGACAACGAGGCTGTAGAGCGAATACCGTCTGAGCGGAAGTATTTATTCCATGACTACATGGAGATGGATCGCGACACCTTGAAGGACTACGACAAGATGGTGGGTGTTCACAGTGTGTTTTTATTCTGGAAGTTGGTTAGTAAAGAGTGAGTGAGGTTAGTTTTCCACCGCTTTTAGCAACATTCGAGTAATAGCACAGCGGGGGACACCGGAAATGAACTTCACACATTGGACCCATGTGAGGAAACGAACCCGGGTCTTCAGCGTGACGAGCGGTCGCTTTAACCATTAGGCTACCCAACGGTTAGTAAAGAGGAAGGCATGCAAGCTTTGGGTAACATCTTTGGTTGATTGCTTAAGTAACGTTTTGGCGTAGTCTTTCACCGCATGCAAGCTGATACGCTTCAGCAGGGGTGGAAATACCTTTAAAATTGCTAGTGTACTCCGGTACAGTGGCACATGTAAAATCACTTGCCCTGATAATTTTTCCACTATGCCGGCCGTTTTCTTGTTGATTTTTTAAATAAACAACATAATTAATATTGGAAAGTCAACTGGACACCGGTACAGTATGATATACAAATTTGCTTGCCCGACAGAAAAAAACTCTGGACTCGGGCGTCGGGCAATGGGTTATTTCCATCCCTGCGGCTTCATAACGATGCAAGCATCTATATGGTAACAATAAACTACTGCATGCCCCGTTTCACAAAGCGGTCTTAACGTTAAGATGATCTTAACTCCCTTACTATTACGTAGACTTACAGTGTCGTATCGCCAAGATCGCTTCGTGCAAGTGGGCCCTGAAGTTGTTATCCTTTAAACTGAATTCTTTCTTTGTTTCGACAGTGTTTCTGTATCACCCTTTCCTTTGTATGGTATTGGAAAATATTACAGACAAACCGACCACTATCTTAAAGCGGTGGGGTAACCTAGTGGTTAAGGCGGTCGCTCGTCACGCCGAAGACCCGGGTTCGATTCCCTACATGGGTACAATATGTGAAGCTTATTTCTGATGTCCCGTCGTGATTTAGCTGTATTATTGCTATAAGATGCGTAAACTAAACTTTCTCACTCGAACTCCGCTATCTTAAACCTGGTAAGGGTCAAATTGATAACGAGCATCTGAGATAACCCGGGACTTGTATCTCTTGTTGTGCTGGTCAGATGGATTAAAGCTAACAGATCCAAGGTGTAATACATTTATCTGTATTTACGGCTATGTTTATATTCCACATTCGTCAAGTCACGTGCGTGCCACATATATTCGCAACTGGTCACCCATTATACAATTCATCATCAGTACTTCGGTCAAACTAAATGATATAATTCTGTCTCGATAGCGTCACCAAAGTTCACAACAACATTATCGCCAGTTTAATCAGTAAATGCGATTAACTGTGATAGCTGGTATAGGTATAGAATATACACGACAGACAGTGACAAACCTTTCTCTGGCTGTCTAATAAACTCATCGTTATTTACTCAGGACTGTGGGTTAGTTGTGCACATTGGTATATCTTGCCAAGCGAGCTGATTGCTCATGACTCTCGTTTAAATACCTGCCTGGAAACTCGTCCCCTTGTCCAACAGGGGCGATAACAATTAAGACGAACCAATCAGAGTGAGTGAGTGAGTTTAGTTTTACCCCACACTCAGCAATATTCAAGTCTGGACCAGACAATCCAGTGATCAACAGCATGAGCATCGATCTGCCCAACTGTGAACCGATAACAAGTGTCAACCAAGTCAGCGAGCCTGATCACCCGATGCCGTTAGTCGCCTCTTACGACAGGCATGGGTTACTGAAGATCAGTTCTAACCCGGACCTTCACGGGTCGAACCAATCAGAATGCGCCCCTGACCAAAAGAACTTGAGTCAAAGAATCCGTCCTTAACACTATGTTCTCCGCGTATTGTTTATGGATATAGTTTGTCACTGAATCGTATCAATATGAAAGTTAATTGTTTCACCATACCGAAATAACATCTGTGTTATATTTATAATTATATATGTTAAGGCGAATATCGTTCAGCTTGTCGACTATTTAACCCGTTTGACTCATCCGGTTTATTGCGTTTCGATGAGTTGGGCTTCCAGCTTGAAAATTGTGTCACAATTTAAATCGAATAATCTGAATCATCGCTTAGTGCAAATAAAACCAGAAGTTATTAACCGTGAAGCTATTCGTGTTCTCACGTTGACTTAAGTAACCGCTATGCCTGTTTGCACGAAGACGAAACCGAGTTGACAGAATTACCACCATTCGTCACCACTCGCACCTTTCCGTCATCTCCAAGAAAATTCGGCTTGTCCCGGAATAACACGAGTGGTTCACGAATCATATTTAATCGTGGTGTTCTGAGTTACCCTCTGAGGTGCGCCGTGTCCGTGAATTCGAATTTCAGTTTCCCGTGCGTGTGATTCTTGGTTCATCAGCTCCGTACTCGTGGGTTTGAATTAAAAGTCATCATTTTACGCTGTCGTAACTACTCGTGTCATTCCCGCAAGCCGGATGGCGTCTCGTACCCTACTCGTGGCCATGTTTACGACTGGGCCCTGTCTAAGCGCAAACGGGCACGGAGATGAAAATTGTCTAGTACTATTACCAAGGAAAGATAAGTCTGAATTTCCAAACATGGCTCCTAGAATATCCTATTTCCCGTGGGAAAAACACCAATACGGTCATTCCCGTTGTAAATATGTTTCAGTTTTTAAAGTTGCTGATCCGTTAGCTCAAAGTTTATGCTTAAATTGTGCTTTGCATAGTTTAGCGAAGTTTCAAACTTCAACGCTGCCGCCATTTTCCTGCTTCAAAATGCGTTTTACAACGCGCGATTTGATTGGTTTGCCACGATTCTTGGCAATAATGACGAGCGATAGGGGTATGAGTCTTCTTGTAGGTCACGGAAAGAGGCGAGTAGTTACGAATGCATTTTACGTTCTTCCCACACAATGTGCCACCCCGTGATGTATCTGAAATAAGGGGAGGTAGGGTAACCTTATGGTTAAAGCGTTCGCTCGTCACGCCAAAAATCTGGGTTCGATTCCCCACATGGGTACAATGTGTGAAGCCTATTTCTGGCTCCCCCGCCATGATGTTTTTTGAAATGTTGCTAAACGCAGTGTAAAACTAAATTCACTCACTCACTCTGAAATAATGGCCTATGAAGAGTTAAACCAACGGACTCTCTCAAGATAAAACATCTCAATCAGCACATTTTTTAATTTCAATCTTTGGAATGATCATTATCAGAATTAACAATCATGAGTTAAGGCCTGGTGTGAAATATTTTGTGAGTGAGTGAGTGAGTTTAGTTTTACACCGCACTCAGCAATATTCCAGCTATATGGCGGCGGTCTGTAAATAATCGAGTCTGGACCAGACAATCCAGTCATCAACAGCATGAGCATCGATCTGCGCAATTGGGAACCGATGACATGTGTCAACCAAGTCAGCGAAACTGACCACCCGATCCCGTTAGTCGCCTCTTACGACAAGATAGTCGCCTTTTTATGGCAAGCACATGGGTTGCTGAAGACCTATTCTACCCCGGATCTTCACGGGTCGAAATATTTTGTGTCAGTTGAACACACTGAAATCAGGTCTAGCATAAAGTGTTATTTCATTCGTGTTATTTCAATTTACATGACAAAATACATTGAAAAAGTAAAAATACGTTAACAAAAATATATAAGCTGGCAATATGTAGGGTAGTGGTATGTTTTTTGATATGTTCAAAATAGTTATCAAAATTGATAACACTGGACATTACCATGCAGCTGAATCAGGACTCTTTCTCTCTGTCTCTCTCCCTATCTCTCTGAGAAACGGAAAAGGCCATTTTATTTATAAAACAAATAGCATCTACGTAGCTTATATAAATTTTCATCACAAAATTCATTGAAAAGGTTAGACCTGAGATAATGTAATGTAGGTGAACGTCAAATGCCAAATAAACACAATAAGACCTCTCGTTCATCGATGAATTAAATCTCCATCTTTTTACATAAATATCCAGGACCTATTTATCAACATCTATAAATCTATTTTTGAATGACACTATCCTCAAAATAGCAATCGCGTCACATTACCCTACCTTTCCCCTGCCCGTGACATGAAGTGTTATCACACATACTCAACCCAGCTTTGGAGGTCAGATATACTGATAAAAACTGATAACCGCTTGTGTAATTTGGTGACAAGCCGAATGGCGACTCGTGCATCTCGCGTGGTATTCCCGGACAATCCGAGTAACGACTCGTGCCCCTCTGGAATGATATCTTATTGGGGTATGAACACCAGAATCGTGATCCACTCGTGTTATTCCGTTACAAGCCGCACAGCGACTCGTGTTATTCCGTTACAAGCCGTACAGCGACTCGTGCCCCTCTGTTAGAATTTGATACTAGCGTATGACTGACTGACTGAGTTTTAGTTTTACGCCGCTTTTAGCAATATTCCAGCAATATCACGGCGGGGGACACCAGAAATGACTAGCGTATGAACCTCAGAACTACTCCAAACAAGAACTCTGTTCATGTGTAACGCCAATAGTACCAGACATTACAGAATACTCGTACATAGCTGTTTTTATAAAGAATTTAAATCTGCTAATAATCAGAAGAAGAAGAATTTGTTGACAACATATTCTACCGAAAAAAAATTCAACTGGTCATGTTATATTTTCAATTGCATATTTCTAAATCTTGTTTTATTGTTTAAAACGAGAAAGAATATGTCAGGTTATTGTAAATTAACTTCTTTAAATTTCCCAGACATTCGCGTGTAGGAAGTCCAAATTTACAGGTATATAAGCGTCTAGTTTGGTTACCTAAAATAACTTTCTATAATGGTATATAATAACATTTAGAATTAGAATTTTCAGGGAATAATTGGATTTTCGATTCATGTGAAGAGGCCAAATGCTGTTGTTACAGTGACAAAGAGATCCAGAAATTATGAATTCGTGTTGTGTTGCGGTTTATTTTTCATCAAAGTTATAGTATAGCGTGACAAAGTATAACTCACGAAGATATTAATACTACAATTCCGTTTGGTTATCATTACATTTGTTTTTTATACTGTATATGTGCCTTCTGTGAATAATGATTTGTAAAATAGAATTACATATATTCTGGCTGCAATATCCCCAGTGAAATTAAATGTAAGCACAATACTAAGTGTAAAATATTACTATTAAAGATGAAATATATCTGGAAAGCCGAATAGATAGACAGAGAAAATGGGCAACAAGAAACGGCTTGAGCGGTTTTGTAATATTGCTCTCAATTAACAAATTGAATTCATGCAATACGCTTCAGTTATCTATTTTTTCTTTGAAATCTCACGATTTATATTTTTCATTCTTTTTTGAACTATTACATTTCGTCATTACATTTAATTACACGGGATTACTTTTATCAAAACACCTCAATCCCTACGCGCATTCTGATAGGTTTGTTGTATTGGTTCGTCACGTAACATTCTTCGAGAGGGGGAACGGGTCCTCTTGGGGGTTACGGAATATGGAGACTGGGGACGAATGAGGGAACACGTGCCTTAAGATTTTCAGATCCAAATGGCATTACAAACCATAAAAGTATCAAAAAGGAAAATAAGCCACACAGCCAACATTAAAAGAATTCTTGTTATCCCCCTTAACGCACTTTGCGGGGGTTATTAAAATGGACTCCGTCCGTCCGGAGCAGAACAGATAAATCTCATGGTGTACTGGTGCCTTTTGGTAGTTTCGGATTTCTGAACAAAAATATTTTTGCGTTTCCATGGCAACAAGTTTGACTTGACTGAATTTAGTGTTAGTCTATTCTGGAGCAGAACTTAGAAACGTTTCAGTGCTCGAGCTCTCCTTCCACTTTGCTATATACACGCCAAACATTTGACATAATCATAACTAGCAAACATATTCATGAAGCGCATTTTGCCATTGCAGAGGATATTGATGACTTTGTCGTCTTGATCATGTTTGTAGGTTTGTCAGCAACGCATCCATGCTGGTTGATTTCACAACGTGGGGGGCGGTGAGGTAGCCTAGTGGTTAAAGCGTTGGCTCGTCACGCCGAAGACCCGGGTTCGAATCCCCACATGGGCACAATGTGTGAAGCCCATTTCTGGTGTCCCCCGCCGTGATATTGCTGGAATATTGTTAAAAGCGGCGTAAAACCAAACTCAGTCAGTCAGTCAGTCACAACGTGGTGGGGCGGTGGGATAGCCTAGTGGTTCGTTCGTCACGGCGAAGACGCGGGTTCGATTCCCCACATGGGTACAATGTGTGAAGCCCATTTCTGGTGTCCCCCGCCGTGATATTGCTGGAACGCTGCTAAAAAGCGGCATAAAACTAAACTCACTCACTCACAACGTGGTGAAGGCTTGCATTTGGTTTTCCTTCTACACTATGTTGACACGTGAATTACTGTTCCAACTGGCGCTTAACCAGATTCACTCACTCACTCACGCAGATGAAGGTGTTCTATGATGAGCACTTGCACGAAGACCCCGAGATTCGCCTGATAGTGTCTGGGGCAGGCTTCTTCGAGGTCCGCAGCATCGATGACCGGTGGGTGCGCATCCACGTTCAGAAAGGAGATCTACTGGACCTCCCACCCGGCATATGGCATCGCTTTGTGCTGGACGATAAGGTTAGTGGGTGTGTCAGTGTTCTGGAGGGGCTTCTGATGCCACAATGCGCTGGACAAGGATGGTGTGTCAATGTAGGGAGGAGCCTCTCCTGGACAAGGAGAGTGTATGTGGAGAAGGAGGGTGTGTCTGGACAAGGAGGTTGTGTCTGGACAAGGAGGGTGTGTCTGGACAAGGAGGGTGTGTCTGGACAAGGAGGTTGTCTCTGGACAAGGAGGTATGTCTGGACAAGGAGGGTGTGTCTGGACAAGGAGGTGTGTCTGGACAAGGAGGGTGTATCTGGACAAGGAGGGTGTGTCTGGACAAGGAGGGTGTGTCTGGACAAGGAGATGTGTCTGGACAAGGAGGGTGTATCTGGAGACGGAGGGTGTGTCTGGACAAGGATGGTGTCTCTGGACAAGGAGATGTGTCTGGACAAGGAGGGTGTATCTGGACAAGGATGGTGTGTCTGGACAAGGAGATGTGTTTGGACAAGGAGGGTGTGTCTGGACAAGGATGGTGTGTCTGGACAAGGAGATGTGTTTGGACAAGGAGGGTGTATCTGGACAAGGAGGGTGTGTCTGGACAAGGAGGGTGTGTTTGGACAAGGAGATGTGTCTGGACAAGGAGGGTGTGTCTGGACAAGGGGGGTGTATCTGGACAAGGAGGATGTGCCTGGACAAGGAGGGTGTGTCTGGACAAGGAGACGTGTCTGGACAAGGAGGGTGTATCTGGACAAGGAGATGTGTCTGGACAAGGAGGGTGTGTCTGGACAAGGAGGATGTATGTGGAGAAGGAGGTGTGTCAGTGTAGGCAGGGACATCTGATGCCGCTCTGTGCTGGACAAAGAGGGTGTGTCTGGACAAGGACGTATGTCTGGACAAGGAGGGTGTGTCTGGACAAGGAGGGTGTATGTGGAGAAGGAGGGTGTATGTGGAGAAGGAGGGTGCATCTGGACAAGGAGGTGTGTCTGGACAAGGCGGGTGTATGTGGAGAAGGAGGGTGTGTCTGGACAAGGAGACGTGTCTGGACAAGGAGGGTGTATCTGGACAAGGAGGTATGTCTGGACAAGGAGGGTGTGTCTGGACAAGGAGATGTGTCTGGACAAGGAGGGTGTGTCTGGACAAGGAGGATGTATGTGGAGAATGAGGTGTGTCAGTGTAGGCAGGGGCATCTGATGCCGCTCTGTGCTGGACAAGGAGGGTGTGTCTGGACAAGGACGTATGTCTGGACAAGGAGGGTGTGTCTGGACAAGGAGGTGTGTCTGGACAAGGAGGGTGTATGTGGAGAAGGAGGGTGTATGTGGAGAAGGAGGGTGCATCTGGACAAGGAGGTGTGTCTGGAACATGACGGTGTGTCAGTGTAGGGAGGGGCATCTGATACCGCTTTGTGCTGGACTAAGAGGTGTGTCTGGACCAGCAAGTGTGTCAGTGTAGGGAGGGGCATCTGATACCGCTTTGTGCTGGACTAAGAGGTGTGTCTGGACCAAGAAGTGTGTCAGTGTAGGGAGGGGCATCTGATACCGCTTTGTGCTGGACTAAGAGGTGTGTCTGGACCAAGAAGTGTGTCAGTGTAGGGAGGGGCATCTGATACCGCTTTTGTGCTGGACTAAGAGGCGTGTCTGGCCTAGCAAGTGTGTCAGTGTAGGGAGGGGCATTTGATACCGCTTTGTGCTGGACTAAGAGGTGTGTCTGGACCAAGAAGTGTGTCAGTGTAGGGAGGGGCTTCTGCTACCGCTTTGTGCTGGACAAAGAGGTGTGTCTGGACCAGGAGGTGTGTCAGTGGAGGGAGGGGCTTTTGATACCGCTTTGTGCTGGACTAAGAGGTGTGTCTGGACCAGGAGGTGTGTCAGTGGAGGGAGGGGCTTCTGATACCGCTTTGTGCTGGACGAGGAGTTGTGTTTGGAACATAATGGTGTGTAAGAACCATGATGGTGTGTCTGGACCAGCAGGTGTGTCAGTGTAGGGAGGGGCTTCTGATACCACTTTGCGCTGGACTAAGAGGTGTATCTCGACCAGGAGGTGTGTCTGAACCATGATGGTGTGTCGGTGTAGAGGGGAGCTTCTGATACCGCTCTGTGCTGGACAAGGAGGGTGTATCTGGACACGAAGTTGTGTCTCGTCAAGGAGGGTGTGTCAATGCCGCTTTGTGCTTTGTGCTGGTCCAGGAGGGTGTGCCAGTGAGTGTTGGGGAGGGGAATCTGATATCTCTCTGCTTATTCAAACACCTCCCTCAATTTAATACCATCTTAAATACTTGTCTCTTAGACGAGGACGATATTGTATGTTAAATGACAATTTTTCCCATGTTGGTGAGCCGGCCTGTGTGTGTGCGTGGGTGCGTGCGTGCAGAGAGAGAGAGAGAGAGAGAGAGAGAGAGAGAGAGAGAGAGAGAGAGAGAGAGAGAGAGAGAGAGAGAGAGAGAGAGAGAGAGAGAGAGAGAGAGAGAGAGAGAGAGAGAGAGAGAGAGAGAGAGAGAGAGAGAGAGAGAGAGAGAGAGAGAGAGAGGTTACGTGCGCGTGTGTGCGTGTGTGTCGTATTAGTGCTGATATGTAACCTGCTGTTGTTTTTCCTCAGGACTACATTAAGATGCTTCGGCTATTCTCGGAGACACCCAGTTGGGAAGCTGAGTTCCGGACAAAGGTGGAAAACCCACCAGCACGTGATCGCTACCGAAAAGCAATGGCAGCCATTGCTTAGCAACACTTACATCAACGGCTCGTGTTTTGTCTTCCAACATCTACGACGTCAGAAATTCATGTACATTCCAACAGATTTTGAATAAACGAACAATACCGAAAGTATTTGCATGTAATGTTTACACCCTCATACAGTTTATCAACAAAATAATGCCATTTTTAGAGCACATTGAATATCCCAATGATCTAAGATCCTCCTCGCTGCTGTTGTTTGTCCATCTCTGTCGTGAAGTGTTTGTACCACAGTAATCACAAAAAAAAAAATATAAAGTCTAAAAGATAAGTGATACTTTTTCTTACGTGGAGGAGACACCTACATAGATGATTCTTTGATGGTACAATTACGTATATGATTTTAGAATTCTCAACTTTTGTTACCGTATTTTCTCGTATAATCATCAATAGTTTCGACTGTTTCATATAAACTCTGGCTAAGAATATGACTGATTATTACCTTCAACATTGATATGTTTCTAGTTATGTACTATCAGAACATTCAGTAAACTAAATCATTTAAATGTGTCGAAGATTTGTTAAATGATTAAATTTGAGATTTTTTTATATTTTAACGCTGATAATCTGACACTTGAAATGATTTTACTTAGCAGTGAAAATACTGGAAGACCAAATAACTAAAAAGGATCAACATGCTACTAAACGTTTGAATAACGCTGGATTATGTTATCAAACATGGAAACATAAGTATATCATCTACTTAGATAATGAAAAGGTCATAGACTGTGGCACTTATACTTTCCATAACATCCAAATATTAACAACATGTATGTTAACAAAGATATGTTTTCTGCAGTTCCCTGCAGTGTAGACATCAAGGGACCGTTCCTAATTTATGGCTAGTGGGGAAATGATGATTTTTATGGAGAAGCATGTACAATGTGAATGACCCCCCTAAACTATATGTACAAAATAAGTCCTCCCCCTGCATGTCATGTACAAAATCAATGACCGCCCCTCCCCCCTTCCCATAATTTCGAAACATATTTCTATGTACAATATTGCTGCCCCCCCGTGCGTGTGTACAAAATTGCTGACCCCCCTAGCTCCCAAGAAAAAAATGGGTGCCCCCCCCCCTTAAAATCATCACACACACACACACACAAACACACAAACACACAAACACACACACACACCAGCCATAAATTATGAACGGTCCCTAAACCTGGAGTACTAAACCATGAAGATCCGGGTTAGAATTAGTCGTCAGTAACCCGTGCTTGTCGTAAGAGGCGACTAACGTGATCGGGTGGCCAGGCTCGCTGACTGGGTTGACCAAGGTCATCGTATCCTACTTGCGTAGATAGATGCTCATGCTGTTGACCACTTGGGTGTCTGGTCCATACTGGATTATTTACAGACCGCCGCCATGTAGCTGATATACTGGTGAGTGCGGCGCTAAACAACACACAAACAAACCTAGTGTGCTGTTATTAACCTTGTATAAATCTGCCGAGAGTTCTGAGGGTACAGGTGGCCAGGTCGCCCAGAACACAGCGATTGTGCGGAGTTGCGTCCCTTGGAACGCCCAAATCCCATGATCGTTTCAAATCCCTATTTGACCGATCATGTTGTTGATGTTTGTTAGCATCATGCTTATGGATTTCCCTCAAGTGATAAATGTTTCATCCCTGTATCGCTTGGGAATTTCCTCCCGTAAAACTTCCGTTAAACTAAACTCACGCACTTGAAAGGTTCACTATCGTTGCATCGAGCTTTGATTCGGATCAAAACTAGAATTTGATTTTTTTACTGTTATTTGTGCTGATCCGGGGTACCCACATTGATGACAATGCATGCCTTGACTAAGTGCGTGTCACTAGATCCAAGTTTGTCATACTATCAACCACTAGTTTTCCACTCCTAGTGTCGATTAGCATTAAAACACATTGCTTCGCGATCAAGGGTTTGTAGTGTCATCAAAGTGACTTTCATCCAAATGTACAGTTTGTTAAAAATAACAACTATATACAAAAATTATATATTTGCGTTTTTACCTCTTTGTTTTCATAGATAAAACTTGTTGCAATTGAAAATGCGAGACAGTAGCTACATCAGCTGAGGTAATTAAGCTCGACTAAGGTGATTATTCTTAACGGATAGTTGTCTGTAGACTTGTAGACTGGCTGCACACTGGTTCCATTACATGGGCGCTACTTCCGCATGCATGTGTCGCCCGGCATGAGCGAGCGATCGCCCTGCCCTTGAGTGCTAGGTTTCTAATGTACGTTCCGACAGACAGTATATCACTGCGCTAACAGTTCTATTTTTAGAACCATTGCGGCGTTATCAGGTACAGTGGATCTGAGCTTTCATCTACAACTGAAAACAGATCCTATTATGATTTGACAATTTTTTATTATCGTTAATTTTTATTAATTATTTAAATCTGTTATATATTTCTGTTATAAGTAATGAAAACTTAGTTCGTTTATTTCTTATAAGCTTTACCGATATTTGGCAAACCGATTTTAAAAAAAATCACGAGCGGCAGATTCGTAGAAGCGCCGTACAATATTTTGTCACGCTTTATTCAGTTCAAAACTATGTTGGAATTCTGACTTCGGATTGTGATACAGCAGCGGAAGAATCAGCCGTATCTGATGGGAGAAGTAAGGCAAATGCAAAGAAAAGCGCAGAATTTCTGCCAATGGTATTTACTAACAAGTACCGGCGAATGACGCTCCTCTGTGTCTAATACTGCAGTAACACAGGGTATTCCTTTTTGACCACCCATGAAGATCCAGGTTATATAGATTGGTCTTCATCAACCCCTGCTTGTCGTAAGAGGCTACTAACAATAGGGGCGTATCTCGCTTAGGAAGACATATAGGTATATAGACCCGACCCTATTACTATGTAAAAGGAAAGAGTAATAAGGTATGGTCTATATACCTATATGTCTTTCTGACATGTCATCGGTTCCCAGTTGTGTGGAGCGATGCTGATGCTGTTGATCACTTGATTGTCTGGTCCAGTCTCGATTGTTTACAGATCACAGTCATATATGAATACACAATGCCATTTAGAAAGTGGTGAATGTAACATATGTTATATTTTCTATTTATATTTATCAGGAAAGTGTAATCCCAAATATAACATGTTACACAGTCATATAGCTAGAATCCTCGTGAGTGTTGTGTAAAATAACAAACAAACAAAACAACAATCCATTGAGACTAAAACTGCACTAACAGTGAATATTCCTCAGCTACTAACATCGTACTAACACAGGGTATTCCTCTGTTACAGTACAACCACAAATTATTGAGAATTTAAAGATTGTATATTTTTTTTTTTTATTCACTCATTACTCACGTATTAAATGTGAATATTAGCAGAACATAACTCCAGATTCAAAGACAGGTGAACAGTTAGTGCGGTGGGGCATACTATTGATCAAAGAAGTTAGAAAGTCGTGGTCCATGCTGTCCCAATATCGGACCACCTCTTCTTTCATTTCAGAGTTTTCTTATTGACACTTTCCTTCATAAGTCCCCAAACATTTTCTATTAGATTTAGGTCAGGGCTATAGCTTGGCCAATCTAATAATGTCATATTTTGGGTCAGAATCCAGGCCTGTGAATGCTTTGACTGACTGACTGACTGAGTTCATTTTTACGCCGCTTTTAGCAATATTCCAGCAATATCACGGCGGGGGACACCAGAAATGGGCTTAACACATTGTGCCCATGTGGGGAATCGAACCCGGGTCTTCGGCGTGACGAGCCAACGCTTTAACCACTAGGCTACTCCACCGCCCCTGAATGCTTTGAACGATGTTTTGGGTTGTCGTCCTGCTGGAAAATCCAAAACTTTCCATTAAAACCACGTGAGCAGATGGTAGTAAATGTCCCTCCAGGATATCTGTGTACCGCTCACTGTTCATATTCCCTTCAAATACACAGAGGGGCGTTGCCCCTAATACAGATATGCTACCCCAGACGTTAAATTTCGGACTGTACTTTGGGCGCTAATACAAAGGTTTTTCAGTTAGTTTGGTCCAGAATTTCAGTGTATTAGGAAACAGCCACACAGAACTTTCATCTGAGAAAATCACATTGTCCCGGTTAAAATTTCTATGCTGTAAGCACCCGTTCAACCTTCGCTCCTTTTGTTCAGGTTTCATGATCGGTGATGGAATTCCTCGACTTTTCTGCCAACCCATTGCATGCAGCTCAGTTCTAATTGTCTCCTTACAGACATATACAGTTCCTGTATCAATCATATCCAGCCTTAAATTTTCTAAACTCCTTCGTTTGTTTTTAGAAACGAGAATACCAAGCCGCCTCCTGTCACCTACAGTCACTTTTCTGGGCCTACCTGCGCCTCCCTCGTGCTCAATGCAATTCTCAATAATTTCTGGTCATACTATACTAACACCGTGCTAACACAGGGTATTCCTCTGCTACTAATACAGGGTATTCCTCTGCTACTAATACAGGGTATTCCTCTGTTACTAATACAGGGTATTCCTCTGTTACTAACACCGTACTAACACCGGGTATTCCTCTGCTACTAATACAGGGTATTCCTCTGTTACTAACACCGTGCTAACACAGGGTATTCCTCTGTTACTAACACCGTACTAACACAGGGTATTCCTCTGTTACTAACATCGTACTAACACAGGGTATTCCTCTGTTACTAACACCGTACTAACACAGGGTATTCCTCTGTTACTAACATCGTACTAACACCGGGTATTCCTCTGCTACTAACACAGTACTAACAAAGGGTATTCCTCTGTTACTAACATCGTACTAACAAAGGGTGCTCCTCTGTTACTAACATCGTACTAACACCGGGTATTCCTCTGCTACTAACACAGTACTAACAAAGGGTATTCCTCTGTTACTAACATCGTACTAACACCGGGTATTCCTCTGCTACAAACATCGTACTGACAAAGGGTATTCCTCTGTTACTAACATCGTACTAACACCGGGTATTCCTCTGCTACAAACATCGTACTAACACAGGGTATTCCTCTGCTACAAACATCGTACTAACACAGGGTATTCCTCTGCTACAAACATCGTACTAACACAGGGTATTCCTCTGTTACTAACACCGTGCTAACACAG